CTGCTGGCGTTATCTCTATTGGCGTCTATCTAGCGCAAGAGCCCCGGCGATTTACGCCATTCTCAAATTTTTTTTTTCTCTCTCGCGCCTGAAGGCTTGCAAACGAGCTTCTGAGAATAAGGAAATTCCAAATCAGCTAGGGCAGCATAACGCTAATATCAAGACGAAAAGAAAGTGCTTTTAATGCGCCGTATGGGATTGCGGCAGTCGCCGAGCCACATGTGAAGAGTACTTTGGAAATGGTATTCCAGCTACTTTCACATGACGGAGAAATACATGTACCTAGGTAACTGCGGCACACGGATCCCCTACCGTGCCAAGTGCTTAGTTTCGTTTACCCGCCTGGCCATCAAATGCTGCTTTCCGAGCCTCGTCTACTGGCGCGGCTGCTGATAAGAGCTCACTTGGATGTGATTAGCTAATTGAAGCGACAAAGGATTCATCACTCGCATATCATAGTCATGTCGTGTGTACCGAACGCCTCAGCTCGTGGGAATCTGCAGATTTTTCGATGCAGTGAGACGATGGGCCAGGGTACCCGAAGTACCATGGTACTACCGCAGAGAGCAGCGTGGCTGCTTTGGGGCAATACGATAACTACTACGGAGTACTAGTTAGCATACTTCGTACATACTAGTCGTAGCTGGTCTCGTGCATCCGTGGCTGATTCCCGAGCCTGGCATGACAACTGAGTTGCTACTAGTCTTGAGTACGAGTACTTAGTATTGCCGCCAACCAGACTCCCTAGGCCAGGGCCTTTCCAGGTCGAGACCAATGACGTTGGGTCGCAGACAAGCGAAGCAGTGGCTTGTCTTAGCAGTATGACGAATCGCATGGCCTTGAATGGATGCCAGGATGTTATCCCGATTTGACGGGGGGAGGCGCTCTTAAGTTCGGGAGGAAGCCGCTCGCATCATATTCCCCTGAAAACCGGCCTAGCTCCTAATAACAAGAACTTGGGAACCGTATCCTAAGTTCCAGCAAACGAAGTCTTTACAGAGACCCTAAAAAGACTATCGGGATGGAGATTGGTTGTCAAGATTTGGATCTAGCCGGGACACTGCCGAATTACGTGAAAGCTATTCGTGCCCCAAGGCCTACCAGTGATATTAATGCGGGGACTGACAAGCGGAGCTCAGAGTTGCCGCCGAAAGCTGGACAATGGAACCTTGCCGAAATGGCCTTGAGGCGATCCACCTGCTCGCTACATTTGCAAGAGGCGACCCAGCCGACGGCATGTCCATGCGCGCTGCAATTCCAGCTCCCTCTACCACGCCGGCCCATCAACCGATGTTGAAACAGATATCGGCTGTCGGAGACACTTGCAGCTGCTACAGGTAGTTGTGCTTTGCTCATGACTAAAAAAAGCACCCGAGGCACGCAGCGCGCAGCCTGTTTGAGGCGGAGGCTCAGCTTGTCGCGAAAAAATTTTCGGAGGCGGCTCGGGCTCTATCGGGTTTCTACTGTGTGGCTGCCCCGATTTTGTGCCCTCCTGCTGCTCTTCGCGCTCTGCCGACTGCGTGCTGCTTCCTCACGGCCAACTACAGAGTACAATGCCAATGGATTCACGGGATGAACTTGCATCGCGCGGCCGCATCGCATCCCCCGCAAACAAGATGACGGGGTTTTATTTCTATTAGTCGTGATTTTCCAAAAAGGTCCTCCAAAGTGGACATTTCCCCAGGAAATGCCATGCTCTCACACCACCAAACAGTGCATGTTGCTTCCCGACGATAGCCGCCGGTCCGCCGTGGCGGTTTCTGGGGATTCTGACCTCCTTTTCTGGGGTAAGGCTGGCCAGCCTCGCTGGAAATCGAACAAATCAAGCAAAAATAGACTGTTCCATCGTTTCTGCAGAATGCTTGAAGCCAAGACATGTCAGCATGGTTGTATTAGAGACTATTGGCTTACAAGATTGAATCCTACCCGTGAACCTAGCGTTGACATGTAGGGAAGCTCATTCTAGAATCCATACACACCATAGAATGAATCTGTGGAGAAAGTTTATTTGAGATCCAAATCCAACGGAGCAAACTGCGCCTTTTACGAGCATTTACCTCTCTCTCTCGCTCTCTCGCTCTCTCTCTGTGTGTGTGTGTGTGTCTCTCTCTCTCTCTGTCTCTGTCTCTGTCTCTCTCTCTCTCTCTCTCTCTCTCTCTCTCTCTCTTACGGCATCAGAAGATCCAAAAGAATGGGACAAAGTAGAGTTTCCCTCCGTCTGGACCGGTTCCTCGTCTAGCTTCTCCGCATATCGTTCACACTGTCAAGTAACTACCTCGTGTTTTCCTCTCCGAACTTAAGTCGTCCGAGCTCATCCAGGGGCAAATGATGACGGCTACTGTGTGCGGATGCCACGCCGCCGAATCTAAAGTGACATTCCTTGCTAATCCGTTATGAGAGCGGGCGTCATGTGTTACGCTGCGGTGACGAACCAGATTTCGTGGAAAGAGGTGAGCAATTTGAGCTACGGGAAAAACTTTTCTCCCATATCAAGGAACTTACTTTAGGAGTAGTGCTCTACAATAAAGTATTATTCGTCACGCCTCATCTCTCGAGAGCGTTCCTTTGTTAGTATGGTGGTGGTGCTGTTAACCAGCAGATGTTTTATTAATCAGCAGATGGTGTCTGTAGGCAAAGCCGTGAGCTTGGAGAAACAACTCTCTTACCCACGAAAGGGTCACATGCATCCGCGTAATGCCCTCGGTAGAGAATACTAGAAGGCTGGTCGTAGTTGCGCCTCGTGTTCTGTGTCTCAGATGGACAGACAAACTATTCAGCCCTGTGTCTCTGATCAGTACTCAGTTGCCTGCTCTATACCCACCTGTCAACTGCTTCTTGCCATATGAGTCGATATATTAAAGCGCGCTACTGTAGTCTTTCGGCAAGTATTGTTACACAAACATGGATTCCCGAAATCCTCCGAGGAAAGAGTGTATGCAATGTAACTCGTTTGTCCAGCCTATTCAGTCTAGAAGCTCAGGAGAATACAAAGGAGGCAAGCAGCGCGAGAGAAAGGAATATGTGTCATGCTAAAAACAAATGCCACGGCTTGAGCTGGTGAGGATCAAGGTGTGTATTTTTCATGTGATGTCCAATTTTATTTTATATTTCCCTTTTTGTTTCTTGCTAGCATTTAAAAAACTAAGCACGGACTCTTTGGCAGACCGTCGTTGCAGGTGGGAAACCAGGTGCATTAGTTTTAGTCCTTTAATGGGGTACTATCTCGTATACCCTGCCGGCACAGCCTCTTTTCTCTCTCTCTCTATTCTGTTTGTCATGGGACTCGAATCAAGTTTCAGGTTCAGCCTATGAATAGTCCTCCATATGCGCGTATCAGCAGTTTGTCCTGTAGGATGAGACAAATGAGGAATAGGAGAGACGGCTGAATTCCGCGTCTTGGGGTGTGATTTGAGTCATTATGCTTGTTTTGGGGTAGCAATTTGCCACGAGGGATGGATGGATGAGGTAGCATGATAGGAGAGACGGGATGGGGTTTGTGTTACGAGATGGAGAAAGTGGTCTTTTGGGGTGTTGGTTGTTGGAGGCAATTTTTTTTTATGTATAAATTGTGAAGGCGTTGTGTGGCTTCTGTATTAAATGTGTAGTGTATATGTGGAGTAGATACTTATGCCTAAGTATTTTGATAGTGTAACAGTTTGGAAAGAAAAAAGGGGGGGAGGAGTATCGTAAGGAGGCGTGTTTGATAACATTAAACGCGAGGAGTTTTCTATTTAACACGGGTAGAACCTTTGAAGTAAGCTGTAGTTATCTTGTTTCATATACCATGTCTATGACGAAGGTAGCAAAGGTTGATGGAAGAGATCTTTTCTTGGCACTATAGATAGATATGCACTTGATAGTTAAAATATGCTTAATCTGGGTCCCTGTAAGGAACTCTTCTTCAATGTTACCCTGTATGAAATGCTTGTGTCAAATGTAATACGGATACGGACGTCTGCTCTAAGAATATACAGAAATAGTATGAAATGATGGGTTATATAAATCAGACATGACGAAAGGTGTTTGTCTAGATATTAGAAAAGAAAATATGCGTTTTGAATACTCCGAGGCGTGATTGCAATACACAGCCTTGGAACTCAAAAATCATGTCATGTAAAAAGGATTGAAATGATACCATCAGCTGCGAAATAATATATTAAAATTATACTTCAAATATAATCCAAAGAAGAAGAACACACTACCAGCATCTCTTGATAGAGACGCTACATATGAGGCCAAGAAATAGGAGGCCAGCTACTAATACAATACTACCAATACATCTAATCTATCAGACTCCCCTGGTCAAGTCAAATAGATTGCCAAAATTAAGAAGATGACAAGTGACACGTCACATTTATTGTCAAAACCAACAGCAGGAAAGAGCAGTCCAAAAAAATACACATAAAAAGCAAAAAAAAGAAAAAAAACCTTTGATTCCCAACCAAACACCCAAAACCTAACGCAACGCTCGTCCATCGCAAGAAGTCGGCTATACGTGACCAAATGGTCTCGCATATACCCCTCTCCTCTCTAGTTGGAACCCCTTCACTTTCCTTCCAAAAACTGCTCATAGACCTAGAGCTTTCAAAAAAATGTGTTTCATGCGGTAGAATTGTTGTCCATCTACCGCCCTTATAACTCCTGTTCGTATGATGGGCTTTTTACCCGTTTTCGTGGTTGATATAGTAATAGCGCATGAATTGAATGTAGATGCCAGTTGAGTTCTGACGTGGTGAAGAAAGAGGAAAGTAGAACGAAGAAATTGTAAAAAAAGGCTCCGAGGTATAAAAGTGTAAACCGGGCCAAGAGAACAATTGTATCATGACTAAGTAGTTTTTTTTTTCCTTTTTCTTCTTTTTTAATAGCCCCGAGACAGAGCTAAATGCAGCGTTTCTCTTTTTCAGTGCCTCTTTCGAAGAAGAGTCTGCTGAGAAGTGTATCCACGTCTTCGGTATATTTGAGGGGCATAGAGGTAGACGTTGATTTGGTAGTCTCTACCATCATACTTCGACTCCTCCGACTTCTTCTCTGAAGCGTATACCGCCTTCTACGGTAATACCAGCTTGCACCCAAGGCGTGTTAAAGACTTGCTGTAGCGTCCAGCGGCTTCGTGCACGCTTGAGAAGGCCCTCCGTGATGTACATGGCGTCCAAAAGGCCTCTTTCTTTGAAACGGGCTTCGCTGCCTTCATGGTCACCGTCTTCGCCTCCGTACTCGATCCAGCGCCATTCACCTCTTGCAATCCGGTGGCTCTTTCGACTTCTCATTTTATGAGAGTCATTCATACCTGGAGGAGGATCAAATGGAAGTCGAGATTCAAGGAGAGCGTATAGAAGCACGCCAAGTGACCACGCATCAGTAGCACGCCCGTCATAGGGCTGACCCATGATGACCTCGGGAGCAGCGTAATCTTCTGATCCACATCTTGTCTCAAGTTTCTCATCCTCAGCAATTCGTCTTGATAAGCCCAGATCAGCCAGAGCAATCACTGAATGTGGGTATGTACTCCAATTAACTGATGGGTCTGCAAGCTCGTTGGGGGTAAGATTGACAAGAACGTCTGCAGAAAAGGTAGGTGTTAGTGATGCTGTCTCTTCTCTCTCGTATAAAATAAAACTTAGCACAAACTTACTTTCCAGCTTGATATCACGATGGACAATCATTTGGTCATGAAGATATTTCACAGCACCAACCAACTCAGCAAAGATTCTTCTCATGAGAGGTGGCGTCAAAAGCTTTCGGTGGGTCGTAGCGACATCAAATAGGTCTCCTCCAGGAGAGTAAGTCAGGACGAGAATGGCCCTCGTAGGTTCTATGCTCCACGCCTTAAGGTCAACCAGACTAGGATGATGAATGCTTTGCATGATTTCCAATTCTCGCTTGAGGCTCATCTCAACGCGTTCCTCACTGGCTCCTCCTTGAGGACCATGCTCGCACACCTTGATAGCTACCAACGTCTTGCGGTCAAGCCGGGGGTCTGTCACGGCAATGTTATTTCCTGAATCGGCAGTGAGATTTTTAGGTTGATCCATCTGACTGGTAGCCAATACGACTCTGCTAAAGGTGCCTTGACCCACAGTTCGTACTGAGCGCCAGCGTCTCCGTTTTCGATCATGTCGGTCATAGGCTTCGAAATACTCATATCGTGAGGATGATGAGGTATCTGCTGAGTCCCTGGATGATTCGCTGGGAGGAGGGGTTGGCGGTTTTGTAACACTGGGAGAGAGGCCGCGTGATTCTGCCAAGTTTTGCTCTCTTCTCATCTGAGGGCCTTGGGACTCAGGTTTTGCGTGAGGGCCAGATACCGAGACAATCCTCTTAGGAAGGGAAGTAGGATCTGGAGCCGTATATTCACTAAGACTTCGATTTCTTGTATGAGGTTGAGACTGAGACTGATGCTGATGCTGATGTTGATGTTGATGTTGATGCTGAAGTTGTTGCGAGAGTTTGGGCAAAGGCTGACTGGCCCCGTCATTTTCGGCTAGGCTTACATATACTTTGCGTCTCGAAGAAGAAGCCGCTGCATTGGAGCCTCTCATTGGCCCTGTCGGGGCCATTGAGGGCAAATCCTCACCAACACTGCTCAACAAACTGCGATGTTGAGGCGGGGATACAGAGCCCACGGTCAGCTTCTTCCACGGCCCAGGGGACTCTCCTGACAACAGAGGGCTCGGCAAAGGCGTCACATCCCCCATTGCAGTAATCATAGGGCTTGAAATGACGCTGCTAGTACCGCTGGCGGATCCAATTGAATGCGCAAGGGCAGCCCTGAGACTGGGGGTTCGCGTTAGTAGCCGTATGCTGCTAGATGATGTCTTGTGGTTTAAAGGCGTGGGGATACGGATTGGCGATAGGCTTGTGTGGCCAGTGGGAGACTCGCGACGGTATACGGAAGGTGAAGCTGTGGGAGAAGAGGACGATGCAACGTTGGTCGAAATGCGGAGCGAGGAAGTGGCATCGTGAGAAGAGACGCCAGGGTCTAGAGCGGCCCTGCCTCGATGACCAGCATCTTCAAATGGAGCAGACTGGATTGGAGGCGTTGGAGCAATAGTTGTGGTCTGGAAGTTGATAAAGTGCATCGGAGGATTACAATCGGCAGCTGCGGTAGCGGTTGCGGATGCGGTTGCAGCAGGCAAAGTTAGTTCATCATCTGGAACAAAAGCTGATCTCTCGTTGCGCCGATTGGTGTTGGATCGGATCTCAGAAGCACAGCCGGAGCCCGAGCTCGGGGTCAGGTTCAGATTCTCAGAGCTTGATGTCGAGGGAGCACGGGGCCCATCGTCGTGGGGAATCGAGGTCGAGGTTGACGGCGGGAAATAAGAGGCGTTGCTCATGGCTGGACAGTTTGTCAAAAGCCCTGTGTCGAAGATGAGTATCCATCAAGCGGACTTTGCAGCGAGAGCCTAGGCATACCCAAGGCTTATCACGTACGTCAAGTCGAGCGCAGAACAGAGGCTGGAGCGGCCGCCTTGGGTGTTCAATGGCGCTGTAGACTGTCTGATCGGCAAATGACAGGAGCTAGAGGTCAAGAGGAGCAGAGGAACACAATCCCGAAGGCACAGACGAGGCACGCGGTCCAGCCAAAGCAAGGGCGGCGCGAGGGAGACGGGACGTCGCGGGCGGAATGAGGGGTTTCGCCGGGCAAATCAGGAGCTGCGCTCTCCTATAAGCCTATAAGGGCACCGTGGACATCTAGGGCTGCTGCTCCGGGTCGTTGCGGACGATGCGACAGCGGACAATGACCGCTGGAGAAGGCTGAGGAATAACCAGAGGCTGTGAGTCGAGCGTCGTCGCGAAGGAGTCAAAAGCCGTCCAGCGACGTTGGCCCAGTCCGATCCAGCGGCAGGTGCCAGGCTGGACGTCCCGGGTACAAGCGAAGCGCATGACATGCTGCGGGCCTGCTCCCTGCTCATGTACGGCAGCGTGTAGCAGGTACAAGCGCCCCACCGGCTGCCGTAGGGCGAGCCCAGGTGGGAGATAGATGGGGCTACAGGGCCAGCGCTAGCCCGAAACAGCCCGCGCGGTACGTTACATAAAAGTACTTGACCGAGGGGCACCGGCTTCGGGCCCAATCAGCGGCGTTGGTGCTGCACCAGCCCGATTTAATGAAATGAAATCGATGAAAGTGCAGGCCTGCTCCTGGTTGTGCTTCTGCAGTGCGTTTCTTCTTTCTAAAAAGGTGGCCCAGGAAGCAGTTTGTTCGGAAGGGGGGGTTCATGCAGATGGCAAGAGAGAAGAGCTTCGACTTGCAACAACAAGCGACATGTACAACTTGGTACCTGGACAAGTTACTTGCCATAGCTCCATTGCTGAGATCACAAAACATCGGCACTACAGATGCCATCTCCTCTCACCATAACGTCATATGCTCACAAAAGCCAGAACGTGCATCGGTTTTGGCGAACAAGTGGACTCAGGCGAAAAGCGGGGTCTCGATGGATGTGAGCAACCTATTAAGACGCTGGCAGGGGTTGCTTTCTTTCATTCGCTCGTTTCATCTCTTGAAAGACTTTAGCGGCGGCTCTCCCACGTGACAAGCATCCCGGCCGTGTGGCTCAATGGCAGAGCGTCTGACTACGAATAGTATATCAGGAGGTTGCAGGTTCGACCCCTGTCTCGGTCAACGATATCGTCGATCCGCTTCCATTGGAAGTGGCTTCTTTTTTCTTCTTCTTCTTTTGCACTATTGCCTGGGCGGTCGCAACATTCTTGAGCCACTTGGCCCTGCCCCTCAACCACAATTCAATGGCCGTGTGGCTCAATGGCAGAGCGTCTGACTACGATCAAGTACATCAGGAGGTTGCAGGTTCGACCCCTGTCTCGGTCACGAGATCGATCCCAATTCTGCGGAAGGGGATTTAATTTCTTTTTTTGTTTCGCCTTTTGTCCCCTCTGTTGTGGAATGTTCCGTGCGGGTTGCCTGTTTCGGTAATTGGGTTCACGTTCTGGCTGGTCACCAGTTCAAAAAGACCAGCGCTAAGTATCCTGTCTGGTACACTCTGTAGACGGGCAAGCGATATTGGCAAATGTCATGTAGAGAGCAACGGCTTACAGGGCTTCATTACCGATTGCCAGCACCCATGTCTCTGAGGACCGTTTGTGGGACGATGCGTCTTTAGCATTGGCATATTGACGGCGGATCGTAATGCTTGGCATAGCCGTAGAACACCTGATTTAGACTTGAGAACTGTGATGAACAAGGACCTTTTGAAGCACACGTGAGATCCAACAGGGCCAGGCAGTACTTTTAGGCTCCGGTAAGCCAGCTGAAGAAGTGACAGAGCAGGTAGGTACTGGGAAGTTCAAGTGAGAATGATTAGCTTGATTAGCCAACTATTGACATGAATGCAGGTGGTAATTGCAATAATGTCGCTCTGAGATTCGCGCACTTGTAACGTCCTATTGCAAGTGACAAGTCGTTTTTTATGCTGCGCAATTGGACAGCTCGATGATGGGTGGCAGGGCTGGGTTGCCTGTACCTACTGCTATAGCGTTGGTCCTGGCGCAACAAAAGTACAGGTACCAAATTCGATGAGCTTAATTGATTTTGAGCTGCCCCACGTCACAACGCGTCGAGGCGCGTCTCTCCACACTCAGTCTGCGATTCACAACGCAAACCCATCAGCTTCAACGCAGCCAGCTGTGATTCCAAACCAATCTCACCGCCCACAGACAGCAACCATGATGCGGCAGGACCACAACAGAATCGACCCAAAGAGGCGAAACGTCGTCGATTACCGAAAGAAGCAGTTTGCAACGCCCCAGTTCAAGGACACGCAGTATCCCCACCGCTTGAACTTTTACGCAGATGCGCCCACAGCAGACATTACGCTCGAGCAGTTTGAGCAATGGGCCATTGATCGGCTAAGAGGTAATGGGCGCTACTCTTGTTTGATGTTGCCTGCAGCTTCTGACGCTGAACAGTTCTGGCCGAGCTCGAGGCCTGCTCTTTTCGCAACCGATCGCCAGCCGAGACGACATCCCACATGAAGCCCATTCTTGACAAATATCTCCCACTCGACTCCAACAGCTCTAGCAACACAAAGCTATTTTCACAGCGGCAAAAGGACCATTACAGCCATTTCATCCTGAGGCTAGCTTTCTCCTCTACCGAAGACCTTCGGCGGAGATTCTCTCGAGTCGAGACGATGCTATTCCGGATGCGGTTCAATAGCGATGATTTGAGCGAGCGGTCTGCATTTGTATCCAGCCTGGATCTCGACTGGTGGGAGCCAGTGACGGACGACGAGAAGATTCGGTACGCCGCCGAGCTTGCGGCCATGACCAGCGGAAAGAAGATGAATAACGAGGACGGGACTTGGTTCAAGGTGGACTGGGAGCGAGTACCTGACTTGGTGGAGAGTCGACGGGTCTTTTTGAAAGCCGGAAAGGCATATGTGCCTGGGCGAGAGCAGTCGAGCATGGTTGTGGCGGAATTCACAAGCCGGCTTGAGAGGCAACTAGAGGTGAGCCATGGGTTATGCCTTGTCACAAAAAGTATCCTCGAATCTATTACCGCTAACGTTGGGAATTTCTTTGCAACTAGCTTACGGCCCGAGCTCTGCCGCGTCTGGACGAAGACGACAGATTAACACCAATTCTAAACCATCTCTCCAAGAATTTCATCACCCCTGACTCCGCTTATATGTCTGGGTCAACGGCACCCGCCGGAGCTCAAATCTCGGCTGCCAACATCGACAACCTTTCACAGCATTTCCCCGCCTGCATGTCCAACTTGCATCGATCATTGCGTCGCGATGCTCACCTGAAGCATTACGGTCGTCTCCAGTACACTTTGTTCCTCAAGGGCATTGGTTTGAACTTGGAAGAAAGTCTCATGTTTTGGCGGAGTAGCTTCCACAAGGTCACAGATGACACGTTCAACAAAGAATACCGATACAACGTTCGCCACTCTTACGGCGACGTTGGTGGAGATTCCAACCGACGAGGCGGCGGCTACAGTCCGTTCAGCTGTCAGAAGATTCTTACTGAGCATCCCCCTGGTCCTGGTGAGGCTCACGGCTGCCCGTACCGGCATTTCAATTTGGAGAACTTGACTGCTTTGGTACAGGCCATGGGAGTATCAGACAGGTCGGTGCTGCAGGGAGTGAAAGAGGATAAAGACAACCAAAAATTCCACATGGCATGCAACCGGTAAGTTGTTCTAGCATCAAAGCCCCATTTGTAATTATCGCAGAGCGCTAATTCGACTCCCCAGAGTGTTTGAACATTTACACAAGGCTGAGATTAAAAAGGCCAAGGATGAGGGTATCATGACATCCAACCAGCTCGAGACGATTGTCCACCCCAACGAGTACTTCAAACGTAGTTATCTGCTGAAGAACCTCGGCAAAGAGACTGATGTGAAGATGGAGGGCTAAAATGGTGGGTTTTGCGTATCGCATTCTATGCACGTATTGCATTTAAAGGAGGAAAAACATGCAAACGATTACATGATTGGTTATGGGTGATATGAATCATAGCATCATGCTTCCTTGAGCTACGTACTTTTTTTTTTTTTTTTTTTTTTTTTTTTTGAGTAAAAATACGTGTTGGATTGGGAGTAGTTATGCTATTGGCGTTTGTTTTTACGATCTATATTAAAATACAAAGGGGAGAGGGATAATACCAAGAGAATGAATATTGTTTGAAAGCTGTATATAACGTGGCGAGGCTTGCTAGTTTATCTAAATATCAGAGCTCGTATATATTGCCTTGAATAAGCTATTGACTAGCACGTTTTGTAATACTAGATTGCGTTGTTTTCTCCTTTTTGTGGCATACTTTCGAGGTTGGCCAACTGTTTTTTAGCAGTTGTTCCATCTTTGGCAAGTAATTGTACGGAGAAGAAACCATATTACTGTAATTACGTTCTGATAGTAGTACCTCTAGGCAAAGCAATAAGCTATCAATATCCTAAACAGACCACTAGTTTGGCCATACTTTGTATAATACTACAAATGAGATAAAAAGCCAGCTCTTTGACAGCGAAACCTAAAAGGATAATTTCTGTTGAGCTGGCTACCAAGCAGTTATTGTGAGAAAGCCTACTTAGTCTAATGCCATGACAGCCTGACCACCTCCTGTTAAGCACAAATACCTACCCCCTAATTATATCGAATTGTACAAGAAAGGGCCAAGAATCCATCCGCCTATATCATATCTCAGCGCAAGTGACATTTGGCTCCCGTGTCATCTTTAGCGCTGTAGTCTTTGTGCAGATCACATCCTCTTACGCGCAAGCGACGGGCAGCAGCCTTTTGTAACGGAAGACGGCACTACCTTGTAGTTGAATGCCCCGCCGTTACAACAACCGTCTGCTTCTGTGACTTTTACAGAAGTGGCCGAGGGGCTAGATTCGGAGTTAGATACTAATATGCTCTTGAATTGCTAACCTACGCATTCATGGCTGTCATATCCAGGCTTACGGTAGATAGCCTATTGCTCTCTGTCCCATTGTATACTCGCAATTTTAGTGTTCTTTGACACCCTGCACCTCCAAGTCTGGCTTGTCTCAAACAAATAAGTATTTGGCGAGTGTGAATTATGAGTTATAGTCTCATCATACAGCAAGGTTCTAGACCAGAAATGACAGTACGGTCTGCGTTTACCCTAGACTAGCTGGCATTCAGCTCGAGCGGTAGGGCCCCTTTCTTTTATCCCAGCAGAGTTTGCCATAGAGTTAGATAATCCTACAAAAATAAAGTCCTATATAAACTCGACCTGATGAGATTCTTAGGAGGTTGATGTAAGGTATTCAAAAGTCTTTTCGAACCCATCTTCGAAAAAGTATGTAGATAATACATCCAAACTCATCTGAAGAAGGCATCAGAAATGACTATTCGCTACTTGTTATAATCTAGAAGTCGGCAGGAAGTAGCCAGGACATTTAAGATGTAGGATAAGAAGGGTGAATGTTGGAAGTGTGTCCCTTACCATCTCCTTTTGCCACACCTTGTGCCCCAAGTATACCTGATTCTTTCGTGGTCACTGGATGAGGTTGTGGAAAGGATGAAAGAGCCCGAGTGCATCATGGCCCTACAAACGCTGCTTAGTTATGCCTTGTGATGCTGTTAACATGATGGGACTTTACGTTAAATGCCTCTGAGTGTCTCATACCATTCAGATCCCATGTCTTGTACACGAAAACGCGTCTATGATGCAGATTTCTGGAAATCGATATGCTTGGCACCTCTTGAGATTGCAGTTATGAAAAAAAAAAAAAAAGTCATGCGCTTTTTGTTCGAATCCATATACGACCAGCCCTCTATCTTTCAAGAGTTTAGCTCGGCATACTATCCAATCACTCATGGCAACTCTCTTAAACTGGAACAGTTGCTTGTTTTAGGTCATCATATGGGACACGCAACATTTCCAAGCTATTGCTTCTGCTTTGCTACATCTGAATACCGATTTTGCCTCATAAGATGCGTGATAGAACGGCACAAACAAGCCATCAATGTGGGGGATGACTGTGGTCTCGCTACTTTTATAAACTCGATCCCATTCGATAAGCTTGTAAGTTACCCTACACCAGATATATACTACTCTCTATACATCAACATTAGAAAGCCGATAGCCCTTTTCTCGTACGTCGCGCCTCAACCATTGTAGGAGTCTCATCTCGCTCAAGAATGTCAAGATCAAAAGTAGTGTTTTAAGGCTATTGGCTATAGGTGATACGCTTGCCAAAAGAAAGCAAATATATTCTTCAATGAGGCAGTATTAGAATAGATCACCTCACTAGAAGCCAATCGCGATTTTCTTATTATCTTAACTTACAAGCTATAACTTTATAACTGACTTGATTGCAGGTTATACTGCGCAAATTAATCGTCGCTATTCTCTATTCTCTTTAAGCTTGGTCAATTACTACGCATGGTTCGATAGGTGTCACTACAATTACCTAGTATCTGCTGCGGGCTCTTTTGGCTAGATCTGGCACTCAACTGTTGACCAAATAAGCCATGAATGTACAAATTCTCTTGGCGCTTTGTAGTAGCCATTACATCTATTTCGCAATACCGTATACTGCTTTCCCAGGAATAGTCCGTTGTATAGTGAAGCTCTTACTATAATCTTGTTTAGAAACACCCCTCGCGCGTGGGTATGTCTTATGCAAACGCCTAGGTAGATGATGTATGTAATAAGTGATGCATACCCCATATCACCGGTAGTATTCCGGTTTTGAACTATGTAGAAGTCTAAAAGAGAAAATGAAGTCATTGGACGGTTTGTCTAGCTGTGTTTACAGTTACCAACATGTTGGCAACGGACACGACTTACAAGCCATTGATGTCAATCAACCACGTCCACCAACCCCAGTTCTTCATCACAACGTCACTGGCATCATAGCCATGTAACTTTACTCTTATCTCAACTACATGATCGCCCAACCCCCATCCAAAACCCACCACAACCTCAAAAGCCCAACGTACCCTCCCGTCCACCCCCCTCTCATTCTCCGCCCAAGCCCCTACACAAGCTAAGGCAGGCGGCGCCCCGTCGCGGAAACAGCTGCTATACTCAATGCCGTAGGCGTTTGGTTCATGCACGCACAAGCCGGTTTTTGTTCAAGTTTGTTTTTTTAACTCGCGGTACCTACATACGACGTATAGACCTTTATGCATCATCTCATCATGATCGACGAAAGAGACACCCTTGGCCATCGGGGGATTAAACGCTTTAGACATACGCCCTGATGTGTACGATTGTTTGAAACCCCCGATTTAAAGATCGGAGAAGGTGTGTTTATATTTCGGCATGATGGATATACGTGTATTCTAGACTTTGGCTATCAAACTGAATGGTGGAGGTAAAACGGCAAGCTAGCTGCGGAGATAGTTCGTGGTCTAGTCGTTTTGCCTAATTAGATTACCTTTGGTTATACGAGTCATTCGATATAGCTACGACTGAGCAGCTCGATCGGCTGACGGAATTATATGCTATTCTGAGGGGGTCAGCAGTTGAAAATGGAATGATAACGGAACTACCCGGCTTACACACGGAAAGGCAAGTATTCATTCTGTAAAAATTTGTTCTTCCACGCAGCAAGGTTGGCGTATATTCACCTAGCCAATATACTGCCGGTCCGTTTCCCATTTAACCGTCCGAAACGGGCTTAAAATAGTTATCTCAGCTAAGCCTTTAAACAACACGAAGCTAAAGTGGATGTCCTAAATCCCTGTACAAAGGTGCCATCGGAACAGGACAAAAAAAGAAACATACACAAGCAAAGCCTCAATACTTGTAATTTAGACAAACCGCTACATCGTATGAACTGTTTACAGCAATATAGCCCAATATAAAAGACCTTTTTAATCCCGCCGTCTTATCGGAATATGCATGTACCTTTCCCGCTATCGTGAAAAAGACAAAAAAAAAAAAGAGAGACTTAAAAAGCCGAACAAGGGTCTAAAAGCATCAGGCTAAAAAACGAAATCTGCTGCACAATGATATCACAGCTACGCAGGAGGGCGTGCGCGGGTTTGAACAAGAAAGAAAGAAAAAAAAGCGCGAGAAAACATGCAAGGGTTCGAAGCGATGACGACACTAGACATATAGGATGGGCCGGGGGTGGGAGAGGGTCTCTCGCTAATTTTATTCTTTCTTGTCCTTTTTGTCTTTTGCTATACGGGATATGTGAATGTGAATGATTTGCTGAAACCTGCAAGGTTGGTGATTGGCGTTTTGGCTTCCGATGGGTTAGAAATGAGAGACGTGAAGCTATTCCCGGGCTAAAACGAGACTGGGGTATGAGTGCCCAAACTGAGAGATGCTACTGCCCGCTGTGTGATCTTCGTCTCTGGATGTGATGTATATGCTATGTACATACATACAAGCGTAACATGTTTAGCGAAGCGCGAATACCTACCAGGTTTCAGAAAAGAAAAGGATAGGAAAGTGCCGTATGGCTGTCAAATCTGGCCGAACGCTGAGACATGATACGACAGTGTTGGAGGCTGCGCCAATGCCGATGGGCTTCGATCGACTAGGGCCGTAGTGCATGTGCGCTCGCTTTTGGGCGTGGATGCTCGTTATCGGCATCTCGATGACAGAGAGAAGAGGGGATGTGTCTGCTGTCGTGTAACCACCAGCATGCCATTCATCTGTATGTAGACATTCATTCCTGCGGGCAAAAGAAAAAGGGGCCAGAGGGCGTTCCCATGCTGCTTTGCTTTCCATCAGCTAACAACACCCATGCGCAAAGCTGAGAAGAGCTGCTGCCGCTTTGCAAGGCACCGCATTGCATCAATAAGCGGCCATGATGGATGGTTCGGGGTTAACAGTCTGGGGTTTTTGAGCAAGGTACTGTAGCACAGGGCCGCGAAAGCGAGGCTGTCGCTGCTTATCGGCCAATAGAAATTGGGCACACGCGTCTCTGCTGCGTTACCGTATATACGCACTCACTTTGTCAACTCCATGGGCCAAACCATTATCGCGACACTGGGCCAGGGGGGAGCACCCCAGGCTGCGCTGCGGGCTGGACAACAGCTGAGCGCGCGCTGGAGCTCAAGGCACTGCATTTCTTCCCAGGCCCAGAGGTCAGCAGCACCACGATGTTGGTTTAGCGGCTCACAGGATTTTTCCTATCCAGCCTTGATCGTACAAGGAATCTGGTTTCCCGGGCGTCGGTAATAGGCGATAACGCGAAGCCAGGAGTTTACTGTTTACTGTAGTACTAACAATATTACAAGCTTCACGATCCTGGTGATGCGCCAATATTCGGCGTGTGCAGCGGCACCACTGCCTGACAAGAAGACAGTCCCAAATCCGGCCAGGCTTCTGAGTCGAACCACAACATACATGGTAGATACTACTAGTAAGTAGCTCCCCCCTCTCATGTGAGGGAAGCCATCGTGAGAGAGTCGTCGACGCGATGTGACGTGTATTGCGCCAACAAGGGGACCGCCAAGATGCGGGGGAGCTGCATCCAAGGGGGAAGCACAGCAGCAGAGACAGATGCAGGATGCAATAATAGGGTCTTGGGGGACCCGTCTGCGCTCCCGAATGCTACTCCATCCGGTGTTGGAGGGTTCAGGCTACGTAGGTATGAAGTATACGCAGCGTCGCCAAACTTGCTCTGCGACTTATATGCTCAACTCCACTCCGCAAGGCCGTGATGCGCACATACTTTGTGCTTGTTCAAATAGCATTCATAAGAAAAAAAAAAAGTGTCTATGCAATGCGTCAGCGTGCTATTATTATGTATGTACTTCCTCCACCTTGAAGCATCATCGTTCGGCAGCAAAACACCTTGTTATATTCCTTCTTCTTCTCCTCCTCCTCTTTCTCCTCCTCCCCACAGCCAAACCTCCGCTTACACCAAAGCGCCCTGGATCACCACTGCATCACAAAAAACCCCCCCATGAACACGGGATGACAATTGCCAGGGGGAGAAAACAAGAGCGCCAACTACTACCGTCCCTTTGGAAAGGACTTCTTTTAGACAAGCATCCCCCCCCAAAAAAAAACAGCGGCAATAGCCGTCCCTTGATAGAGGCACCGAAAACAGTAAGACAGGATTGGAGATCTAAAGGGCGGTAGCGGGACGATCCCCCAGTTGGCTCTCACCCTTTTTTTCTCCCCTCAGCCCCAGTTTGTAGGAATGCCTATTACAGGTAAATGCAGGGCGCGCAGTGAATATACGGAGATCTGACATTTGACATGTACTGCCATGTAGGAAGAGATTATCGTTGCCATTACTGTAAACATGCCCCTATATTGCTCGTACTATTTGATGAGTGCATGTATCACACGCACATCCCTTGCTTGCCATGCTACATATTGCATATTCCCGTCCATGTCTTATCGCTCCATGTCTTTTTTTCCTCGGTTGGTCTTCTTCTAGCTGGTATATTACTACATGTACATGTACGTATTACTATTAACCGATGTGCTTGCTTTGCTTCATCACCCCCAGCCAATAAAAACGTCAGGGGACCTCTCTGCGCTACTCCATATTCGAGCTCTGCTCTCTGCATGTGGTTGATTTTGCTCTTGCCGCGCATGGCGCCCATAAATTTCCAGGCTCGCCATTCGTCGCTTTAGCCAAGTCAGCAGCCGAATGTTTGGTCCAATGCGGAATTTGCAGGACCGCGCATTTGGCCTTACTTGTATGTATGGACCACCTAGAGCCTTCACGATGCTTCCAACAGGTATGTAGAGACTGGGGGGGTTCACATGACCTTGGACATGTTGCTGCTGTACTCCTCATTCTCTGCCTCTCCAATTCTCCAAAACGCCTTTTTTGACATGGCCATGTTTCCGTCCCTGTGTGTTTTTTCTTCTCCAATTCCCGGGAGTGTCCCGGAGATGCTGCGTCTCAGCATAACATGCGCCCCTGCACCACCCACTTATACCACGATGTTTGTGCAAAGCAGCAGCATAAAAAAGAAAAAGGACACGGTTTGATTTGGGCAGCAATCGCCATGAAAATTCCCCCATGTCCATTCTCCCTTGCTTCTTCGCTTTCAATGCCCAGTCTCGACGTAGTGAGTCAATACCCCCAGAGATCGCGTAATTCTCTGTCCATCTTCCACCGCCGCATCCGAAAACACGGGAGTGATCTCCGTCTTAGTTTCAGGAACAAGCCTCGCTCGCTTACTCCAAACCAAGACAGCGTAAGAAGGAAAAGAGGGAAGGAATCCCCCCATCATACGATTCCTCATGCCATGATAGGAGAAACAAAAAAAAAAAAAAAGGCCTAGATAGCGGAAAACAACCCCTCTAAGCTCAACAGTTATGCTGCTACCTTTCAAGTTCCTCGTATGCTCTCCTCTCTCGTCAACAACGCCCTCCTTGTGCGCACAGCTCTCCATACTCCCACGACGCATGTCTCACTATTCCTCGCATAAAATCTAGATTTCACGCTCCTCTTGTTGGGGGGGCTAGCCGACCCCCCCCCCCGCTTTGCTCTGCGGAATTACTGCACACTTTACTGGTACAGCAGTTTGGCATCGCGAGATTGGCTATAGATGACATTTGCCATGTCCACGGCTTGGACGCCCAACTTGGCCGCGCGCCCTCTCTGCAGAGCGCCAAGGAAAGCAATGCATCGGCCTAGGCATCTGCAGAATGATGCATCTCATTCTCGGTTTATTGCCGTTAGAGGCGGGAAAAAATACCTCTCTTGTTAGAGACACGCACACGCATACATGGTACGATATAGAACATCCACATGGTAAACCGGCACGGAATGCTACTCCAATGCGCCGCTCTTCATAGTAACTGGGCCGAAAGTACAGCCGTCTGTAACAAGTGGTGTATACACGTATAAAATAAAACTGCAGCTCGTACTATTCAGAGAAACGTACATAAAACATGCTCTGAAAATCTGCTTTTCGGTAGAGGCGGGAGGTAACCAACCTAATCTCGCTCCATCGCCACCTAAATCTGCTGTATATTATACAACTTCGAAAACAATTACAGGGACACGATGAGAGAACATCAAGTTCCACTAATTAGTCCATCAGTAAAATGCCCATTTGTAACGATTCATTTCACTCCCCCTCACTTCTTCCCCAGAATTTATCTGTTCGGCGATCATTTAAATAAGATATTCAGGAACAGCGCCCGCCAATCTCAACCCGCTAATTAGCCCCAGGCACAATAACGTAGTAGCCTCTTTTTTTTCCCTTTTCCCGCGCGCGCCCGTCCCTTTTTCTTATAAACGTGCACCCAACGTGTATAGATCAGCTATCCCTCCCACCCCACGGTTTCAGCCCTCTCTCTCTCTCTCTCGAGTCAGGAGAAAAGAATGGGGAATCAAACTAAAAAGTTTTGTAAGGAATAGGAAAGTATCTACAAGATAAGAGGACCCTTTTTTTATTATTGGGGTTTCAGCAATGGAGAAACACGTGGAGGGATTTTGCCTCTTGGAGGAATTGATGTGAGAGCCTTACATAGACTGGGCGTCACACAAAAGCTCGTTTGCGACGAAGTTTCTCCCTGCCTGATATCTATGATGTAATGTATGATGATAGCCCTTGATAGTTTGAATCTATTTTGAAAAGAATCGAAATTCTAGGAATCAATATAGTTTGCATCTTTTTTTTTTTTGTTTCTATTCATAGTCTATCAAGATGCGAGCACAGCACAGCACAGCACAAACCAGCACAGCCTCGTCTTACCCAGCCATCGCGCGTGCATAAAATACCACCCTTCAGCTAGCTACTTGCACGCATAGATCACGACACCACAAATTTTCCAAATCTACATGAGCAAACCTGCAGAAAAAAAAAAATTGCTGATGCTTTTTCGCCACCGCAAGCGCATTACTAAATTAATCTATATTTCCATCTCTTGCATCTACATGACACCCACCTCCTTCACAGCACCAAGTAGAATCATAGCGCATAGGTAGAATGCACACTCCATCACCCTCAGATACTTCATCAATCATCCATACCATAGTCCCTTTCCCATAAACAAATAGCCCAATCAAACCATCACGACCTCATCGTCACTAAAGAAAAAAAAAAGTAAGCCAAAAATTGAAATTGAAATGACAAGAACCACGTAGCCTCGCATCACATGGCATTACATCGCAGCAACACACACACACACCGCACAAATAAGAATGCCCATATACGCATTTTACCTGCATATGCACTCGCATCCCCTGCCCAACAATTGGAGCAAAAAAAAAAAAAAAAAAAAAAAGGGTCCCATCTATCCATCTACTATCATATTGCGCATGCACGCGCAGCATGTGCGTACGTGCACCCTGCGTATATGTAGGCCTCGCAAACAAGTCACACCGCAGAATCAACAACAACAAACCTTCTCATATATCATCAGCGCAAATTAAGAAAAGGACATGTTATAGCCGCATGGGTCCCCCCATGTACTGTAGCCTCGCGCAGCAACTTTCTGCTCCATGAATCATTCATACATCTGCTCTTGCTTAATGTAAGACAGCGGCAGTAGTACCTAGTAAGAAGAAAAAAAGCGACAGAATCTAGAGTGCGTCGCAAGTCATGATATGACCGCCCAGGCTTGGCCGGCCTTGGCCCCAATACGCATGCAGTTAGCTGCAGTCAAACTCACAAAAACACCATACGATGCGCTATTCGCAGCATAGCGAATGACAAATAGGCGATGCACAGAGAGGAACCATAATTGTAGTCATGATAAAATGATTTCGCATTCTAATAGTAAAAAAGATAGAGGCTTCGCAGGCCCAGATGGTATCATTATAAAACTAAAAAAAAAACAAAGTATTCTCGCAGTCTATATCGCAGCGCACCAAAGGAAAAAAAAAATAAAAAGAAATAAACATAATAAAAAGGTGATACTAGTCAATGCACGTGTTGCGGCCTCGCGCAAACAGAAGAAGTGAATAGTAGAAGAAGAAAAAGAGCAAATATCCATTTATCCCGGCCCCTTTCAGTTCCATCCCGTCGTATATGCATCATGTCGGGGTCCTCCCCTCTTGGCGCTCAGCGCCTAGGTGGGTATGCAAGGAGGAAAAAAAAATAATAAGTGTACAACAAGTAATGAAGACGTCAGTGGCTATGCCAAAGGAGCTCTGCAGAAAAGAGAGACAGAAATAGCAAGGACGATGCGTGCCAAGGAACAGGAATAGACTTGGTTCGTAAAGGCTAGCCTCCGAATGACGAGCGGCGGAATCCACTCGCATCTTTGTCGCTGGTTCGGCATCCTCTTTTTTTTTTTTTTTTTTTCTCTTGCTCTCTCTTGGTTTTTTTGCAAGAGCCCAAGGCTAAGACCCCTGTCGCGCATATGAACTGGTAGGCCAAGCTATTCGTCACTTGCAGCTCGGCGCGGCCTAGCGGTACCCGTCTTTTCTGCCCCAAAAGTCGCCGTGCATAATTTAGCAAACATGGGGGTATCTCAAAAGAACTTATGCGGAACAAAGGAAGCAAAAAATAAAACAAGTAAAAAAGAACCAAAATCATGGCTGTGATCGTCATTTCGTAGTCTTTGTTCGCATGGTGCCCCGAGGCTAAAGAACGAGAGAGAGATCCCCCTCCCATCTGGGCCATAGAGAGCGAGGCATCGTGGTTCCAGTTCCCCAGACAGGTAAGCCCAGTTTCGGTTGCAAACGACCTGTCACAAAAAACACGGCCGGGTGCTCTGTCGAATCAAGACCGCTCAACAGCATTGCCGAAATGCCGCAGCCTCCAATTGGAGGCCCTGTCTGCGGGCGACGTTGCGAGGGCGCCACCTACGGCTGGTGCATCGTAGACGAGCGATGCAAGCGAAGGCCGTACGGCACCGGCACCGGCAAGGGCAAAGGGGCCATGCGCCTCGTACGCTTTTTTTCGGGTAGCACCGCATGTGCACACTCGTGGCGTAGATGCAGATGCACATCGCTCAGAACAGCCAAGAGAGGCATCAGGGTCCTGTCCGGCGGCAGCTCGGTGTGTGTGTGTCCTCGCTGCTCCCTTCCATGAGAGGACGGCTCGAGCTCGGATATGCCAAATGCTGTGTCACTCTCTGCCATCCTGGCGTCCCGGGCGGTTCTCAAACGGCCGCTGCATTCCCGGGAAGCGCGCATCAGGCCATGCCGCATAGAGTGCTGACTGTTTGAGCCGGCGCAGCGGGTGACGAATCCCATTATTTGGGCGCTCGCGGGGCTGGTTGCAGCGGGAGACATGGGTGCGACGGGATAAACTTAGCATCAGCTCAGCAGTAATTCCACAAAGGATCTCCCGGGCAGCGGCCGTTGGAGTGGCCAGGGCTTTTGATAGTCGTTTGATAGTCGGGACAGATCCGGATGCTTCTGCTGGGTTAGAGAGAAGGCCAGTGTAAACGGACGTCTGACCTAATCCCGCCATGGCCCCCAGAGATGCAAGTGAGAGCTCGACTTTGACAGGTTACATTTCAGCCAGGATTCGAGGGAAGAGGTGCAGCAGCCAGAATGCGTTCACGGCTGCGAATAGCCGTTGCGGAAAGCTGCAGGTGATGTGTCCGATGTCGTTTCTATGGCGCCGAAAAAAAGGGCGATGATTTTCCGTCTATAATATGCCGTATGCTCGCTTTTCTCAAAATGGAAGGATAAAATACAGCGGGAAGATGGTGTCGCAGCTGCGATACTAGACGAATTTTTGGCTGCGTGGATGCGGGTGTTGTGTGTGGAGAGGGAAGGACAGAGAGAGAGAGGATATCTCGTCCATTTATTTGTAGCCCACAATCTTGGCGCAGCGCTCACAGTAGTAGAGGTTGTGAGAGATGCGCACCATGCCGGCTGTGCTGGCGTCGTCGGTCGTTGTGGTCTCGGCAGATCGAGCGCACCGCATGCAGCGCAGCACCAGCACGGAGGCGCTTGGTCGAGGGTTGGAGTCCATTCTGGCTGACGAGGAAGAGACGCCGGAAGAGGAAGAGGACGCTGAGGCAAAGTTGGAGATGACTGCAGCAGCGGGCATCTTTTGTGAGTGCTGTGATGGCGAAGGAGGCTCAAGTCTGGGTGGGACAGGCTGAAGGCAGGACGGATGCTGAAAACGTCGATCCGAAGCAGGCGAGCCGTTGGTTATTTGTATGTCCGTGTCGTCTTGCGAGCCGGAGGAGTCGGCGGGGTGGCTTAAATCGCAGCTTGCAGGGTGACGTGACTCGGCCAGGGCTGTGGTGTATGCAAAGCGGCAGGCGGTAAGCTGATCCTGTGCAGGAGGATGTGAACCAACAACAGCAGTGGTGGTGCAGAGTCTTGGTCAATTCCGGTGATGTTTGCTTGCTTGCTTGCTGGCTTGCTTGCTGTAGTTTTGTGCTTTGATGGTGATCGAGCAGGAGGAAGTGGAAAGGAGGAAAAGAAGGTTTGGACGCAAACGGTTTATACTTGTACTAAGATGCGTCCCAGAGGGAGGACGGGCCTTGTTTAAACTAAAGGAGCGGTAGGGCGGTAGAGGGGTGTGCGTACAGAAAAAAGGGTTCCAGCAAGGCAGCAGAGGGATCCACGGCAGGGTGGGCGATCGTCGATGGCTAGTCGGCGTCCAGGATGACAAGGGATCGGCTGAGGCCGCGAGTGCTGTGCTGCTCTTGTTCGGGCGCCGGAGAAGCAGCGAGAGAAAAGCAGGCGGGTGCTGCGGGCGTGTGGATTCGGCATGTGCCTTGTGTGCCGTTCGTTTCAGAGCTGCGCTACCCATCCGGCCGTGCAAACAAGACGTCAATGTGACTTTCTGTTGCGAGCACGGCCTGCATGCAACGATGGCTCGTTTTTGCGCATCTATTTCGAGGCACCTGCGAGCGAATCTCTGGTCCCGCACCGCACACTGCTCGCACAATCCAGGTCCCCTGCACACGTACGCTTTGCCCGAGCGTTTACGAAGCAGGACGCCGTTTGGCAGCTGGGCGACAAGAGCCAGCCAAGGCCCTACGCACAAGGTTCACGAACGGGCAAGTATGAAGATAGGGGGGTTCAGCTGGAATACGGGATAAGTGCAAAGCTGGCAGAGGGCTTAGCAGCAGCCAGGGGTGGGGAGGGCGTGCGCAGCTCAGCATAGCCGGGAAAACGGGCAGGGGCCGGGGCGTATGCATTTCATTGGTGGCATAGCGTTTATGTGCATATGCAGGATACGAGTTCCCTTCTGGCGCTGAGGAAAAAAAGAAATTGCTGAAAATCCAGAGCTTTCAGGGCGTTGTGCTAAGCTCAAAAGGCCACTTTTTTTTTTGTTGAAGGGGGCGTGCGTGGGCGCTGGAACCCGGCCTGTCTGGCATTTCGAACAGAAGCTCGGTCCACTATGAAGTTTTTTTCTTTCTTTTCTCTTTTTGCCCGACGGTTTACAGATATGCGTAACAGGAAAAGCAGCCCGTCCGATGCTATTCTGCACACATGAAAGGCACGTTGTATGCTTCGGGCTCGATGACTTGTGGATTCCAGTCCATTCACATTGATGAAATTTTTTCTTTTCTTGTCCATTGTGGATCTTGCAGTGGCATGTTTGTCAAAGACAGGATAATGAATGAATGGCGAAAGAAACAGGAAAGCAGTCAATAATTAACAACGCGCATTGCAGCGTAACCGTCACCGTTCTTCGCCTCACTGGCTAGCCTCAAACTAAGCAAGCTGTCAGCCGGTTCTCCAGCTGGTTGGCCAGACGAGCACGGGAGGATTCGACAGCAGCGGCAAGCCTTGCAGTGCAACGCAACGCCGATGGCCGTGCCAGCTCCGACGAAGCTCGACATGATGCATGTCTTGGGCTTCTGGCCCTTTCCGGGAGGTTTCCCTCAGCTAAGCTTGTGTCTGGCAACGGGCCCCATGCCGTTCTTGGCGGCGTTTGAGGGAAGCTGTGACGAGCCGCCCGGTCCGAGACTCTGTCTTTGGTAGCGTGCAGCAGAGCAATCAAGATACTGTACAGTAGGCTGTCGCTTCTTTGGTGGCTGTACACACCACACCACGATGGCGCCTGTCGTGCATGCATGGCTCCGAAGAGAGGCAGTGGTCCCAAAAAAAGAAACAGCAAAGAGAACACGACAACAACAAAACACACGAGCACAAGCCCGTGACGCCGGCCAAACCAGCTAGGAATGCCAAGCGTTATGCAGAACTGCGGTTGCTGTGCTGTGCACGTTGTAATTAGACGGAGGGGGAACGTGCATTTCATTCATGGCGCCCAAAAGACTCAAGTTGAAACGCTCAAAAGCTTACGACGACGAGAATAACATGCCAGCGAAGCTGAAAGCTCGTCCCATGGCTTTGGCCAGCCACGAGCCCAAGGCAAGCCGGGGACATCCCAGACCGAGGTGTGAAGGCAGAGCTGCCTACCAGGTAACCATAAACTCATCCCAACGTGCTCCGTGCACGCGCAAACCACACAAACGCTGCCTAACCGCAGCGTAGGTTTGTTGTCTCGAATGCTTAATGCGCCGCAATAAGCCACCATGCTGGGATAGCGCTGCGTAGTTCCAAACTGTAATGGAGAAGATTCGTGCCCAAAGCCGCGCGTTTTCGCACTTGCAACGGCCAAGAGAATGAGTAATATAAAACAAAGGCTCGGCCAACGGAGACTAGACAGCCCGCCGAGGTGCAAGCCACACAAAAAAGTAGAACAAAGCTTACTGGTGCTAACATACTAGCAACAATTAGCATCGTATCTGTCGTATGGCGAGAGCATGAGATTCTGTTACAGACGGGTGCTTGGACAGTGGATCACAGATTGGAATTCCGAGCTGAAGAGGATCCAGGCTGACGCGCAGCAGTGCTCATGTGAAATCTCGGGTCGGACAACCGTCCGATCATCCGGGAGTTTTGCTTTCAATATTTCTGGAGCCCGCTCAGAGGAAGGAGAAAAAAAAATGGGAAATACGGAAACACGATCCATACTAATGACACCACTCTGAGTGAACCCTTTCAATCCAAAACTGGTCTGCTTCGTACTAACGTCGGGCACCCATATCGCGGCCCCCTCCCATCATCCACAGTCGGTTATCGGAAAAGAAGAACCCACGCGAGAAAAAGAGAGATTTCTTTTCCGCATGAAAGAAACAAAACGCTAGATGGAAACAAAAAAAAAAAGTTCCAGAAACGCCCACAGAATAAATGAAAGGGGATACCGATGGAATGATAATATGTAGTAGTCAGCCAGTAGTTGGCAGTAGTAGGTAGCCCCCTCTCCTATTCTGTTTTCTTACTTTGCAATCAAGCTGAGGCAGCGAATCGATGGACTATGCGGCTTACCAGACTCCATTTTGTGGTCCGGCTGAAGCCCTTTTTTTGTTGTATGTGTTTTTTATCAAGTGTTTTTTTATCTCTCACTCTATTAGAGTGTATACGCACCCTCCATTTCGGTCGTTTCTACCTCGCATTCTCTTTTGGGTGCGGTGATTCGAGGCAATTGGGATCCCGCCATTGGAATCTTGACAATGAAAATTGGAACCAGGGCACCAGCGTGTTTCAGATTTCCGCGATGGCGCTAGGCTTGAAACAGTAGGGCATCGAAACGGAAAATTGTGCTTAACTGCATAAATGCGCCTTATTTACTTACTGAGGCCACTACATACACAGCCCAGAGTAATACTGTATGTACAAGAACCGTATGCCTGTTCGCTGGAACTAAACATTGCGCCGTTTCTGACATTTCAACCTTCAAAGCACAGAAGGCAGATGACTCATCCCCTTGCAATCTCCTCCCCCGCAAGGCGGTCTGATTCATCGCTGACTGGCTGCGCGAGGCTTGGTCTGGCCGGTTGATGAAGATGGCCCCCCATGCATTTTTCCTGGTGCAGTGCAGGCTTACGCATATACTTGTAGGCATATTACTGAACAGGCTGGGGACGACTCTGGCTGCCTCCATGGACTGAACAGCGCCTCCATGGGAACGAACAATACGCAGCGCACTAAACCGAACCTGGGAATCCGTTCAAACGATGTCAAGGTACGGCACTGATTAGATTAGCAGCGAGGGTGAAGCGGGCAAAGATCGATGGGCGCACACACGGCTCAACGCCATGGTCCGATCGGCTGATAGCAAAACGACCCTGGAGAAGCAAGTAAACAAAAATATCCTACCCTTCTTCTTCTTCTTCTTCCCCACGTCACCATGATTACAAGGCCAACGTCCTTCTTTTGGCAGTGAGTTCGTGTTTTAGTACCTGCAGAGGCGACTCCGTCATCAGCCAGTCCACAGCCAGCGATTGGCTCTCAGGTACAGTATGCAGGTATGGGTTCGTTCCTTTGATGACCTGTTCCCCCCCTTCATACATGCAGTGCCTTGTTTGTTACTGGTTCTGGCATCAACATACAGCAAGCCAGTGGGAATAGGAGGTGCATGTCTTTGCCTCTGTCCAGCTCGAGCGCTCACCAGTCAGCGCTCTCTGAATCTCCCTGCCTTCCTTTCTGTCCAGCATCGTCGTCGCTCATTCTCCTTTGCTGGCTAGCGCCATCGGCCGCTCCTTGATTTCCCTGCAAATCTCCGATCCTCAGCCCCTTGGCACAAGGGCTCCAGCTCCCCCCAAAGCCTGTTTTCCAGCAGAGAAATACAAGCAGCAAGCAAGTTCGAAATGGTGGCCGCGCTGGACGGGCACAGAGTTAACGCCGTTCCAAGACATTAATTGATTACGGTGGGGGGGGACAGAGTCTCTCTCTCTCTCCTCATCTCGGTTTGTTACGTTGAGTCGAGGTGTTCACTCGCCACGTTTCTTGATGTGCTCCAGTTTTCATCTTACAAACCGTTTCATCCTGGACACACGGGCATCCTTTCCAGGCCTAACTCGTCGTTGCACGGCGTCCAGCGTGCATACGACAGGTTCGGTGGCTTGCTGAACTGGCCTCAAGCCAAGCCCTCCCAAGCCTCTCCCAATTCCTGTTGACTTGTCAGTTTTCACTTCATCACAAGGCGGCCCGGCCTGGGCGAACGGGGGGGAGCTCTTCACACGGCCATTCTTTGCAGCTGCGTTTGTCGTCCATGCTTGCAAGCTACTCATGCGTGCCATGACCAATCCGCTCGTGTCATCTGCCCCTAACCTCGACCACTCATGTCTTGTTTTCTATTCATCAAAATGATACTACAGCACAAGTATGTATACTAACCAACATGCTGCTGCCTTGTCGCGACACACACCTGGGTACTGCAGCCAGAGCACGCAGAACAGGACGAGTACTAGCAGTATCAAATATCAAATCAAACCAGCCCTATTATCACATGTAACGCAGGCTCGGACTTTGCCCTGGATGGTTTATACACCTCCATCTGATAAAACTGTGGCTCCGTTCCACTGGATGAGCCATGTATTACACAGTGTTGTCGGTCTCCCTGGAGCATCTCCGCACTGATCGTCGATTCCCAGCTACCGAGAGGAAGGTAACTTGTGGGTCTCGCGTTTCGAACAGATCCAGTCTGACAGTTTGATCAAAGATTCCAGCAGAGCTTATGGAGCAGCGTTGCGAGTAAAACACTCGAATTTCGCCGACGTGAAGTGTGTAAGCCGGGTTTAATGCCTCATGGGCGAGTCGTGTGTCAAACGACGCTTTGCGCGTAACCATCGTGCTGCAGGCTAGCCCTCCTGGCTCATCACTGCTGGCTCCCGTGCACTTTGTCAACTGTCTCAGATGTAGTAGCGCGCTGCAGCAGGCTGGAGTTGGAGTGGCCCTGCGGCCTATGTCCGGAGGATTCAGGCCGACGATCGTTGGAAAGGCCAGCCAGCACTTTAGCAAGATGCCCTGCTAAACTCTCGATGTCGCGAAATAGACTTTCAGGCCGTGGGCGGGTGCCGCTCACTCAAAGCAAAATACGCCAGCTTAAGCCCGTCCCGCTTCCATGCAATCTTCAGGCCTCGCCACTTTGCATGGCAAGATGCATACAGGCGGTATGTGTAAATTACCGGGTGGCAGTACCAACTTGGGGCCAGCAGAGCAAAATGCAACCCATCCGCCAGTTGAGAATCGTCCTTTTGGTTTTGCATCGATGCTTGAGCCCCACGGCGCCGGCAGCTGCAGATATCGACTCGGCCTAGGCTGACGAATCTTGCTTATTAGCCCTTTGGCCAGGACCTTGTGACCCAAGGCCGAAGAACGGCGTGAGTCGTCGATGAGTTGCGTATCACTGAGGCGCATTATTCACGGCTAATACGACATCGCTGCTTTGACTTCGGGGCCGTGTCAAAGCCATGCAGCGCCGTCTCTCCAGCCGGCCTCGGTTGCTCTCCGATATCGACGCAGATGGGCTTCTCACAAACAAAACAAGCCGCCAAGCCATTGCCACCGGGCACCCGCTCATAAAGTCCGGCACTCTGGAGCTCTCCACGGCCACAAAAGCAATAATGTTACACTCGCAGTCGGCTTTAGTAGCCGAGAGGGTTGGGCTGGCCCCCAACTAAGATTTTCCCATCAAGGAACCCGACCGAGCCGCGGCGGGCAGAGGGTCTAGACCTGTCCAGACCACCTTATCGCATACCGCCTTTGGCATCAGCAAACCGAGATGCAATATTCAACATTGGCATCCGATCGCATAGGCCGTGGAGACTCCGCCAATGAGCTGGCCGTGTTGCACGCTTTGCTGCAGGAGGCTTCACGCAGCCTCTTCTGCACGTAGGGTCGAGACCGACAGGGCGGCGCGACACCAACAATGGAAAAAAGGCAAAATAAAACAGACGACGAAATGGAGAGAAGCAGAGAGAAGAGCCACCCCCAGCGCCGCAGCAGGCTTACGTTTACCCTCCCCCCCTTGGCCTGCGACGTGGACTATTGACGAGTCCATTCTCGAAACCGAAGCGTGCAATGCACGAAGGGCCCAGCACATCACGAGGCGGCAAGAGATGCTTCCAGGCCCTTTTGGCTTCACGGCACTGCCAGGCGGCGACGGTTGAGAAACCGGCCCCGACCCTCGCAAAAGTCTAGGCCCTTGTATTATTTTTCCCAGCGGACAGGCGGGCTTAAGGTCTAGGCCAGCGGGATTGAAAGCTGTCAGGCCGTCCCGCGCTCTCGCTTCCCGCCTTTTAGGCCTGTCGACGCTATTGGAGACGCAGAAAGGCGACGCTCTCAGAGGGCGTTGGGCGCTAATAGCGTGTAGGGCTAGGACTTGGTAGGCCTAAGCCGCATTTTTTTTTTTTTTTGGCTCCCATTCATGCCAGCGCAATTCAGCCCTGCCATTGGCCTGTGGTGCCGGCGCTTCCCCAAAACCACCCTAGAAGGGCGGAAAGAAACTTTGGCCAGCCTTCTAGCCTCTTTGTCTCTTGTTGGTCAGATCCAGAGCCAAGGGAAAAAAGACAGAGTCGAGAGCACACACCCCAAGGCCGGCTTTCTATTGTGCCTTACTTTATTTTCTTTTTACTTACTCTTATTGAGCCTGGAACAGGGCGTTTGCTTTCCGACGGCGAGAATGGCTGGTACACTCTCACACACTCCCCCTCCCCCTAGGGAAGCTTAGAACAAATGTTTTCTCTATACGCCGTTATTCTCTAGATATGCGATATCTGGAGGCTTACCTGAGGCGGGACCATTGCGGAGCGAGCTGAGTCTATTGTTTATCGCTGTGTATCTTTGGCCGTTGGATCTATTTGCTTGGCTTGCGAGATGGCTTTCAGTGAGTTTTGTTTCATTTTAGCCTTTGCAGCTCATGCTACTACTAGTTGACATGCAGCTACACTTGGAAGAAGCCACCGCCAAAAACACCAGCGTTGGAAGCATATTTCATCTCAGCTGGAGCAAAAATATAACCTCAGCTGATACCAGCTATGCAACTCGTACTATTCATTCATGTTCCAGCTCATCCTCGGCCAACAAAGCCACCACGCTGCTTCCAAAGAACGTTCCATACATATGCAAAGTTCCGGCTCAAGGAACAAAAGGGCCCTTGATTCAGTCACTTCATTGGCCCGCTACTCTCTTTGGCCCCCGCGGGCTTCAAAAAACTTCCGGCGCTACGGGACTACGGCTCGCCCGGGAGAGCTGTGTGAAAGTGCTTCTTTTTCTTTCGCTTCCAACGGCCCGAGCAAAATATGATCGATCTCATTCAAGCGAGCCACTTGAATTTATTGCTCTATTGTTTGAAGATTGTGATTTTCCGATTTTTGCCTAAAACGATTCCAGCTGTACACCATTGCGATGCAACGTGTGAAAATGCTAACTGTAAACGGGCGGGCAACAAAGGAGCAAAAAAACGTGGCAGCGTGTTCAATCCACGGCTGCTAAGCATTAGCTTAACCTTCAAAACCGTCGTGTTAGTAGAGGCCCTGTCAGCTCATCAGCGAGGCGGCCACTAAGACATTGCAGAAAGCTACTATCCCGGCATTTGGCAGCCAAAATGCTTTCAGGCGGGCCTCATGGCGTTTCTTTCCTCTTCTTGCTTCCATTATTTGTTGACCTGTGAGGATATGGGCTATGCTGCTGCGGATGACTCATCGAAACATGTAGGAGCAACTACATACGTAGTATTACAAACGCTCCAAAGCTCGCTCTTCGGGTAAGGCGGGCGAGGCGCGGGTTCACGGGACTGGAATCTTGCGTGAACGTACGTCAACCCCGCGGAGACGGGGGATATATTTGCCACTTCTTTATTCTGTTCCTGTGATTGCTTTAATATTTTTGAGGGGCTATGGTATCGTACGGCGCGGGCGAGGGCGAGGGCGAGGGCGTGTGAGAAACTTTGAGGAATCTCGTGATATTGACTGACTCTTTTTTTTCTTCTTCTTCTATGTCAAGAGATGACTTTATCTGTTTTGATGCTGACACGTCTTATTAAGATTCAGAATCTAGGACAAAAGGTTCAAGCATCCTCGGTTATTGTGCATACACCCTTTTACTAAGCTCCGATTTAGAACCGACCTCATCTTTTAATACTAACTCTTTGTTTATTCTAAAATCTCATATCATGTCTAATTAAAGTCGTGACAATGTGTGTGTTTTGTCGCTTATGCAGGGACTTTGTTCTCGTCTCACCTCCCGAGAAAGTATGAACTCGGGTTTCGGGAACTTTGATAAGTAATGCTCTTTACGGATATTAGGAGAGAAAAGCGTGTTTAGCCATTTTAGTAACTAACTAATTACCTAGGTAGCCTAGTGTCTTTTGACTTGGAGAGGTCCTATTTGTAACATTGAAGCTGCTAGCCTCTTCTTGAAGCTTCTTTCAGAGTCACAAGTTTCATTTGTCATCGATGTTTGAGTCTCTTATAAGTAATACATAGTACATGCATTCATACAGCTTTATTAATTCAGACTGAACTTTTCCTAATTCTGTATATTCTAGTCATAGCCACAGTTAAGTTTTTGGGAAACACGTATGTATCTATGATTACAGCATCTTTGATGATGTGGAGCATTCCGCACCCCATGCATCGATCATGATAGTGGCAATCACCACAATGTACCCCGCAGCGAGCAAAGGAAGCAGCAATAGCAAAGCCCTCCTATCTCATTATACTAAGATTCATCAGCAAGTAAAGAAGTAGTACATATATATGTACAAGTAGGATCTGGCACCGGAGATAGTGTGATAAAAGCCGCCCAAAGAGGGGAGAGCCTCGTCGTTAGCCTGCATGATCGCCATTGTGGAGTGCAAGTTTAATGTGGAGCTTGGAGCTAGAACTAACATTATATCGACTTAGACCGATAGCCGAAGACAAAAGAGCTTCAATTCGCAATACAAGTACGTTTTGCCATGTTCTAACTCAATGAGTGACGAATAAAATAAAAATAAAAATAAAATAAAAATAAAAAAAAGAGGCTATGCTGTTCCACGTGGACTTGATAAAATGAAATCATTTAAGTCAACATTGGAGTTTGTTCAGAGACCTCAAAGACTGACATTTCTCACGCCATACCCATACACACCCTTAGAGACCTTGACCATGTCAGACCTTTTCAACTCCACCAATGGCGCCATGGGAATCATATCTCTAGGACTAACCATCGCTCAAGGCTTGTTCCGAATCGCAGACGGCATCGGCTCCGCAGGACGAGAAGTACGCGGCTACGCACAAGAAATCAACACCTTCTCCAAACTCCTCAAGTACATCAAGGCAGAACTCGACAGCTCGGCAGATGTATCCATCAACATCCAGAGCCTCATAAACGACGTTGTCGACATTTGCGATCGAGTTTTGACGCCCTTCGACCACTTACACAAATTACTGAGCCCCCTTCTCGACCAGTTCTGCACATGTCCTAACAAGCTTCGACAGCTAGGACTCAGGCTACAATGGATGTTCAAGACAAAAGCCAAGCTGCTCTTCTATCGCGAGACTCTAAAAGAGCAGCACCGGATTTTGGATACGATATTAGAAATAATCATCCTGCAGAGGATGAGAAGAGACTGCAATCTACATCATGTCGGATATGTTTTTATTCGCCGGGTATTTATTGTGCAACTCCACAGTCGGATATCCGAAATAGACTCTGAAGATTCTTCCCCTGCTACGCTGGCGACAGCACGAGATTTACAACTACTTGATGGAGCTATATATACGCCACTTCTTCTTGAAGGAGCAAGAGCCGGGCACAAAAGAAGAGCCTGACGGAGATGTCGTCGAGCATGATACCTGCTTTAGCAAGCCTCGCCAATACATTACACGACTCCAGCGAGCATCTCAGAGGGCAAGGTCGCTCTCAGCGTCAACAGTGGTTTGAAGGTCATTTTTACTCTGAACCGCACGAGTTATCATAGGAGACACAGCATGGCTATTGTGCTTTGCTATAAGAGAAGAAGAAGAAGACGACGACGACGACGACGACGACGACGACGACGACGAGGAAAAGGCCATTACAAATACTTCACACATACTAGAAGGCGAAATTTTCAAGTGTGAAATGAATGACAAATTCATAAGAGGAACAGCAGTGAAAACCCTCGACAAAAAAAAAAAAGTACACCCAACGAATTCTACGATGCAATCTGCGCCTTCTCTCAGCGCAATGGTCCTGCAATACGAACGGAGATTAAACAAATACAAAAAAAAAAGGCATCCGAATTTGGCTTTATAGCGTTTGACAAACAAAAACCATGGGCGATATATCTCATTTGAACAGCGGTCGATGGCCAAAAAAAAAAAAAAAAAAAAAAAACAAAGATATGTTATACTTTCGGTGAAATAGCTTGCAGCGTTGAAGACTAACGAATTACGACTACTGATCGATGTGGAATTGAATGTTGCGCGTTGAGAGCTTGTCAACGATGGTATCTATCCTTCCCGTCAGGGTAGATAGATAGAAAAGAATGAACCCTTGATGGATTCTGAGGAGAAGACAGTGTTGAGATTCTTTGCCAACTCATGGTTGGAGGTCTTGTAGCGCCGTTCGAGGTCGGTTCATGCTTGGTGGAAAGCGTCCAGATGTCGAGCCAGATCGTCTGACTTATTATATCGCATAAAGGTCAGTTGTCGAAATTATTGTCTCGTTAAATGGGCCGTGTCTCAATTAAAACGGTCTTGCAGAGTTATCCACGCTTGGTGTACTGATGCCGCAATGATCACCAATATAACAATATCCAGGTGCACCGCAGATATAATCATTACCATGGCCTTGTTGTCTTCTTTAGACCATTGGTTGAGTAGAGCGGTCTGCTCTGTTGTCGCGGGCGTGGTGAGGACAGGACATGGGGCTGTATTTTCAATAACTCCCTAGAGGTCTGCAAAAAGAAACGCAATAGTCCACGCCACTCTCGCCACTCAGCATAGTTATCTCCCCGGCTGGTCAGCTAGGGAAGGCTCAAGGGGTCGAGCTTGAAGGTAAACGCGTTGTTTAACATGGTGTTATAGAGCTACCTGTCATATCGAGTGAGTTTGGGCAATGAATATGATTTTGATAATACACCCTACTTTCAAATATAAGATCAGAAGAACATTACCGTCATCTTGACAGACAATTTCCCATTCAACTATATCTAGCTATTGAGAATCGTCAAAGCAATGATTTAGTGGATTAAAAGCATAGTTTCAAGCAGAGATAGCGGTCCATTTAACATACAGAGAGTATAATGAGGCAACTTGTGAACGTATGGTGCGGTTCTCATTTCCATCGTTGATTAATATTACTACATCGGGAAACTCATCACATAAATCTCCAATCGCCGTAGCACATAAACTTAAATACAAAAAGAAAAAAAAAAGGTATCTTAAGCCCATCCATCTCCATCCAACACCCAACGCTAATAGTATTTACATCTGGCAATTAGGCCCTGCCGGCATTGGCCTGTGCCTGGTTTTGATCGTGGTAAAGCTCAGGGCAAGGACCATTCTTCTGCAAGAAGATGTATCTCTTGATCCACCACGGCAGCACCTCGGTGAGCTGGTATTGGGCGTGGCGGTGGTTTGAGACGCTAAAGACATAGTCGAGTTCCTCGAGCGTCTTCTGCTTGGTTTCGGGAACAAAGAGGAAGATGAGAACCAAGGCGACAATGTTGAGACCGGCGTAGAAGCCAAACGCTCCGGGGGCTGTCATGGCAGCCAACATGCGTGGGAAGGTAAGAGAAAGGATAGAGGCCCAGAAATTGTTGGTAGCGACAGCCCAAGACATGCCAATCTCACGATGGGACAGCGGGAAGACCTCAGCAGAGTACATGAAGGGGACGGGACCTTCTCCGGGAGAATAGAAGGCGTCGAACAGGTAGACAAAGGTTGCGACTGCACCAATTCGAGCCGTGCTGTTCTCGACGTCAGGCTGGATAAGATAGCAAAGACCAGCAGCTGTAAAAGCGGTTAGCTAGAGTGTCGGAATAAGTAATTGATCGCGACAACTTACTGAGAAGAGTCCAGAACATGTTGGGGAAGGTAAAGAGAAGAAGGGCTCGTCGACCAAAGGTATCAATGGTCCACACAGCAGGCCAAGCGAACAAAAAGTTGATCAAGCCAAAGCCCCAACTGGCCCACAGAGCAGTGTAGTCGGAAATTCCGCTCTGTCTGAAGATGGTGCTAGAATAGAAAGAGATGATGTTGATACCGCACATCTGCTGAGCAATCATGACAATACCAGAAGCCCAAGTGGCGCGTCTGATACGAGGAATGGAAAACAGCTCATAGAAGCGAGTGATGATGTTGTTAGTCTGGGTGAGGCCGGCTTGCTGGACAAGGACTTCCTCCTGATCCAAAATGCACTGGATGTAGTAGAGATCTCTAGCGGCCTGAAGAGGGGTGTTTCTAAGTCGCAGAAGTGACTTCCAAGCCTTCAGGTGCTTTCCCTTCTTCATGTACCATCGGGGACTTTCAGGGCAAAGGAAAGTACCAATGACCAAGGGAACTGCGGGGATGAAAGCAGAGCCAAACTGCAGGCGCCAGGCGATATCACCGACCTTACCGACAGCAAGATTGGCACATGTTCCCAAGAAGATACCAAAAGCAGTCCAGATTTGCCAAGACATGACAAGACCACCTCGGATAGCAGCAGGAGCATTCTCAGCGGCGTAGACAGGAACGGTCACTTCTTTCAAACCCATACCGATACCGAGGAGCACACTAGTAGACATATAAGCAGCTGAACTAAAAAAGCTAATGGGCTGGCATGTTTACTTACCGACAGGCAGCCAGCTGTCCCCAAGTCTGAGAGACGGCCATACCAAAGGGGGCGAAAAGAGAGAAGATGGCGCCAAGGAAGATTGTGCCACGACGACCGAGCCAGTTGTTTAGAGGATCAGCGATCCATCCAGCGCTAATAAAGTGTTAGTTACTTTCTTTCAACAACAGGTAAGCAATTGACTTACAAAAGGCAGATTGTGATATAAGGTAGCGAGTTCACCAGACCAATGAGCCAGCTGTTTCTGGCACATGTACCAGCGTTGGCGTCAGGTCCGCAAAGTGGCACATTGTCTGGAATACCGAGAGCTTGGGGGAAAGACAAGTTGGCACCGTTTGATCCAGTCTGGAGAAGTTGTTAGTGGAAAAGGAGAGACGCATGGTTAAGGAGTAATTGCTGGCCACTTACTTGATCCCAACCCTGAATAGCTGCGGCAATAGAGCTAAGGCCGATGGTGTAGTAAAGTGACCATGGGTGCTTCCATCGGTGTGTGACCTCCTCTCTTAGAGCTTGCTTCTCGTCCTCTTCCAGCTCATTGATGCTCTCGAAAGCAGCAGGGTTCTGTGCTACGAGGGCGCCCCTCTGGAGCAGAGGGAGAATGTCGCTGGGCAGGCCCTTTGTTCTCTGGAACTCTTCAACATTGGCGAAGAGGGTGTCTTGGGGGATGCCCTTGAGAGGATTTCGGATCTCGCCTTCAAGGTTTTCGGTCAAGGCAGCAAGCTTATTGCCCGCGTCTGCAGGGGAAGAGTCTCGGATCCTGTATAAGACGAGGAAGTGTATTAGTTTCACCGCTGCATATAAAAGGCAAGACACACACAGCACCATGAGACCATGTATCAGGAACTCAGATGACTTACATCTTCTCATCGTGCTCTGGATAGGCCACCTCGGCGGCGATCTTGTCGTCTACACCCATTGTGTTGGAGCCACGAGGCCAATGATTCACACTCTGAGACAACTGATTGAGACAAGACAAAGACAAACAAGTATTGTTGGAACCAGAGTTTCTGCCAGGTGCCTATTGATATGAATCAGAGAAGCCCAGCTGTGCCCTGCATACTCGGAGGTTTCATTGAGGGTGGACGGCCCTCTTATATATACACCATCACGTCGTACAGGAGGCACCCGGATCAGCAATCGACATCCCCAAATCTCCCCATGGCGAACAAGAAACCGGGACTAGCGGTCCAACACGCGAGAGGGGCATGCAAAAAAAATTTGAGGGGCCCCAGCTTTGAGGCCAGGAGACAGGCCATCCCATGGGGGATCTTTGGCGGATGAAGTTGGGGATGGATGCTGCTTGCAGGCTGTGGAGCGAGGCATGGGGGCGTCGGCTGTGGCCTCCCTGCACCTGATCATTGAAGTGGAGGACAAGCAAGTACAAGGCGGCGAGTCACTTGGGCCGGGGAGCGACAGCGTCGCATGGCAGGGCGTTAACGAGGCCATCGCCAGAATTGCAGCAGCACCCGGCGGCAGTTGGCCATGTGCCGTTAGCCCCAGATCGCTGCGCCAAGTACCTCGATGCCGCCAATGACCGCATCCACAGGTACTTGCGGAGGATTTCGACGCCGCCACACGTCCAGGAAGGGGTAAGGCGCGCACGAGGCGTCGAATGGGAAGGCGCTTGGCGCCAGCCCAGGGCGCTCTGATGCGGTTAGCTCCAGGCAGCAGAATAAAAATCTGGCAGGGGCCACGGGCTAGCATAGCGCGAGCTTGTTTCTGTGGCCGGTGGCGTCGAGACAACAATACGGTGGATTCTGGAAGAATAAAGGGAAGCAGCCATGTGTTGCCGGCCAGAGTCGCGGTGAGGCCCAGGTTTGGTGTTGCTGTAATACCTACTGCTGCGGTGCTAAAACAAAACTGACTAAAAACCCGCCTCTTGGTAAGGCCATGCAAGTGTGTACGGTATCTGCCAAGATGTGCGGCCGGATTGGGAGAAGAGCTGCGCTCTGCATATGTACGGGCTTCATGCGAGTGCGGAGAGACTTGATTTCTGATTTTTTTTTTTCTCTCTCGCTCATGGTGGAGCGGTTTTTCTCTCCTCTTTTCCCCTTGCAGAGACCAGGCGTTTCTTCACAAGCTCTCCAAGTGGGCCTCGTCTCATTGAGTTCAGCAGAGTAAACAATATCGGATAGAGCTTTGACTCGAGCATGGCTCAACTACGAGGACTAGTCCCCCGGTCTGGGCTTTGACCATTCGTCGACGCTTCATTCGAGTGGAGATGCGCTGATGAGAGCTGGCAAAGAAGATGCTAATCCATGCACTTGCCACCGGTTAGCGACTCGAGACCAGGCCTGGCCCGGCAGCCGAATGCGGTCATCTCTGCCGGTGATGCCCTCACCATCTGGCCTTGCCCTTCGTCATCAAGCAGAAGCCCGTGTAAGCCCAGGTTGTACTAGCGCAAAGAGGGTGTCACTTGCAACCCACAGGCCGCTCTCTGGCTCGCCTATTTTTCATCCTTCGTGTGCTTGCATATACTGTACATATAAGACTCACCTCATGTTAAAGGGATGGGCAGACTCGGCCCCTTTCGTTGGCCGTGCGACTCGACAACGCCCGTACAAAGCTGAGAAATCAGATGGTTTGTGAGCAACTAGACTATATGGAATTACTGCATGATAATATCTCTACTAACAGCAGTAGTATTACCGCTACTCCAGACTACCGCAACTATACGCATTGGAACTAACAACTCAAACGACCGGTAGCCAGGCAGCAGTTTAACAAGATGACAAGATGGAGAAAAGCGGGCAGGTTCGGACGCCATGTGGCTACGTCTCTCCAGCTTCTCCATCTTCTCCATGCCAACTCGATGGGACGGGCTAGTCCGGAAATCTGCCACGCCAATTCTCCCTTTACCGGTTGGCGGGCATGCCGAATTCTGAACAGCCAAGAAAGCGCACATGTAAAACAACCTCTGCCACCACTAGTCGTTGAACCGCCTCATCCTCCAAGCCAAGCTAGCAGATGAATTGCTTGTCGTAGCCTCGTCTGCTGAGCTTATGGAGTGCTCCATGCTCTCTTGCGGCGATCGGCAATCTGGAAGGATTTGGCATTCGGGTGCTTAAGTAATCGAAACCGGCGCCGGTTACCCACTTTGCTACTCATGTATGTACAAGTATGCAAAGATGTTACTCAATCATCTGATCTCGGAGCCGCGTCTCAGCATGGTAGAGAAGTCGTGCCATGGAGATGCTTGTTGCAGAAAAAGCTGATCCTGGAATCGTTCCAGTGACTGAATCGCACCCGCCGCATCCACCCTCCCCGCGGGATCCAAGTCTTCTGGGGACAGATTCCCACTAGGCAGCTCTCCGATGTGAGACAGTCAGCGTCCGTTGAGCACCGGCGCGCAGTAAGGGAGAGAGACGGCAGATGAAATGCCCTTCTCTTGCGAAGCCTGGTTTCATCATTGAGGCAAAAACAAGATCCTGTCCCAGAGATGCAGGATGCGCGGCAAATCACATCACGGAGCGACCTGACTGGACGATCCGATACGAAGCGGCAAGGGACAGGCTAATTCCAAAGCCTCTAGTACAGATGTGGAAACCATGGCCAAAGAGGCGGCGATAATTTTAGCAACCTGGCTTCCGGCCTCTTACTAAACATCCGATTGCGTGCATTTCCGGAGTAACAGCTTTCGAATCTCTCGCAGTCAGAATCCTAATCTGCATCGTATCTGGCCAAGACACCGCTTGTGACAAATATTCCTCGCTTGTCGAATGCTAGGCTATGGAAATCGTCAATGGGCATGTAACCTCAAGGCAAGTCGGCACAAGTACTTCTGGGCTGCGACGCAATCTATCTAGACAGCGGCAGCAAGAAGAGAAGATGAGTGAGTGAGGGTGTAACCATGGCGCCGCGCCCTCCTTGTCGACGTTGTCTTCCAAGTGCCTGAGCATTGGCTTTGTGAAGATATTTCGACAGTGCCAGTTATACAGTATGTCTCCTGATAGGCTGCAAGACCGGCATTCGGCATTCGGCAAGGCTGCATCTAACCCGATTCTTTTTTTTTTTTCCCTCCAGACTGTGTTTCGACTCGGATGGCAGCGCCGGAGAGCACGGCTTAGGCCCTTCCTTATTCCGTGTAATTTGGCCATTCTGCACTGTGAACAGCGCCTCCTTCTTCGCATGCTATCAACCCGCCGCTCCTCGATCCCGGCAAGCATCAGCTGCCTCCTCAAACTTATCCCATTCTCTGCTAGAGTGATCGTCTTAGTGCGCGACTCGACGCGATCCAGACTTGCTAGAAGGTGCAGCGAGGCTGTAGGGCACCATGGCTGAGCAACCGCCCCGTCCGAAGCAGGCCGCCTGTCTGGTCTGCAGGCGCAGCAAGATCAAGTGTGATTGGATGCCCTACGAGGCAAAGTGTAGACGCTGCATCCACCTAAACTGCGAGTGTATTCGCCCAGAGTTCCATCCTGGCAGGCAAAAGGGCATTAAAAAGCAAGCTCCCAAACCAACCATGATTCTCTTCACATGCACCATGACAGCCGTGCTGACCAGGCAGTAAAGCAAGCGTGTTGGCATCGACAAGGCGCTGTATCAGATTGAGCAGGCCGTCAAGCGCGTGAAGTCGGGAGAGCCGCGAGGGGCTGAGGACAAAAACCTCGTGGCCAGCCTGAGACAGCTGCTGGATGACGTAGACGCTAGTGAAGATGCCGCCGAGCATTCGTCAAGGCAAGGGTCACAGAGCAACACGCAGGAGGAAGAGGGAGGCTTGACCTCTAGTGAGGAAGACGATGAGAACGACAGCGCCGGCCAGCGGTCCATGGCCGACTTTGTGCAGCGCACAGAGGAGAGCCTGGCCATTGACGATGCCGAGAACCCTCTCCAGCTACTGGCGCGCGCGTCCTACTTTCACCCGCCCAGTGGCCGTCGTAGCCGTCGAGACTCGCCTCAGAATCCGCAGCATGACCCATCCTCGTCCAAGAAGGACCCTGAGTCTGCTAGGGTCCAGCGGTTCTTCTCGCAGGCAAAGGTGAAGCTCGATGTTGGCGAAGACCTTGACCCTGTCGATCTGGGCCTCGTCACCATGGACGAGGCTGAGTCACTGTTTGACTAGTAAGACAGACAGATGTTTGCCCCTTTCCATGAGAGCGCATAAAAATGCTCATGATTATTTGCAGTTACTATTCCAAGCTCGTACACACGAGATGGGGTCTCTCTCCTCGAGTCCATACGGCGGCTTACACGCGCAGCCGATCTGCATTTCTTTTTACGACGGTCATGGCCGCGTCTACGCTTTTTATGCCTACTGCGGGCCCCTTATCCAAGAGGCTGTTCAATCATGTCAAATTGCTGGCTCAAAAGGTGATTAACGACAAGTACAAATCCGTAGAGATTGTCTTGGCGTTCATGACCCACATTCCGTGGATATTTCCGGGAGACCATACCATGGATGATGAAACATGCATATACATCTCGATAGCGACAACCATTGCGTTCGATCTCTCCCTTCACAAAACATTGATGCCCAGGGATGCTCTGGAGTCGGGGTCAACGACGGTATCAAGGGGAGAATGCCTGGATCCGCGAGCTGCCCTCGCCATCGATGGGTTTCCAGATGTTGATCCGTGGTCAGAACAAGGCCAGTTATTGTTGCGGGCACGAGAAAGATGCTATATTTCTCTGTTTGTCGTGGAAAGAGGGTAAGTATTGTTTGAAACTTGTATATCTTATATAGTAGCCTCGGTTAACATGGAGTTTTTAGAATGGCTTTGGCTCGTGGTAGGCCGTTTATGATTCCCATCACACGAAACATCAAGGATGTCGATACTTGGCACCGATCCCCGCTGGCAGATGAGCAAGACGGTCCCGTGGCATCTATGGCCGCAGTGAGAAGAGATTTGGTAAGACAATATGAGTGTTTCCAAATTGATCTCTCCCCATCAAAGCACTATTTATTGATACACATATCGCAGGATGCTCTCTTCAATACAGTTCGTGCGCTTTGCGATGGCTCTCAGACTAGTAACAGTGATGGGTCGCTGGTAGCTCGATCGTACGTCTTTCGCTTCTCTCGTATTGTTGATCTCGTATTGTTGAATGTCTAACACGCTACCCAGGATACAAGGATCTATCGAACGATTTTTTGACCAGTGGCTTGCTGAATGGGGTCTGATGATTGGTTTGGGTCCTGGTAAGCCATCTAAGAGCTGAGAGTGAGAAGTAAGCTTACTGATTCAAATCACAGAGCGTCGTCTGCCCCCATATGTCGAGATTCTCTTCGCACACACTCGCCTCTCGACCTATGGGCGCATTATCAACCACCCAACAGCACCAGTTGAAGTTCGTATATTTTTCCGAACTGCTGGGCTATCGGCAGCCCTAAACGTGATGAGGGCAGCGATACAGGGAGAGTCGCAGCTGCAGTCGATGCCCAATAACACGGCCATTATGATTTCCTTTGCGGCTTGCTTCGCTCTGAATATCAGCTCGTATGCGCCGGATGGCTCTGGGCTTGCGCCAAGTATCAGGAGGTTGATTGAAGAGGCCACTGGTGTATTGGAACGGATTGGAACAGTCACTCCGCATAGAAACGGACTCTCAGTCTTGTACGGGAAACATCTTCAGCACCTACTACAAATATCAGGCCCGCCAAAGATCAACCGAGCACCAAAGCCAAAACGGACAACGCCTTCATCGACGGAGCCAATGCAAGAAACGCCACCAGCACCACCAAGCAGCTCTATGGACCAGCAGGTGTTGTGGCCAGATATGGTACAGTTTTCGACCATGTCGGATGACCAAATTACGCAAGTGCTGAACCAGCCCGGCAACGTGTTTGAGCCATCATTTGGCGGCGGTATGTCTTGGGAAGACATGAATAATTTTGATTGGCTGAACTGGCCAGCTTTCAACGCGAACTAGTAGCGAATGCATTGGGAGTCTGGCGGTTTTTTGGAATTTGTAGAAAGTTTCTTTTGTTTTGGGTCATCAGCGAGTGCCTAAAAGATATTTTAATGATTCTAACTTGGTTATGATTAGACAGCTGGTGGACGATTTAAGAGCGGCACATGGATGGTGGTCATATCAGAAAACCAAGCCAAAAATGTGGGGGAAAGGCTGGCAGGCGTGCTTACAGCTTTAGTCTGTTTTAAGCTTCACGCATATCGTTGCCCGTTTCAAGGGGATATTTATTGTATATACATTTACAAGCAGATGAATGAATTACGACGTACGAAAGACGATTGGCTCGCATCAGGACTCATCTAAAACAGAGACAGATCGTACGATTTTTCTTTTCCTTTTCCATTGTGCCAAGATAGGAAAATATGCGAGTTTGCATGTGCTTGACGGCACCTGTCCGAGCCTCAGATGCAATGACACCCTCCCCCTCTTCCTTGCTGGTTGATATCATTTTTTCAGTTGTTCCGCTCTTACTTGTACTGTTTATTTCGTAAGTCGTATTTTTTTTTTTTTCTTTTTTTTTTTTTTTTTCTTTTTTTGGGTTTGCAAGGGGGGAGGGCGGAGTCGGTGCTCAGATGTAGGCGGCATTCAGATGTGAACTCCGTCTTTCGGCTCTTATCTCTGCTTTAGTTTTGGGTCTGGATGAGGGAAGAGGGGCTATGCTTGTAGAGGAAAGGGTGTGGCTGATGGTATTAGCATGTTGGATTTTTATATATTAAAAAATGACTCGAGGAGAATTGGAATGTTGATCATGCTTCGTTGTTTGCATACATGTATCTGCTTGGATGGCTGTCGGACCAATTGACACACCCTACAAATATACTATAGGTATATGCACTCTGTAATAGGTAGTATTATACGCAGAGCCTACTGTTAAAGTGGGATATAACCCTGCATTGTCAATTTCTACAAGAACTTACTGTTAATAATGATACAGAATATTAATATAATTATATTATACACTCCATTAAAAAAAAAAAAAAAAAAACTTTCTCTAACATCTGCTCTCTACCAGTTCATGTCGTTCTCCCCGGCGCCATGTATAGCCGAGGCCCGGCCGAACGGCAACCGGATCTCGAAAGTGGGTTTCGGGTAGCGGCAGTAGCAAAAACAACCCCCGTTTTTAATTCTCTCTTTTGTCTTGGGCATTCCGATTCCGTTATTATGTCATTATCTAAATTGTTAATTGAGAAGGGATAAAAAGCAGGTCCATTTATAAATTAAAAAGAAGCAAGACTTGGGTGGAGTTATGACGGGGGAAGTGAAGCTGCCTCTGCGCGCTGGACGGGAACAACAACAGCAGCAGCAGCCGCTAAACTCACCATCTTCATCTTCATCCTCATCCACATCAACCGATAAGCGACGCAGGCGGCGCAACATGTCGAAGCTCTCACCAGGACTGAAGGCGCTGATCAACGCGCCATTTGCGAGGCCCGGGCCGTGCAGGGTCGCAAAGGGCGCTGCGTCGGCGGTGATGGGGGAGGTGTTTCGGGGCATTGCGCGGGAGGCGAGGGGGAAGGGCGTTGGCGCGAGAGCCTGGCTGGCGATTTCTGTGAGTGCCTTCTGTTTGGTGTAATTCGTAGAGAATTGCGTCTTGCTGCGGCTTCACTTAATGTGAAGTGTTATAAGAGCCCCCTCCAACGGGCTGATGGCAATATCAGGGGAACGAGGGGAACCAAAAAGGACATCAAATAATATGAGGAAATGACTAATAAAAAAACAAACAAACAGGCTGCTGCTACCTTCACGCTCAACTCGCCTGACGCGCTCTCCATCCTCCACGGCATCGCCACAGCCGAACGAGGAGGCTCTCCAGCAGCCGAGGTGCGCACCGCGGAATTCATCCGCGAGGTCGGCCTCAAGTGCATCTCCTTCAACGGCATCCCGCGCACCATCAACTGCCTCAACGCCTTCCACGCGTCTCTCCCGGAGCACGTCACGGCAGCGCTGGGCAGGGAGCCGTCGCGCACGCTGAAGGCGGACAACGTGGAGGGCGTGAAAGCCCGGGGCAGAGGGCTGTGGGATTCGATCTACGCGCCGTTTGAGGACAAGCTGGTTGAGAAGCTGGGCGTGTCGCATCCGGATCTGCCCGTGGTGATTCTGAATTGCCATTACGGCCCGCTGCTGTCTGATCCGGAGGGGGGCCAGACGAAGAGGGGGCTGGGGAGGGTCATGACGAGCTTGGTGGCGGTGGCGGCCTTGAGGGCGCAGACGGGCGTTGGGCCGCAGGTTTTGTCGCATGTGTTTGGGCTGAGGAAGGCGGTTGATGATGGGACGTTTCGGGATGATTTGGAGGTTGAAGGTGCGGGGAGGGAGGAGAGTGAGAGCGAGGAAGGGGTGAGGTGGTTGGCTGGGGATGAGGGAGGAGAGTGGATGTTGAAGGCTGTAGATAGGATTGTGGATGGATTGGGAGGAAGTAATTTTGGAGCGAAGCTATGAATGGCGATTATGATGCTTTTGTAATGAGATGTAGATTTGAATACTGTTAGTCTTACTTTTTACAAATATACACGTAGACAAGTTGTATATCAGGACGGAATTACATGTACAAACGGGAATATGGTTTCATATGCATGCTAATATATTAAAGCTGTATGCTATGCCAAACACTCTTCTCTTTCAACTCGTCCAACACTAACAGAATAATCCGAATGGTATATATAAAAGATGACTATATCGGCCCATATGCTCTCTGAACTTCAACCTAATAACTCCATTTATTGCTAATGTCCCTGGTGGGTATCTCGTTCCTCCTCTTTTTACACAAGATCCTATTCTATTCTATTGCCAATCTCGCAAAAATTTATTCCATGGTGATAATATCATCCGCTACCGTAAATGCCGCATCTGTCTTGCTCTTTACTTCCTCAACGGTAACACCCGGAGCCAGTTCAGTGAGCTTCAGGGTGCCCTGCTCGCGGTCTACCTGGAAGACACACTATTAAAAAAGAAAAAAGAAAGTTAGTACTCGGCTTTTTTCAAAAGAGCTTCAAAAGGGGGAGTGTAAATACCAAGTCTGTGATGATGGTGCTCACGCATCGAGCTCCCGTCAGAGGCAAGCTGCACTTTTGCACAATCTTGGACGATCCGTCCTTGGCGACGTGCTCTGTCGCGACAATGACTTTGGTGTTTTCCGGGTTGGCGACCAAGTCCATTGCGCCGCCCATGCCCTTGAAGAGCTTGCCGGGGATCATGAAGTTGGCGAGATCGCCTGCTGCGCTGACTTGGAGGGCCTGAGAGAAGATGTCGTTAGCTTTGTGAATTTTGATAATCGAAAATGAAGAGTTTCTCGATAGTGGACTAGGTACTTACACCGAGGATGGAAACGTCGACGTGACCGCCGCGGATCATGCCAAAGGACTCTGAAGAGTCAAAGGTCGAAGCACCGGGAACAAAAGTGACGGTCTGCTTGCCGGCATTGACAAGGTCGCTATTAATTTGGGTGTCAGCTTCCAGTCTCAAAAACTCATTGCACCAAAATCCACATGAAATATTAGAAAAGAAAAAAAAAACTTACGCATCAACTTCCTCCAGCGTGGGATGCGGCCCCATGCCCAAAAGACCGTTCTCGCTCTGCAGCCACACCGTCCTCTCCTTGGGCACAAAGCACGCCGCCATGGTCGGGATACCCACGCCCAAGTTAACATAGTAGCCCTCCTTCAGCTCATCCGACGCTCTCTTTGCAATGCGTCGCTTGCGCTCCAGGCCGGGATTTGCCTTGGCGTCCTTAGCTGTGACGTTTGCCTCGGCCTCGGGATCTCGCAGCTGCAGACACTCGACCTGCTTCTCCACCGTGGCCTTGACGACTCGGTCCACGAAGATGCCCGGCAGGTGCACGTCGTCGGGGTCGATCTCGCCCACGGGCACGATGTTCTCGGCCTCGACAATGGTCAGCTTGGCGGCTTTGGCCATGAGCGGGCCAAAGGCGCGGGTGGTGCGGCGGAAGACGCAGTTGCCGGTGGTGTCGGCCTTCCAGGCGCGGATGATGGCGACGTCGCCGGGGAGGGCGGTTTCCATGAGGTATCGCTTGCCGTTGAAGTCGCGGATTTCGCGCTTTTTGCCGTTTTCGAGGGGGGCGCCGCCGGAGGGGTTGTTGCGGATGGGGATTTCGCCGTCTTGGAGGAGAGTGTCTGTGGTGATGAGGTTAGTTTTTGCCCGCCATGTTCGCATGCATATATATATATATATATATATATATATATATATATGGGTAGATAGTGTTAAAAGTGTGAATAGTCGTGTCACGTACATGCTCCTGTAGGCGTGTAAAACGCAGGAATGCCTGCTCCGGCTGCTCTCAGGCGCTCTGCCAGAGTACCCTGCGGGCACAGCTCAACTGCCAGCTCGCCATCGAGGTATCCCTTCTCGAGCACCTTGTTGCCACCCGTATATGATAAAATCAAGTTGTTGATTTGGCCAGACTCGGTAAGGTGGGAAAGTCCGCCACGGCCTTCCAGGCCGGCATTGTTGGATACGGCAGTGAGGGAGTGTAGCGATTCGCGGCCTCGACGGTGGAGAGCTTGAATAAGAGTTTCTGGAGATTGGGAGAAAAAAAATTGATTAGTTTCGATAATGCAACTGCTTTGCCTCTTTTGAAAATTTAATTTATTCCTTAGTCCCCTCTTTTTCCAGGTGGATAGACCAGACAGGCAATGACGGGTGAAAATCACGAGATGGCATACCTGCAATACCACACAAGCCGAATCCGGAACTCAGAATCGTAGATCCGCTTTTTACGTCTGCCACGGCGGCATCGACACTTTCGTAAACCTTTGACTTTGGTCGAGTTTGCTGTGCCTGTGACAGGCGGATGGTTGTCGTCGAGAGGAATCGTATTCTTACGGGGCTGGCTCTTGTGGTTTGGCGAAACTGAGCCGCTGCGGAGTTGAGAAAGGAGGATCTGGTAGAGGCTCTTGGGAGGGCCAGTTTCGGATGGATTGGTCGAAGTAGGGTTGCCATTTTTTGTACTGTGTTGGCTAGAAAAAATAGATAGTTGTGGGAAGAAAAAAAAAAAGAATAAAATGTATAGATAGAGATGGGGTGTGCAGAGAGAGGGAGCTATGCAGCTTAACACACTCAATCAACTAATCATGCGAAATGAAGAAGAGAGAACAAAAGAGAATGTTATTCTTTGACAGCAGAAAGTAAATAGAAAAATGACTCGATCCAAAAGCTACACATCAAGAGTCATGGCGAGACGCTATTCTTTTATATCGAGCTCTCGGCATTGCCAGCATTAAAGTTGTCCCAAATACGGAACTTATTCGGGAATATGCCCTAGCCGGCCGGCCGGCCGGAAGTTTTAGCCCACGGTGTGGTGGAGCGGCTGGCCCGAGGGCCGGGGGGCGAAAAAAAAAAGAGGGAAGAAAAGAAGAGCTTTCTCTGGATTCCCTGTGCTCCTATTGGCTGAGAGGAGACGAACTAGACGGGCACAGGGGCGTTTGCACTATTTGGAAAAATCGAGAAGTGTCGCCGATGATCTCATAGATGGCAATTGTTTGTTCGCTGCGTTTGCTGTCTATGCTGCGTTTGCTGCCCCGTGCCAAGTTCCATTGAGGGCATTGAGGGTCCATCAACTGGAGCGTCATAGCGTGCTCGTGCTGTAATGAGATGCTACCAACTACGGAATAAGAGGCAACAAGTCCATGGGAGAGAGAACTGCGGCCTGCGCATTTCAGAATAGTAGTATCAATGTGTGCCTTGTATCTCTGCTGCACAGCCTGACTCGAGTACTGTGCATACGGGATCTCATGTTTTAGTTCTTAGCCTACCCTGGAGCAACCCCCACAGAATGGCATCTGTAACTAACGCCAGCAACCGTAGCTCCCACTGTGAGATGATACAAGCCAGCTTTGCCAATTGCCGGCCTGAGAGTATAGCCTGAACTCGTCCGAGAGTAAATAGCTTGAAACATCTCGGCATTTGTATTACGGCGGATTACAAGCACTATTCGGACACGGCCATTTACAAATATATCATCGCCATAGCTGTCCATCACGGTTCACCGTACATCTCTGTCTATAGCTTGACGCTGCACCCAATCGCCCCCCCAACAATCTACCAGCAGATCTGCACTCACCATTACCTATCCCCAACGAGTCATAGTCGACATAGACGAACCTCCCTTGTTCTGCTTTCGTATGCATACGACAAACGAACAAGGGTTCGATGCGGGGCAGGCCGTAGTGCGCGGTTGCGGAGAGACAGAAACCGCCGCCCTGCTTCCCCCAGACTCGCGAATCCTGCGCAAGAACAAGACGGCATTTGCTTAATCTGTGTTGCCCCCCCATAATACCCCAGCAGAGAAATAATGGGGAAAGGGTCAGAAAAGGTATATGCGGAGAAGACAGATCGGTAGAGCACAGCACCAGTCCCGGGGGAAAGCTGTCCGAAGCTCTCCTCAGTTCTGGTGTTACCTTTTTGGCTTTTACATTACATCCCTTTGGGCGGCGGTGAGACAGACGCTTCTTGTTGTTGTTGTTGTTTTTATTCACTGCAATGACCATTTCGCGTGCTGGAAAGACGAACTTTGAGGACGAGAAGCAGCAAGAGCTGGAGCTGGAGCATGGAGTTGGTTCTGAGCAGGAGCGCCAGCAGGAGGCTGCTTTGGCGAGGAAGATTCTGTTCAAGATAGACACAAGGTAGGATCCCAAGCTCTCAGTGGGAAAAAATGTCTATGATGGATAGCATTGCGTAACGTCATCGCCAATAATTGCCATTATCAATCGATGCTAACCAACGCTGCTTCTGCAGAGTCATGCCCATTCTGGCTCTTTTGCTGCTCTGCTCGTTTCTCGATAGGACCAACGTCGGCAACGCCAAGATCCTCGGCCTCGAGTCCGATGTAGGCATCACAGACGGCCAATACTCGCAAGGCCTCGCCGTCTTTTACGCCACCTACATTGCCTGGTCCGTCTTCTCCACCATGCCATGAAAGTTACAATCATCACAATAATACAACAATAACTAACATGATACCTTCTCTTCCAGCGAACTCCCCAGCAACCTCGTCCTCAAGAAATTCTCCCCGCGCATCTGGCTCCCCACGCTGACCGTCGCCTGGGGCATCATCACCATGTGTCTCGGCTTCATCCGCTCCTTTGGCAGCTTCGCCGCCGTGCGCGCCCTGCTGGGCATCGCCGAGGGCGGCCTCTTTCCCGGCATCGTGCTGTACCTGTCCAGCATGTACACGCGCGGCGAGCTGGCTCTCCGCATCGGCATCTTCTACACGGCGGCGTCGCTGTCTGGCGCCTTTGGAGGGCTTTTGGCAAGGGGGTTGTCGGCGATTGGGCCGCGGGGCGGGCTGGAGGGCTGGAGATGGATTTTTATCGTCGAGGGCCTGTTGGTGAGTTTTGTTTCTTTCGTTGATAAGAGGTGTGCAGCCTGATGAATTGTGGGTGGGTGAACTGACTTGTAAACAAAAATAGACTGTTGCTTCTGGCGTCGTTGCCTTTATCTGGTTGCCGAATGGCGTTGCCAGCGCAAAGTTTCTCTCGACAGAGGAGCGAGATTTCGCTTCTGAGAGATTGGCAAACGACAACGGTGGGCGCTTCAAGTACGCTCCCCGTATACTTACTCTGCGCTCTTCTTAGGTAGAACCAAACTGACTCACTTCATCGTCATATAGCCCGGCACTCGAAGCAGAAGAAGCCTTCAAGTGGTCCGAGGTCCGCCGCGGTCTCTTCAACGTCCAGATTTGGCTTACCTCGACGGCCTATTTTGCCATGCTCTCGGGAGTCTACTCGTTTGGTCTTTTCGTACGCTTTCTCAAAACATTCTTTTTCTCCCTTTATACATGATCAATTTGGTTGATGCTAACTTGACGAAAGCTGCCTACGATTGTCAATGCCCTTCAAATCACGACCAACGCCAACAAAGTCCAGCTCTGGACCGTCATTCCTTATGCCGTGGCAACTCCCACTACCGGTGCGTTCATATATCACACTCATACATGAATAGAAATGCTAACATGTCGCCCCGCCAAGTTGCCGTCGCCCTCATCTCTGACCGCATCAAGCTCCGTGGTCTGCCCATGCTCGTCATGCTCCCCATCTCCATTATCGGCTACGCCACAATTGCCCACGTCCAGTCAGCCAGTGTCCGCTTCGGCATGACTTGCCTCATGGCCATGGGCATGTACAGCTCCGTGCCGTGCGTGCTGGTGTGGAACGCGAATAACTCGGCGGGACATTACAAGAGAGCGACGACTTCGGCTTTGCAGCTGGCTGTAGCCAACTGCGGAGGGTTTGTTGCGAGTATGGCTTCCTCTTATAGAATCTTCCTCGATATTCAGATGGCTAATGAGCGAATTGTGTTTACAGCATTTGTGTACCCAAATAGAGAGGGGCCCGTCTATCTAAAAGGACACTCTATCATTTTAGGATTGCTGTGCTATGCGTGGTTTGCGTAAGTTTTTTTTTTTTTTCTTTCCTAATGCATCCTGTTTATTGTCTTCTCTGGAAGAACAGGGAGGCTGACTGCGAACAAATAGTGTCTTAGCCAATGTGCTTTGGCTATCCAAGATTAACAAAGACAAGAAGATGGGCAAATACGATCAATACGCCGGCTGTGGCGATGATCGCGATCCCGAATTCGAAATGATTCTGTGAACAAACACTTTTCTTTTTTTCTTCTTTCTTACGAGACTATGTGATATCATAGCTAGCGGATGAATTTGGTTAATTTTAATGAGCTGATACACACTTATCCCACATGTAAAACATGCCCTCATATTTGCCCCTTGTAACTGATTTAACCTCGCGAGAGAGTGTACATCTATCTTATCCAAGCCCATCATCCCAGCAACACCTTGACCACTTCTTCAACCTCATCCGTGTTTCCAAATATGATGCCTCCCCGCTCATCACAGCCCTCCACCCCCTTCTCCAACACATCCCGCCCATTCTCATCCACAGCTTTACCTCCAGCACACTCCACCACCAACCCTACAGGAAACAGCTCGTACAGCTTCCTCAGCTTCGCCTTGCTCGCCCGCGTCACAGGCGAAATGTACACGCCGTGGCCTTTGGTAAGAATGTGGCCCAGATCCGGAACAAGCCCCCCGCTATACCGCAGCGTGTACTTTTCCCTGATGAAAGAGGCAACAAGTTCAGCATAGGAAGGTGACTCGGCAGCAGCCCGTAGATTGGCGGGGGCAAAGTATCGCGTTTTGTACGGCGGCGAGGAGAGCCTGACGTTTGGCCGGACGAGCTCAATGTTGCAGCCGCTGTCGTCCAGCCCAAGCTCAAAGCATAGGCCGGCATCTTCCGGCTTCTCTCGTATGGCCACGATTGCAGTCGTCCGCGGCCCGTAAACGCCCAGTATCGAGCAGATCTGCTCTTTGGGGCTCTTGCCCAATGCGGTTTCGCCTTTCCAGATTCCCAAGATTGTGCCCACGGACCAGTTTGCGCCTATGATGGAGCTGCCGTCAAGAGGATCAAAGGCAACTGAGAATCTCTCATCCGAAGCAGCAGCAGCAGCAGCAGCAGCTTCTCCTCCCTGATGGACCTCCTTCTCTTGCGGGTCTTCCTCGCTGCTTGCTGTCACTACAAGCGGGCATTTCGCCAGCGCTGCGCGAACCGCGTTCTCAGCCGAGACGTCCACGTTGAGCTGGTCATCTCCAAACAGGTTTGCTGATCCGGCGAGAGCTACGTGATGCGAAGTACGCAGCGACGCGCCGATCTGGGAGATTGCGGTGAGGAGGTGCGGGAGGAGAGACGTGCTGAGAGCGTGGAGAGTCGGAGATGGTGACTGAGAGAGCTGAGGGGGCAGCCATGGAGGCAGAGGAAGGGGAGGTTGTGAAGACATGTTGTGAAATATTTTTTGATGCTGTTTGAGGGAGAGAGAAAAAAAAAATTGTTTGTTGAGTCTTTTTGGTTTGAGAGGTGAGATTCTGGAGATGCGGGTTTTTGGTGTTTTGGTGGAGATAGCGGGCTACGCTTAGCGGTTCAAAGCGTGGATGATCGACTTTTTAAAGTTTCACTCGCTCTTTTGTCTTTAAACAGCATCATTCCGGTGAAACAATCAGACACAGTTAAAACCATAGTGTGTAACTTCAATTGATACTTGGCTCTTTAGTAGTACGCAGTACCTCACTCCTGTAAAGCTGCTACTCAACTTGTGTAATGGAACAATTCAGCAGGCCAAATATTTGGTATTCTGGAAAAAGTGAAATTCAAGATGATTGACGACATATGAAGCACCTAAAACTATCATGATGCCACATTACTTCAACTACACTCTATATAACAAGGCATCCTATGGCAAAGCGGGCCTCATAATGTCGCACATGGCCGATTTATCTCATCGATTCCAGGACCTTGGTTAACCATGAGTCTTTCGCAAGTTGGCTGGGTTCGCAATAAACGCGGCAGCCACTCCAATGGCAGCCACCAGAGTGGTTGCAACAAAAGCAAGCCTCAGTCCATCATAGTATACTAATCGAGCGCTTAGCTGGATATCAGGCGGAAGCGTGCGCAAGGCTTCCACCGAGTGTCGAATCTCATCAATAATCTAGACAAAAAGAAATGCTGCGTCAGTTGTCATTTACCTCACCACTTAGAAAAAAATATTGAAATCGACATAAAGAAAAGGGTCGTACTCTCCATTTATCTGGTACCTCGCTCAAGACCTGTGGTAAGCGTACACTGAGCGTGTTTTGAACAATAGCCGACGTGACGGACACTCCCCAGACGGTTCCGAGGGATCGAACGAGATAGGTAGTCGAAGCGGATACGGCATGATCTGCAAACAAATGTTAATCAAGATCTACTATCAAACAGTATTGGGCTAGACCACATGTATAAGGACATACCTGAATGAGCGTGGGATGCAATCGATATAAACAAAATCGCCGGATACACCATTCCTGTGCCCAAGTGAGAAGGAAATATATACCAGACATACTTCCATGACGCATCTGAAAAGGCCCACGACGAGACCATAGCTTGGCCAACCGTCATAAGTACAAGTCCCGTTCGCATAAGTGGAATCAGCTTTCCCCACCGAGACATGACTGTGCCTGAGATCAAGCCTCCCAAGGGCATGGCCAACGAAGGCAGAGACAGACGAACGCCCGCTTTGGTAGCCGAATCTTGAAGGACGGCCTGGAAGAAGAGCGGAAGCATGAAGAGATACTGCCCAGCAGCTGTTAGTTGAACAAACTTGACAAACTTTCATAACTGATACTTTGTGGGAGGATTAAAACGAACCCCATACATGGACATGCCCGCGCAAAGGTTGGCGACTTGCGTGGCAATCGGCATTGTTCCCTGCAGCATCCTCAGCGGTATGATTGGCATGGCCGTCGTGTTGCCCTCGACACGAACGAAGACGGCAAACAGCACAACGCTAATCGCCAGCGCTCCGATAACCCAGGGACTGCTCCAGGGCAGTTCATTCCCGCCGAGGCTCAGCCCAAGCAGCTGCGTGGAGACAGCAGTGACGAGCAGCAGGGCGCCCGAGAAATCGACTCTCTTCCACAGAGCGCCAAATCCACCTTCGGCGGTGATCCCCTGGTGCTGGTTCTTGAGCACGAAATACCCGGCGATGAAGGCAAAGACCGAAAAGGGCACTTGCAAGAGGAAGCACCAGCGCCAGCCGATGTAGTCGGCAATGGTGCCGCCAAAGGAGGCTCCGCAGATGGCTCCGAAGCCAACAACGCCGTTTTGCATGGCTTGATACATGCCGCGCTTGCGAAAGGGAATCATGTCCGAGTTGATGATGGTGGCTAAGGCCGTAAAAGTCAGTACAAGTAAATGTAAAAAGTAACCAGAGAAACAGTTAAACACACCCATCGTCATCAGTCCCGCCCCGCCAACGCCAGTAATGGCCCGCATGCAATTCAGCGTGAAGACGGTGCTCGCCACGCCGCAGCCGAGACATCCCAGCGCAAAGACCACCGTCGACACGAAGAAGCACGCCCGCCGGCCAAAGATGTCAGACACCCGGCCGTAGAGCGGCTGAAAAGCCGTGGCGGTGACGAGGTACGACGTGGTCAGCCAGGAGGCGCTGTTGGCGGCGTCGAACTCGGAGCTGATGACGGCGTACGTGGCCGCGGTGATTGTGCCGTCGAAGCCGTAGAGGAAGACGTTTGTCATGATGGCGAGCTGGATGGGGATGAAGCCCAGGGGAGGGGACCAGGCTTGGGACGCATCGTCGCTGTCGTCGGGCGTGGTGAGGAGAGGCGTGTCTTCTCGGGAGATTGGGGAGGATTGGCGCTCGACGTCGATTGAGGAGGACTCTGGCAGATTTATGGCCGGCGGCGATATAGGCGGCGGCGTGGCTGGTGCTGTTGAGGGCATGGTGATGTGAAACTACTGCTTACGAGAGAGTTGAAGTCTGAGTTACGGGTCGCTGAAACTGAAGATAAAGGCGGCTTTGCTTCTTTTAACCAACACGACGAAACCTGAACAATTCAATCCCACAATTGCGCAAAACACATTCCCATGTAAGACGGTTCGAAAGCCTCTAATTTTTTTTATATCATTTTTTTTTTCCGGTTCTTCTCCCCCAAATCACGCACCAGGGATCTTCCCTGCCGCCTCTACAAATCCACTCACCCACACCAAAAGCGGGAATTGCACCATCGCCTTGTGCGTCTTTCGTGATGCGCCAAACTCGGAAAAGAAATACTACCCTGGGCTTTAATGCAGGGGGGTTGTTACTCATTTTTTTTTCATTTAATTGAATGAATGAGAACTCTAAATAAATCATTGGCTGGAAGCAAAAAAAAAATTGAAAATGAATATTAGACGAGAATATAACTTACACACGTTGTGTGGGGAGAGGGGCGATTTCTTTGGTTGGGGAAGACCGGCGAGTGAGTAAGAGCCGATGAGCCGCTGGTTCGGATGTCGTCTTGCTGCTTTTGAGCACGCAATTAGCAAGCATGTCGATCTGGATGATGGTTATTAGTCACACGCTTGACTTTGTCATATTTTCATACGATTTCACAGCAAAGGAGCAAATTGTCTCACATGACTAACTACTAGGCGTAGGTAGAACTATCACCACTACTTGCTCAATCTCTTTCGGCATGAGCTCTGTTACAGGACCTCACTCAACTCGCAACGAAGAAGATAATAAAACTTCAATTTTCATTTCTCGTATTAGCGGTATATTCATCGCCACTAATAACACATTCATTCTCAGCGTCACGCAAAAAATGCCACACACATACACAAACGCTCTCTCTCATTTCTTCGCATCATCCTTCATGCCCTGCTGAATCCACTCCCTCGTCTTCGCCGCCATCTCATCCATCTGCTCAGACGTCAACTTCGCCGTCTCAAGCGCCGTGTGCTTGTCAGGCACATTGCGACCCTTTTCGAAGCCCGGCCGCTGGAGAAGCGTGTTGAGCCACTTTTCGACGTGCGGGAACTCGTCCAGCGAGACGCCAGCATAGGCTGAAGAAGTGTATTAGTTCAAAACTTTCAAAAAATAAAAATTAAAGATACTACGTAGATCTTACCGTGAGCGGCAACCCATCCCCAGGCGGCAACATCAGCAATGGTCACGCGGTCGCCGACGAGGTAGCCCGAAGTGGACTTTGCGAGCTGTGCTTCCATGACGGAGTAGAGACGACGGGTCTCGTTGACGTAGCGGTTGATGCCGTATGGGATCTTCTCAGGTGCATATCCTACCAAGCGTGTTCAGTACTGAATTGCCCTTCTCCCTCAAGTCGGGATCATATGGAGAGAGAGAGAAAAGACATAAGGAAGAAAAAAAAAGGGGAAGCGTACTGTTGAAATGGTTTGCCTGTCCCTGCATAGGACCCAAGCCACCCATCTGCCAGTGAAGCTATTTTGCACAGAGTCAGCCAAACACAATATCTACTTCCACCACTAAAGCGGGGAGAAGAGAGAGGGGGAATGATTCTCCTCACCCAGCTGTTCACCTCCCACGTCTCCTTGGAGTCCCTGGGATACGAAACCTTGTGGTCCTTGTCATAGCGGTCCACGAGATACTGCAGGATGGCGCCGCTCTCAAAGACACGAATGTCGGATCCGTCAGTCCACTTGTCTGTGATGGCGGGAATGCGACCATTGGGGTTGATCTCAAGGAACCAAGGCTCCTTTTGCTCATTGGTGCTCATAGTAATTTTATGGACCTACAATAAAAAGAAGAAGAGAAAGGCAAGTTATTAGCTTTACACAACAACGTAGGACTTGTCATCTAATACGCGTATATGATTTTTTGAGGATATTGAAATGGCAATGGAGATTCACCTTGTACTCTAGGCCAAGCTCCTCCAGCAGGATGGAAACCTTGATGCCATTGGGCGTGCCCGCCGTGTAGAGCGTGATATCAGTCGGGATACCCATCTTGGTGGATAACTATTTTTTTTTGTCTTGATTGCGATGTACGAGTTGCAGCTGCTTAGTACCGCACCGATTTAGATACGTACTATGTCGATGTATAGGTGTATATATACCTATGGCAAAGACGTCAATATGAATAATGTTGAGCTGCTTAGAAATCCTGCCACTATTTCAAATACAGCTTCCCCACTTTGACAAAGCGGAGATGATGGGCCAAGCTGTGACATGCCTGCACTTTAAAGGAAGTGCAGCGGAGACCAGCCTCGGGTGCCAATATAGGGCGCCTCTAGTTGAACCGCTGTTAGTTTATTAAGCGCTGTGCTGCGGAGAAGGAGTTAAAAAAAGGGAACAAGACTGGCCTCTAACCCATCATCTCGTTCGACTCTCGAATGGTATAGTAAACTGTGATGAGAAAGTTAATTCAACGTCATAAGTGACCAAAAAGCATTCGACTAACCAGGCCTCTCACTTCATAAGCTGTGGAATTTGTTCCAATTCACTGAAATTCTTCATATCACCATCACATCCATCCAAAAGGTAAGGAAAACTAGTATTCGGCTTCAATTCTTATGTTCATATTCATATTCATATCCTGCCTTATAGTCGCAGATAGCTAGCTACATATTTGTCTTTATCTCGAATAAGTTTCCAATGCGAAAGAGAGAAAAGGAAAGTAGGAAAAGAAAAGGAAAGAAAAAACAAATCCCTGATCAGGTAAAATGGCGTAAAGCAACATCCGTCCAAAAAAAAAAAAAAGTTCATCAAAGTCATCTCGCGTTCCGGCGCGCGCTGTCATATCACGGCTCTATCCAATAAATAAACAAGTAAATGCTTCGTGGTTTCCATCTTTCAGCCGTTGTTCTGTTCAATCTCTGTCGTCCAACAAATTCATGCCCATGTTCTAAAGAAGAGAAGAAAAAAAAGAGCGAATGGTATCCTTGGGCTTGTCATACTGATGTAGTTCCTCCAGAAAAAAAAAACGCCAGGTGGCACATTTCAAAGGACTGGGCCCCTGTATCATGTGCGCATGCAAAAACAAACAAATTCTCCTCAAGCCAAGGTACATTGAGTGAAGGCTTCACTTTCAGTGTCCTCGAATAAGTAATCTCAACAATCATGAGAGATATAAGAAAGAGGGAATAATACTGCCACCGTCCAATATACACGCTCAGAAATAATAAGAAAAGGTGGGGGAAAGCCATCATCCCGTATCGTGGACGCAACACCAGTGCAGTCCTCATTGTGGTTAAATCGTAAAATAGGTCATCTCATCTCGTCGTGTAGGTCAAAACCAAGACTGAATCGGAAAAGGAAATAAGCGAAAGAAATGTCGAGATAAAGAAAGAGAAAAGGAGATTCCAAAAAAAGACAGCATATGCGAACAGTTCTGTTAATGAGACTCAAAGGGGTACCAAAGCTCCCGTGGAGGATTTTTATTTTCAGTGAAATATCGCCGAGTTAAGACCAGGGCCAGGTCATAAATAGGGAGACACAGTAGAAAGAATATGAAATGGAATATAAGAATGGAAGCCAGGTGCCGTCAAGCGTACGTAGAATATTCTTCGCGCGACTTGGGGGTTTGATAGTGGGTGTAATGCGCATCCTCGTACGAGTAGTTCTTGTTGGTCTTGACCTTGGAAAATTGCGCGGATCCGGCCGAAGTAGAGTAGCCGCTTTCACGGGTTGGCATGGAAGGTCGGCCGTCACTGTGGCCAGCAGCGTAATAGGCATATCGATCCTGCTCAGGCTCTGCGCGACGGCTATACGATGGCTGTCGGCCACTCTCGTATCCAGCGTATCGAGAGGTTTCTGTATAACCTTGGTCCATGGATTGATCTCTCCTGCCGGCACGGTTTCTGCGATCTCTTGCCTGGTGATAGTCATCTGAATCATCCTCTTCGTTGATTTGCGCGGTATAGCGTGAACGATTCCGTCCGCGAACTTCGAATCCTTCTCCATAATTGTAGGTTTTAGAACGAGTGATGGGCACAGCTCTCGCATAGCTGCTTGGGTCAGCCGGCATGGTGTTTGTCCTCGACAAATGAGGGGGGGAGCCAGACATTGTCGGATGGGATGTGTGGCGTGGGGAGCCCATGGGACCAGAGTCAGCGACGGGTTCTCGCGATGACTTTCTGTATTTGGCACGATTGCTTTCCGTCGAGCCACGGCGAGGTCGCGCCGCCGCCGATGAACGACGAGCGTCATCTTCCTCGGGGACGGGGAAAGGAGACGTTTGGTTGGGAGCAGGTGGGGGAGTTGGGACAGCGGGAGGCTGGTTCATGTGGTGGCTGTAAGTCACAGACCGCTTAGGACCACTAAGATTGCCCTCCTTGGCCCGAGTCATATTAATGTAAGAGGCAGCATCTTGCAACTTGGCGTGGGTATCCTCCCAGGACGAAGACGGCTCTGCAGCGACTGGCGCAGCTCGCACAGGCTCATACTTGCTTGTAACGTAGTCAGGATAAGACTGGACAAGGGGAGGAGACACTATGGGAATAGCGTCACGGTGATCTCGGTCTCGCTGCTTGTCATCGTACTTTTTGCTCGCCTTCTTCTTGTCGGATTTAGGGATGGGAATGTTATCGTCGCTAAAGTCATCGTAAGCAGTTGCCGACTTTGCGTGCTTCTTCTTGTCGTCCTTCTTCTCCTTGGTCTTCTTTTCTCGGCGAGCGTCTTTGGCATCCCTCTCAGCGCGGCGAGCGGCCTCTTCCTTGTCGGCTTTCCTTCTGCGCTCGCGCTCTTTGCTATCCTTGTCGCGCTCACGTTCGCGCTCCCTTTCGCGTTCACGTTCACGTTCTCGTTCACGTTCTCTTTCTCGTTCTCGTTCTCGCTCTCTCTCTCGTTCCCTTTCCCTTTCTCTTTCCCGCTCGCGTTCCCGTTCTCTCTCGCTATCCCGCTTTGAGCGGCTATCCACGTAGGTAGTATCCCCTCTCCTTGTGCGCGAAGAGCTAGTCTGGTATACCCGATGGCTGTAGGGCAGATCATCTTCGTAGGATCGCGATTGCGCATATGATTTTGAGGCTGAGGGGGGGACGCCAGGGGCCGCCTTGTAGGACGAGGCGCGATGCGGGTCGGCAGTTCGAACTTCAAAGGTGCTAAATCTGGTCTTGGAGGCTGATCGCGGCGGGGTCGAAACGGCAGTCTTGCGCAGCTGCTCTCTCAATTCGGCCAATCTGATCTGGTCGTCGTACTTTTTCCGCTCCTCTTCGTCGGTCAGCAGCTCATATGCCTGCTGGACCTTTTGGAACTCTTCCTGTTTCTGTGCCTTGAGCGTCGGGTCCTGCACCTTGTCGGGATGACACTTCAAGACAAGCTTGCGATAGGCCGTGCGAATGTCCTTTTCCTGAGCATCCTTGGCAACACCGAGAACCTTGTAATGATCCGGAAGGGACGAGGAGCTCATGGTGGGTGGTACTGAAGGGGATGACGGGAGTGCCTTGCAGCAGTAAGAGGCTGTGTCAAAGGTCTAAGCTATAGAAGCGTCCTGAGGGCAGCTTGCATCGAGTCCACAGCGACGGGGAGTGAGAAGCTGCGACAAATGCTTGAATTGGTCTCTCAGTCCAAGAGCGCGCAGTCAAGAGAAAAAAGGGGGCACTGCGGTCAGAGATGGCCTGAGGATGAGGGGGGCAATTTATGAGTAAGTAGGTAGCAGTAAAAGTTGTACTAGTATAGTAACAAGTACGAGTAGCAAAAGCTGTATGCAGGCGGGAGGCGAATAACAAAAACCCAGCTGCCTGCAATGGAATGCCAGCCGCCGCTGATTTGGCTGAAAAAGGAATGACAGCCTTCCGGGCAATACGCAGAAAAGGTCGGAAGCAAAGGGAAGGGAAATCAGACAACCGGCGACAGGGCAGAGCCAGAGGCAAAAAAGAGGCGGGCTGGACAGATGCAACGAAGCACACGCAAGGCTTGCGGGAGAATCAAGATGGAGGCTCGCCGTCCCCTTTTGGCTTGTTTGGGGGGAGAGGGATCGCTGGTACCTTGGGCCTTGTACCTGAGGTCGTGAGGTCACGGGCCCGGACGGCGGCTGCACGAGGTGATTCGGCAGAAACGGGCCAGGGCTAGAGGGTGCTAGCCGTGCTAGAGGCGCTGGCGCTGGCAACAGGGACAAGGCACAGGACAGGCACTAATAGCGGAGCGCAGCACACGAGGGGCGCCGGCCTAGGCAGGATCCGTCGCTGCTAGAGGCGTAGCGCAGCGAACGCTCACGTACCTCGTAGAGGGTGGTGGGGGAGGCGAGTCGCGGATGGGTTGAGCGGGTGGGCTGCGGATGGTGAGATTTGGTCGGTCGAGTCGCTGTGCGTGTCGACGAGGGGTGGCCTCTTAGCCTCTGCGCCGGGCGGGTGGCGGGAGGCGTGGCGGGTTAAAAGCTCTCCTGGGACGGCGAGCAAACGTGGCTGAGGCTTGACGTTGACGACGACGACGGCAATGACAATGGCAATGGCAATGGTTAGCTAAGCGATGACAGCGACACGAGCCGTCGGCATTCAGCAGTCTCGGCACCCGTCTTCGCCCGTCCTCGTCCAAGCGCCTTTTTCTCTCTCTCGCAGCGTTGCCGGCGTCCTCGGTTCGGAGAAGGCGACAGAAGAATATGGAGGCGGTGGGATTGGTCAGAGCCCGGCGCTGGAGCTGGAGCGAATCGGAAGGGGGACAGTGAATGCGTCAGCCAGACAGGCTGGGAGGACAGCGCTGGGCTGGAGCGCGTGACAAACCCAAAGCAGGGCAGCGCAGAGCACCCGGATGAGCAAGCGGTGCGTGAGTGAGCGAGCGAGTGTGAGTGAGTAAATAGGTGAGTTAAGTGAGTGTAAGCGAGCGAGTGTAGGTATGTATGTGATTGTTTGTCGATGAGACTCTCTGCGCTCTCCTCTCCTTGCGTTTATAATCGATCTCAAAGCAGCAGCCGCCGAATGAGTGCACGTACAGTATGGATGAAATCAGACAAAGATTAGGTGATGACTCCAGGGCTTTATTATGCAGCTCACACAGGCACACAGTAGAATGTACCTGTAAGCAGCAATCGGCGTTACAAACTGCTTAGAAGTGAAGCCAGGGGGAGGAACTGGGTGAGAGAAAAGGACGCGAGGGGTACCAGGTCGCAGGTGCGCAGATATCGGCTGACGTCTGGTACCATCCGAGTAGCAGCGGCGGGATGGGTGTTTCGCTTTAATAGACGAGCAAAGAATCCGATGACGATGCCGATGACGACCGACAATTGAGCAATCAATGACTTATTGCTTCACTCTCCTCAGATCTAACAAACGGACAGAACGACAAGATGAGTCAATTGCTGGGCAGGGCTGGTGTAATTAACTGGGTATTCCTCAGCGATTCCAGCGTGGCTGGTGCAAGGCAGATGCTGAGTCGCTGCAGCGTGTGCTGGAGTGGCGAGGCCTGCTTCTCGCATTCAGGCGCTTATAGGAGCCGCGTGTTAAATGCGGAGATGGATCTCAAGCGCCAGAACGGTCGATCAATTACTGCCAAGGCAAAATACACGCAAAATACCGAATGGTATACTAATGAGAATGCGGCAATCAAGGAGGCAGCGTAATTGTACATGTAGAAGCGCATGGGACTCGCTGTGTCAGGCAGTCGATCTCTGGAGACGCACAGGCGGTGTAGGTCGAGGCCGCAACAAGGGAGCTAGCGATGGCTTGGACGTGCAAGGAGTGCTGGACAGTAGGTAGTGTGCGTATTGTATCAATAATAGTGAGTCGTATTCAGAGCGCAGAAGGAGAGTGAGTATACAGTCGTAGTATGGTGCTGTGACAAGCTGCTATTGGGCGTAGCGACGAATTCTCGTCCCAGTCAGCGGAGCTTGGATCCTTGGAAACCCTCCCCACAATCAGCTATCGGTGGGAGAAGGACCAGAAAGAAAGCAATTGATTAGGAATAGCGAGAGGGAGCCAAAGAACAAGCATGGAAGACGCAGATGGAGCAGAGTCAGATTGTGGAGATTGATAGAAGGACGAGATGCGAGGTGGTGCTGCTATCTTCCAAAACGAGAACGAGGTGTGTGTGTCTTATTGTCATGTAGCTGCTGCCCGCTTCCCGCGTGCAGGCCGCGAACAAGTTGGTTGGCATTCTCTTGCGAGCCCGGCGTGGAGGGTTCTTTATTATAAGTTTTACAGAGCATGTGTCTACAGAATGGCGCACCAGAGATACGCAAGCACGGTTCCAGATGCGGAATGGAATCATCTACATGTACTCCACGGCGCCTCGTGGTGGTGGCTCCCGCATCAAGGCAAGAGCCTCAGCGACAGCACAGCTGCTGGCAATGGCTCCAAGGCGCAAAGTAGCTCCAGGTATTCCCGTGTCTTGCCTCCTTATCGCATTGGGCGCGGCACAAGCTGTCTATAAGCCCCGGCGAGCATCAGCAGCTCCTGAGAGCCTGTCGCCTCCAGTCACGAGAAAGGGTCGACTCCATCGCTCGTCGCACGCTCTGCCACTCGGCTACCTGCCCTTGCCTTGGTTCAGCGTCCTTCGCTGGACAGCAATCACATCCCATGAGCGTCTCCCTCCCCGGATGCCCCGAGCCTCCGTGACCTGCGTCTGCGCTCGCCAATGGCGTGGCAGCTCGACGCCCTCTCAAAGACTCCAGGCTTGATCCTTTGCCTCTCTTGGGTAGGCCGCTTTCGCCAGACAGCAGCTTGTACATATGCGAGGCACAGTCTCCAAGATGCATCCGCGCTGCCGGCCGCGGTAGACCGGGGTCCTACAGGAACAAGCACGCCAAAGGAGCGAGCGAGCTGCTCCCGACTGCGGGGAGGCCATCAAGGGGACCATAGAGGGGCATATACTACATGTATGTAATAGCGAGTAAAGCAAAACAGGCTGAAGAAAGGCGAAACGCAAACAATGGACTTGGCCCCTCCTGTCGCCCAGAGCGACCATCTACAGATGTCAACAGACTGACCCGCAACGAAGTTTCGCTCTTTGGATCCCCCCCGCTTTGGAAGAGACCCAGCATGGGCCATTGCTTGTACATACATACGAGACGGCAGAGCGCTGTCTGCATGTTGGACCTGAAGAGAGCAGAGAAGCTGCAGGATTACCGATATACGGAGCAAAGGCCACCGCACGAACACGGAGGACATACCTGATCCTTACATGCTCGTAAGCTCCTTGCTTCAGAGGCATGTGAGGACGCATGTACTCCATACATGGACCTGTATGTGCGACGCGGCAGAGCAATGTTGTCCGCATCACGAGCCTCCACGGGGTATACAGGTATCTCAAGCTCAGACAAAGATGGCCCGGTATATCTACTTGCATTTGATGTCCTGCCCCGCCATGACAGCAGTCGCTACAAGGTATTGATACCAGTGCCGCCCCAGGGGTATCCATCCAGATGCATACTGTATCGCATCGCATCACATACTGATATCGCATATCGCCGACGGAGAGCTTGACTGCACTTTCTGGCCTACGACTTGCATGTGGCCGCGGGCTGCAATTCGCTGCGGCCAGAAAGCAACAAGCGTTGCTGCATGACACCATCTGGGGCTTTCTTTCTCTTTTCCACCATCAACCAACGGCCTATCACAAAGACAGACGCGCCTCACTCACCCCTCTCTCGTAGCCAATACATATGGGCCCCCCATGGGCCTCCCACACCCATTCAACTTCGATTCACCTCGCCATTCGATGTGGGAAGTGCCAGCGTGGAGCATTTAGTCGAGAAGGATGGAGGCCCTATGGCTTTGGTTGGCGGAAAAGGGGGAATCTACGCAGGCAACGTGCCTCCAACCACCGCTAGATCCAGGAACAGGTTGTCGTGTCGTCGCCTCAGGCGGGCCAGCGAGGCTATGGCAGCAAAAAGAGACGCATCCAAGCAAACGTGCGGCTTGGGCGGGCTTCCGCACCTCTTGGCGCGTGATTGGACAGGGCCCCGGGACCTGTCAGAAACCCCTCCTCCAATCCAGCTCTGAGCTTCCAAGACATTCCATTCGACGAAACGGCCACTGGCCCAACCAGGTGACGACGTGCGGCCCCAGTGAAACCCGCGTGGTGGACGAGCAGCCAAGCCACGCTCTCCTGACTGGACGGCTTGGGCCTGACACGAGTCGAGCCACTTGAGCTAAAGGGGAGAATTCCGTCACTCCTCCACAATAAGCTTCCCGTCGAGTCTACTGCTAGTTTGCTATAGTACAGTGTAGAGCAGCCAAGTATTGAGCTGAGCTGTAGGTCTGCGGGGAGGGAGAGGAGGGGCTTTTGCTGCCACTACCCGTACTGCGACAAGCACATACTTGGGTATAAGCAGGATACTACTACTAAATACTACCTAAGTAGGTACTCCCGCATCGCCGCTTCAAAGACCACTGCGCATAGCAAGCAGAAGGATGAACGACGAAGCCCCGTCAGGATCCAAAGATGGACCGTTGGCGGGTAGCTTGTAAGCAGAAGCGGGCAACACCAGCGGACGCAACAAGACAATGGAGCTGAACGTGACCTCGAGCAAGCGCTGGGGTGATGAACTTGTCAGAACCGTGTTGGAGGCTTTTTTCCTGTAACAAAGAGCAAAACGGCAGCGGGTAACGGTACGGTGCGAGCGGGGCGTTTCCACATGGCGGCTTGGAGTGGCTTGGACAAAGGAAGAAGAGCAACAGCTTGTATGTAAATTCTTACTGACAAGCATATAGCGCCACTTACAATCAACTTACCTACCTATACATGAAGGGTATATACAAAGTATATGCAAAGAAGAAAATTCGATCGAGACTCCATAAGAATTCTAGACTCAACATCTAGAATGTCCCCAGCAACCATATGCATGACAGTGCAAAAAGAGAAAAGAAAAGAAAAAAAGTCGAGGGTCCAGAAATGCCCCATCTCGCAGAACAATGACGATAGATTGCAATGCTAGTAGTGTTCTATTGTATATAAGCGGATGATCCGCTGGCGGCCGTCTCTTAGCCCGTCGCTCGCGCTAAAAGCAATCCATCACAGAAGCTAAAGGATGGCGGTACTTGTGATGAGGGCTTTTATTGTGCTACGGCCCATGTAGCTTTTTCAATCCTCTTGGTCTTTTTTTAACATTGCTGCTATCGCGGCAAAAGAGATAGCTGAGACAGCGGGGTTTCTCTAAGCTCATGTGAGGATAAGAGGTTTTTTTTTTTTTTTAAGAACTTTACTTCCTCTTCAATGCAAGATGTTGAATGCCTAACTTGATTTAATGCCTCTATTGATAGACTAGCTTAGGTACCGCTGAATTGCTAAAGATTGATTTCGTGTTTGAGTCACAGAGACTAGACTCAATCGATGTCGGTGATGATCTTTGAGCTTTGCTTGTGCAAGGGTAGCTTGGGGGAGCTCTTTGTGCATACATCTGCTAGCCGCCGCAGCTATTGGCTCCCAGCCAAGCCGTGGCTCTCTTGATGGAGGAGGGGGAGAAGCTGTCAGTTGATCCCCCGCCAGACACGGGGAATTCTTGCTTGCCCGTCAAAAACAAGCTGCAAGCCATCAAGAATACGTCCCTCTCGTATTCACTGAGCATGGTCGGCGTCACCATCATCATACATTCTTGGTACAGTACAATTTAATTTATTTATTTATTTTAACTCCGTAGAGCAATGCAACATTAGATCAAGAATCAGGGCAGCTCTACAGATACATGTAGCTAGCTAGCTCCATGAGCCATTAAAACCAAACCAAAACAGAGAAGCACCGTCACATCATCACAGCGCGATAATGCGGCACCGCCATCTGACTTTTTGGGCTAAAATGAAGAGCGCAGAGTCCTGTGACTGGCCACGTGGAGAACGAGAGCCGGCTTTTGCCACAGTGGATGATTGAGAGAGAAGCGAATAATTAAGAAATAAAAAAAAGAGGAGCTGTTTATCTTTTTTGTTCTTGTCTCTACCCAAGGTATCTTTTTCCGGCGTGGCTTAGATGGAGTTGCGAGTTACTTACATAGCGGGAGAATTTCTGGGCCGTCCATCTGGTGACTTTTTTGTAAAAGCCGAAGCATACGTTTCTTTTTGCTTGCCGGGCGCTTGCTGCTGCCGTGTCATTGGCGCGTAATGGAAAAAAAAAAAGCACATGTGTACAAAAGAAAACGGGAGAGGGTGATTTACGGAGATGTCAAATCGTCTGATCATTGAACTACTAGCGTCAAGACGGTATGCGCCATTGTATGATTGTGTGATGTTACGCCAAACGGAGGATTCATTCTTTTTTTTTTTTTTGCCGTTAGGACTAAAAGAGGGAAAAAAAAAGGTTCCGTTGGAAAGCTGGGATATTTTGTTGATCGCATCACACGCCCATCCTTTTCGTGTCGTGACTAACATTGATTGTGTGTGTGTGTGTGTGTGCTCCGGCACTTTGCTGCATCATCTCAGGCTCGGGCGACGATTAACATCCCATCCAGGGGGAACAGGGACATCTAACTGTAGTCACGTTTCCCCAGGGCGAGCAGATCGAAGCAACAGCGATGACGGTCACCATTTTTTGCGCTCGTGATGGGCGGCGCTGTGGCTCAGCTTGTGCTTCTGCTTCTGCTTCTCTTTCTTTTTTCCTTGATTTCTTCTCCGATTGTTCCGCAGATCCGGCTTCTTGGAGGGGGAGGGGAGTCCACCGCTGCACACCATTTTTTTTTTCTCTCTCTCCACCATCTTTTCAAGGCAGACAAAGTAGGTACATGCGTTGCGTTACGCGCTGGCGTCAAGCCCGTGTAAGCTCTCTCTCTCTTCTATCCACGGCTTCGCGATGCGATGCGATTACTTTCGGCATGTAGGCGCGCCAAACGCGGGCATAACCCGTGCCGCAAACTTCGGTCCTTTGCAGAGTAGTATTCCGTTGCCTACTACATACCCACCGTCAACATCCATTCATTCTTGTAGACTTTCAAAAGATCAATCCTCTACTGTGCAGAGAGAGCAGGTATTTTCTTCACTTTGGCAACTGTGATAGGCCAAAAATCCAATCACCAGTCCCATTAGGCAATGCCCGAACAAGAAGGGAAAGCTACTAATACCCTCTAGCCGCAAGCTATCAAAATCTCATTCCCACCAGCTCCAGCCAATGGAAACAGACGCAGCAGGACCATTTTAGAAGGGGGACATGCCTCCATCCCCATCCAATGATTCTTCTCCAAAAGCGGCAACAAAAGCAGCCCGCGAATGGGAGCCGTGGCGGTGAGCACAAAAAACATGACCACGAGATTTGCCCAAATGGAAACTTGGCGATCTCCACACACACGCATACTACTACTACACGCACCTCTTTTTTTTTCTTTTTGCTGCGCGAACGCGAGACACGCTTATAGGTTCCTTTCTTTTTTTTTTTTTCAACGGGCTTCTGGCTTCGTGGGGCGTCGAAACGTGACACGTCTTTTTGGGGGTGGGTTTTTAGCGTCCACTGATACGTTCAAGCCAGCTCTTTTGCCTTTTATACTGGAAAGATGGATGTTTATTCGTTGAAATTATGGGCGGCTATGGTGCCGCTTCCAATGACCCTTCATGCCTACCCTACACTTTTTCTATTGAATCACAGGATTCACTAAACAAACAGCTACAACTACCTAGCATTAAAGTGAAAAAGGGCATCTCTTAGCACCAGATCATCTGAGACCGAGCCTCACCATTTCCATCAAAACAAGGCGCGCGCAACACTAAAAAGAATACTACTATACCTAGCTGTATACACGAAATCCTTCAAAGAGGCGCCGCCACAGCGCACCGCGTCTCTTCCAATCAGACACGCAAAAAAAGAACTCCCATCCCCAGCCTCCATATCACACACACACATCGCGCGCTTCATGTCTGCCTTGTAGCCTGGCTGTTTTTCCCAACTCCGCGAATCCCCTTGTTCGTGACTTGGCATTTAGGCAAGGGACCAAAAAGTAACCATGTCTGCGATCCTTCCTTTTGTAGTGCTCTCATGCATACGACGTACGGAGTGCATATTGTTCCGATGATCGGAAAACATGTCATGTAGGGGAGACTTGTCTGAAACAAGAAGACCTTTCTTTTTTGGTGATTGATGGAGCTTGTATTATTTTACCCCAGGAAATTGTAAATCTTAATTGCAATTGGCTGCATATGGACATGGCATGTTTAACAACTGCCGGGACACCTTTTGCTACCCCTTGCAATCGTTGAACACGTACTTTCCCGCCCTCAACTTTGACAACCATCCCCCCCGCCTTCAAACTGGCCGTCTCTCTCTTTGTTGTCTCCCCAGTCTAGGCCATTAGTATTTAGTCTATTATGCAATGCGTGTGATAGGGCACCGTCACAACTGCTCTCGACAGGTACTAGACGCAGGGGGCCCCCGAGATAAACGAACTAAAAAGTTGGAGGAGGGGGGACATATGCGTTGGCCCTGCGTCTTTGGGGGGCTACGACCCTTTCCGAGTAAGAAGGAAGAATGCGTTGGCCGAATCCTTATCGAATGCACACATAGCTTGGGAGCTTTGATAGCTTAGTGAGGCTTATCTAGGCATGTGCGCCTGTTTCTTCGCTGGCATGAGGCTTCTTTGTGAACATACTCAGTGTACTACCTTCATGTTAGTAGGTATCGTGGCTTGTATGGTGTTGTACCACCAAGTAGACCAAAGTTCTCTCATGGAAGCTATCTCGGACATTTTTTTCAGCAAACAATTAAAGGATCTTATTATAGCTATCCAAGTTAAAATCAATGGCTCATGTACGTACAATGCATATATGCAAGCTATTACCCTAATCCCTTGCCTTGAAGATTTACCAGCTCTAGTCCTTTTCCTGTCCTTTGGATTGGAAAATGATTCGCTTACCATTTTCGAATCCAGTCTTTCCCACTTTCTTTTTTTATGGCCTTTGAATCGTCAAGCTTCGTTGTTGTCATCGTCCTCTTGCCACACGGGCAAAAGTAAGTCCACCACAATGGGTTTGCTGAACAGTTTGCCTTCGGTATGAGGATAGCTGCCCTGCATGATGGCCGCGTTCACAACACATGTCTCCTTGCGGCCGGTTCTCCCCGCCAATGCTTCATAATCACAGCCATCGGATTCCTCATCACCCCCATAGCCCACTACATGCTCGTTGCTGATGCTGTTGTCGCCACTGGAGCTATCACGACCGCCTTTCTCTTGGGCAGCAACGCTAGAGCCCTGCTGAGCTGAGATTTCCGAGAATGCCTCCGCGGACGCTGATGTCGTGTTGGCTGTTTGTTGGTCGTCCTCATAGCTCGGCCGACCCGGATGAGACCCGTCGTTTGCGAGGGCCGGCATCTTGCTCGTTTTGCCGGTGAGATCAACCAGGCTCATCTTGTTGTTACCCGCACCCGGGTCCTCCCAGCCGATGGAGACTCTCTCAGCGTAGGGCTTGTGCTTGTTCTTCAGGTCCCAGAGCACTCGCTCGGCCCCCCGCCCGTCGTGAATGTGGCCGCAGACAGCTAGCTTGGGTCTCACTCTCCAGAGCGCGTGTCGCAGGGCCTCGCAGCCGGCAGGTCGCCGACCCTCCGGTGTATCGCAGTGTGTACGTGGCGGCGTGTGTGTCACTACAATGTCTGTCTCGAGCGGGATGAGTTCCCACAGCGAGGTGAGATCCGTGGTGCTGTCCTCGAGGCTTTTTGGGGCCTCATAATAGAAAGCCCAAAGCCCGCTCCGAGGGGAGTATGGCGAGCCGAAGACGGTAAATTCCGTACGCGGCCCTGTGGATGACTTGAGACGGATAGTTGCTGAGTCGTGGCACAAATAGGTGATGGACGGCGATGAAGTCAGCAATTGGATACACTCAGCCGGATCCTGCTTGATCTTGTTATGGAAGCTGTCGCCATGGTGGAAGTAGAAGTCCTCATCCAGCGTGACATCGTGGTTCCCTGGAAATTGCAGGCTTCACCATCAGCACAGAACAGATCTGGTCATTCTCATTTCAGAACAGATGGCAGGCACTTACCGGCCACGACAATTTTGGCCTCAAAGTCAGCCTCTTCGAGCCATTTAACTGCTCTGGAGAGCTTCACGTCGTCACAATCGACTGGTTAGCTCGCTGCATAGAATCATGACGTCAAAGGCGCTGCAGTAACTTACCTCCGACTTGCTTCCCTTGTTGGTGAGATCTCCAGCATGGATCAAGATGTCGCCGGGCGGGAGTTTGACGGTGCAATTGTGAGTATCCGAGATGCAGACGATTCTCGTCTTCCGCAGCTTTCGGGTTGCCATGGCGATTGATTTCGGCGCCGTTTATCGCAATAGGTGCCCAAGTAAGAAGGGATAGATGAGTAATTGTCTGCTTTTCCAGGAAGAGAATGGCCAGCTAGAGTAGACGCGATGAGTTGCTATTATATATGTGTGTGGGAAATTATGCACCGTCTTCACAGGCACGTATTGATGCGTTCGATGCTGATACATGTACTTGCCTGCCACCTTGAGTACCACCAGTATCTAGCCGTGACGCGTGATTGGCCGACAGGGGTGCTGCTGTGCAACTCCATGTACACCGGTTCTCTCAACGTTTGGCTATTGTTTGCGTTGCGCTGCAATGTCATTTGGCGGTTTAGCTGATTGAGCCCTCAATTCGCGCAGTGCTGTCCAAATATAGATACGCAATTGGACTATGAGGTCATCATACACGCGTACCACCGTCCGTAGGCCTCTGGTAATTTCTCGTTTATGTAGGTAGGTTAGATTAAACCTCATGCTGTAATACTCCCACAGATGCAGTTTAGAAGAAGCATCTTGAATCTGTGATGTGATGTGATGAGCCCCAACAGGGTGTTTCCACCGTGCCGGGATCTATATGGTGTTAGCTTTTGAAATGCCCTGCAACTTCGCACCGTATATTCATACACAATTACATATGTAGGTTAGGATTGGAATCCTTGATAACGACGCCAGCCACGCCTCTGCACGGCTGTCACGCGGGTTTTCAGCTTTACAGCTTGAACTGCCTCTTGGGCTCGAATAGGTATTCATTGGCCGGCTTCTCATCCGCTGTGTGTAGGCCTTGTTGTTTGCTGAACTAGGTATATTCTCCACCGTGGCTGGACTGAATGCCTTCACAGCTCACCATTCCCAGAGGCAGAGAACCATTGTCCCCGGCATTCAGCTGAACTCTGGCTCCCTGCCGCAAGTCTGGCCTCGTACGGCGTTAACCGTGTAATTGATGCACTGACGTATGTAGTCATGAATTTCGGTGAGCTCGACGGTAGCACGGAGAGAGTGCAGGCAATATTATGCCGTAACTTGGCATTTGGTTTTGACAGTGAAGTTGCATGCTTTGCTAGATGCTAGAGTTGCAACGCACCAGCATTAGATTACATACAACTGCATGATGACGACGGCAGAGCATGTATAAGGGAGACGGCGGTTGAGCATTCATGTGCATGTACGGAGTACAGTATGTAGCCATGCGATGCTTACTAACGCTGCAAGGACGTGCATGTACATGTATTCGGATTGTGTCGTGCATCAACATGTATTCAGATTGTGTCGTGCATCAAGTGCTTTCCACGTTCTTGTTTTCCAGAGACAGACCGCTATTAATTAGCGTACTTGCCTCATGTATCGTTGCCTCACTTTTTTGTCTTCTTTTTTTTTTTTTTTTTTTTTTTTTTTTTTTTTTTTTTTCGCTAGCAGGCTGAAGGAGACAATGACGCATGCAGCGGCGGCTGCACAGGAGCTGTTACGCGCTCTCTGGGTGGTGTCATTCAATTTCTCTTATAGGTACTGGTGAGGCAGGGCTGATTCTATGCCACAGCTTCTTTCCCTTCCTTTGTCACAAATCTGACTCTGCAGTGCATTGGCTATATAAGGTACGTGGCGAAATGAGTAATTCGTATGGATTGTTTACACACATATGAGGGCATCGTGAGGGTCTTGAATAGAAGTCGAAAGCCTCACATGAAGCAGCACTTGCAACACTTGTGCAGGCACACGGGCAATGCCCCCTTTCTTCTCACCCCATTTATGAGCTGTCTTTGAGCTGCTCGCTACTGGCAGTGCTTGTACTTGTACGACTAGTCCCGACAGAATTTTCCCTCCGTAGCAGTATCCGATACCTCGCGACGGTCCCGTGCACGTACTCCGTGCCACGGCCCAGGTCGGTTGCGGGTGAGAGTTTGCAAGGATGGGGCCTTGTTGTCTGGGGCAATACGGAGTGCAGGCCCGGGAGCCACAGCAGGGCGCTTTGTCCCAGGCAGAGAGAAGAGCCCACTCATCTCATCCACGCAAACGCTGTGTTATACTTTGCAAGCCGCATCATGTGTTGGTGCTTGGCTGTGACGGCGTTTGGCAGCATGGCGATGTGACCTTGGTGGTGTTGACTTGCAATATCCGGTCTCGCGTCCAATTAACTTCGGCAATGTCAGATAAGGAATCAGGAGGCACTGCACACATCAGGTGCACCCCAATTACAAGCGCCACCACTTCGAGGACCGCTGCATGCTACTGTAAATATGCGGTGGCAGGGGTCCGACGTCTGCCTCACAGCGCTCCGTGTCTGCTGGAAACTGGCGGCAGGGCTCTGTAGCAACATGCGAGCCCCGCCATCATTACATGGAGCCACTAGATACCTGGTATTGCTAACTGCGCAGCCCGTGCTCTGATCTTCCTCTTTGCTTCCATCTTCCCTTCTCACACAACAGAGTGGGGGTTTTTGCAAGGCTCAAATGAAGAAAGAAAAAAATAAGAAAACTGTAAACCCGCTTTGCAGAAAGTTTCTTCATCATGGTAATTAAACGCAGTCAACAGCAATAAGTTTGAGTTCCACCAAATGCTCATCCATGTCGAGGAAATAACCCAAATAGACCTGGCGTCATGACAGGCCCAGGCCTTGGTAAATTAGCGGGTGGGCCAGGCCTGGAAAGCCCGCCAAACCAACAGAACAAGAGCGGCGGTATGGCCGGGATGCGCAGCCAGATCCTTGACCGCATTGAAGCCAGCAATTAACAGCCCAGCTGCAGACCAAGGTACTGCTACTCTGCTGCTGCGGGCAATCCATGCAATGCTGGCGCAAGCACGCTGCGCCGCCAGGTTCCGGCTACTTGCAGCGCCGCCTGTACATGCGCTGCAGCACCACCACGGCACTGCGCTGCGTCCCCTTTAGCAGCACCACCAGTAGCGCTGCTCGCTAGAAGCCAGAGCGGTTAGCCAGCGGACCAGGCCAGCCAACCACGACGCCTCCTCCAACCTCCATCGCCAACTCGGCCTCTAGCTCGCCTCTCTCCCCCTTCTCCAGCGAGATTGCAACACTCGCAGCATCTTCTTTCGCCTTGCGGCTGGAGCTCCTTGACTTGTCGACGCTCAACTGGTTCTTTGTGGCGTGTGCATTGGCCGGCTTGATTCCCGTTGTGTTGTCAGGAGAGCTTCTTTGTTGCGTGAGATTTAACCTCGGATTCTTTCACTCGTTTATTTGCAGCTGAAAAAAAAAAAAAGAAAAGCCAAAAAAAAAGTTACTGCATGTCTCAGGGGATCGCGACAGACCGACTTCACGAATCTTGGTGAACTTGGTGGGCGCGCGAATCAACCACTTTGACCGCCACTACCAACCACTTTCTCCTTCTCAACTCCATATTCGATCTACCATTTTTTTTTTATCACTGCCGCATCACATTTACTGCACAGCTGTCATTTCTTGACCCGATAACGCATACGCCATATACGCAATAAGAGCAGAGTTGCTGGTATCACTCGGTTCGACTACTGCTATGGCTGCCATTTCAGCGGCTCGGGGCGCTCCCACGGCCCTGACGCCACCGAGCAGCAGCCATGGAGACGAACCATCTTGGAGGTACCGGAACCAACACGAAGTAAGTTTGCGACGACGGCCAAGTTTTCTTTTCTTTCACCGCCACATACCCATCACTTGTGCCATCGCAACGCCTGCATGATATGGTCTGATGGGATCCTTTGGAATGTTGGGGGGGACGTGGACTAACCTAGTTGCTGTCGTTTAGGAGGCCTATGACGAAAATGGTGCTGGATATTACGGCGACGAATATCCTCGCCAGAACGGACACTTCGACTCGAGCTATGACGCAAAGACACGAAAGATGCATTCGGCGGATACTCTATCGAACACCCAGTGGGATGCACATGCCGAGACTGGCGTCCAGTCGCCCGTCGAATTCGACAACATCCGGTCGGATTGGTCGACTGGCGAGCCTGAAACGGATGAGACGACCCGTGGGCGGGCCGATTCTACGGTCACCAGCGAGGTGGAATCCAAATGGATACACCGGGACAAACTGGCACAGATAGAAAGCGAGGAGCTGCAGGCAGCTGGCTTTATCCCCAGGTCACGCGCCCCCAGCAAGCAGCGAAGAGACAAGAGTGCCCGGCGGGGCACCGACGCCGGTGAGCATCTCCGATTGAAGCAAGATCAGGTACCCGAGTCTGGAGAGGCCTCGAAATCTGCTTTGGACCTGAGAACCCCGGAAGAGGCGGCGGATGAACAGGAGAACAACTCTGCGCAAAACGCAAAGGGGGGATCTCGGATACCTGTTCCCAAGGTGAGTCAAGCAACACATGCACCACAGGTGCCATGCCGGGCCAGCATTGGCGTCATCTGTTGACGTGGGCTAATCATTGTACAGACACGCTCCAGGAGTGCCAGTGCCACTCTCAGAGAACTGACCACCAACATCCCTCCCGAGAAGCCTAAGCCGGCGCAGCGCTCTGCTACAGAAACTTCCCCCAAGAAGATTGGAGCCGCTGGCCGCAAGAACTCGGAGCCGGCAAACGCGAAGCCGAAGACGGCGGCTGGTAGACCCAAGACTCGCTCAGGTCCCAGCAAAGATTCTACAACTACACGACCTACTACACGCTCCGGAGAGGCTTCTCTGAGCAGTAGCCGTCAGCCCGAGGGCAACCCACCATGGATGGTTAATAGCTACAATCCCGATCCTCGTCTGCCACCCGAAAAGCAACTCATTCCCACCGTCGCAAGGAGACTTCAGCAAGAGAAGTGGGAGCAAGAGGGCACATTTGGTACTGCTTATGATAAGGACTTCCGACCCTTGAACGACAGCTCGCTGGTGCGAGAGAATTCCATGCCGTTGGGAGAGCGAGAGCCTAAGCAGGAACCTCCAGCTCAAGAGGAGATGGAGATACGAGCACAAACACCCGAAGCAGGGACGTCGGATGAGTGGCCGCTCAAGGCGGAAGCTCCCAAGAGCCCTCCTCAGATGCGGCTGGGCTCATCCTATTCCACGATGCCCAAGATCTCAGACATGCAAACACCAAAGAGCCCTCTCCCTGGCCAACGACCCCCCATGACTCCTCAAGGAACCCAAGGAACAGCTCAGTCTCAGAGCCAGCTCAGCGAGAAGCCCCAGACCCCCCAGAGGATCCCCGATGTTCCCGACGACCAAGACCAGAAAGGCGGCTGCGGCTGCTGCGTCGTCATGTAAATCAGAACTATGCAAGCAAGCACAGCGATGCAGTTTTATTTCTTCTTCTTTCTCTCTCAAAGCAACTGCGAAACTTTTGGCATTCACACATGTTATTATAACTAGGCAACTACTACCAAAGAGCATAAATCAACTAATCCGTACATATCGAGAACACTCTTTTTTCTTCTTTCTTTCTTCAGCATCCTTTCTTCCTTTTTTTTTTTTAACGACGTTACGAACTACCCCCAAAAAGCTGTTTGACCTAAGCCGGCAATGTTTTCCTCTTGTTAAACAGCAGCTATCTGTCGGCCAACTGATTACCCAAGCGACTTGATCGATTTTTCCTTTTGTCCCCCCCTTTATTTTTCGCGCAACACCCCTGGTCGAGCCCCGAGCTAGAGTTTTAGAGAGAGCAGCGTACAGCACATGTGTTGAATTTGGGGTCTCTGATCCAACAACGCGAGAGACTGCAGTTAGCCCTCGATGGGCTGTGGATGAAAATATGCGGCAGTTGATGAGAGCAGAGAGCAGAAGACGAAAAAAATACATATATACCATATCGCCTATATACACAAGAGAGGAACCTGCTCGGGGCTACTACCGCATTCTACTACCGCATTCTGTACTTGTTTTATCAAGCAGATTCTGGTTTGATTCCTATGATGGTTTTGACCCGCCAATCTTTATATAATACTCTCTTTTTTTTTTTTTCTGTTTTGTTTTTGTATTTTTGCGTTGCGTTGCGTTGCGTTTTTCCTTTACTTTTCCTTTTTGTTTTTGAGTCTTTTCAGTTATTCGTTACAAGAGGCGGCCTTGTTGTTCTTTTCAACCTGTCTTGAATTTTCTCTCGCTTTTATCTTATTGTTACAAGCTTTCTTAAGAGAAGGGTGTTTTGGGCGCTGGAGCTTTTTTGGAGGGAAGGGTGGAAAGGGGGAGGGGAGGGGAGGGAACTTTTTTTTTTGTGATTTTTTTCTTCTTCGCCTTTTTAGGTATTTTCTGAGAAAGACTGAAATCCTCAAATCCTGGAGAAAAGAAGAATGATTTGCCGGTGTGCTCTATGGTGATGTATGTGTCAAGATTGGTGGATTTTATGTGAAAATTTGTAGATTGTCGTTTTTATAGAAATATTCCCTCTTTTTTGCTAAGCGAGCGGGTACTTGGCAGATGAAGTTACTACTGGTAGTATTACATCCAATTTGAGATTCTTCATTATAAGAGATTACCATCTGGCGACACGATAAAAGGGGGGCATTGTGATGAGCAGCCCTGGAAAGCTTAATATGTTTGTAAACAGAAACCGTAAACTCTAGCTGGGATTTTTACGCGTGTTGACAAAGTCAAACTCAACCCTGTCATGGGGGCTGTCGTTTGCTAAGGAGTTCACGGATCAATGACGTTTGTTTACTGACTGCCAATTATCACATCTATTCAATAACGCCTGCTCAATAGCTTTCTTCCCCCCACGCAATGAATTTCTATTCCGGGAGAGACATCAGTGGGACGCGCGTACGGACCAACCTGTCTCAGGATCACACATAAACAGCAGATCGAATGGAAAGCTTCTAGAAACCAGCTGACTCTTTCAGGACTGTCCTACGAAAAAATGAGGCTGGACGTCCTAGACGCGGGTGGACAGGGCGCGCACTAACAGCGGCCACGGGCGTCAATCAGCCCTTTCCTTGGCAGGATTGTAACTGCCGCCTTGGCCTCCAATTCACATGTGGCGTTTTGACGGATACAACGCTGCATCACAAGGACAGTACATCTGAAAAGGACGATTCCGGCGAGGATGAATGATGCCCAGTTTAGGCATCCAGTGAGAGATTTGTGTCTTCTTTTCTTTTCTCCCCCCATCGCTCCCTCTCATGTCGCCTCCCTCTCTTCATGGCTGATTTTATTGGACGAGAGTGAAAGGAGAGAGATTCGACGTAATAATGCCACTCCGGCAGAGGCTGAGCCGCCGCTGAATCAAATCAAGTGAATGATAGGCCCGGCAATGGCGCATTGCTTAAATTTGCGGAGGCGGAGACTCGCCCCCTGCAACAGCTGCAGCATTTCCATTGTTGTAGGGCCGTCAGCAGCCCCTCTCTCGCTCTCCCACCCCCTGGGCAGGCGCCGCGGCACTTGCTGCTCCTCGCCCTGAGACAAGTTTCCAGCTTGTCCAAATTCGTGCTCTGGGGTCACTTTTTTTTTTTTTACTTTCTTTTCTTTTTCTTTTCTCCCTCTTTCTCGTCCTCAGTTGGCGGGCGCGTGCTTATTTCTGCGTCTATCCTGCTTTACCCTTGGAGACGTTAATTGTATGTACAGCCCTGCTTCTTTGATCCTCCTTGCAGCTGTTGACGTGTCCCTCTCTCTTGTGCTGCCTTAGTGGCCTGTGGCGTTGTTACCGAATACATATACCCAGGAGTATGCGAGCACAGGGGGCGATAGCCTGCGAGGATACGACGAGCTAAGACGATCGAATCGAAAGTCCCGGACGAAGCAGACTTGCTGAAAATCCTGGCTACAACTACAGCTACAGCGGTAGCAGCAACGACAGCGACGGTGGCGGCAATAGCAACGACAACGGCGATTCCAGCAATAGCAGCAGTAGCGACAGTAACAGCGATTGGCAACGACATCAACAATTCCAGCACTAGCAGCACTAGGAGCCAAACTAAGAAGAAAAAGAAGAGGAAAAGGGGAACGAGCAGAATATGCGGTCGCGGGGCGGCTATCTTATGCTACGAAGACTCGGGATCGGGCGATGGATGTCGTTTATGTACGATGGCATGCAGGGGAGCCCCAAGAGGTAGCAGAGGCGGTGGCAATGAGTGCAACTATACCGGAGGTCGCAGCGGCATCAGGGATCGAAGCTATATCCGATATTGCAGCTGCATCAGGCATTGCAGCTACCAAGCGAACGTGGAAGGTTACGGTACAGGCAAACGACCGCCCCTCGTTTGTTGCCACCATCACAGACCCGTTCCTTGAAGCAGAGTATAAAGATGTGTTTGAAGACTATCTTCGGAATTCGGACCGGCAGCATTGGAGTTTGCAGAGCTTAGAGCTTGAAGATGGCACAGACGACATATCACGCGCGGAAGATAGAATACAGGCGTACGGGGAGATGCTGCTTGGTGAAATAGGCCTGTTTAGACCCGGGCTGCTTCGTGCGGAAATCAAAGAGGTCCAGCTTGTCATTGCTGAACATCATGATCACGCTTCATCCGAAGAGGGGGTGCGTGGAGGCATCCACTGCCTCGCATGGGAACTTCTCGAGTCTGTCAATCATCCGCTGCGGCCGGACTTGCATCTGAAGGTGACCAGAGTGAGCGACTTTGACTTTGCTGGTCAACCACATCGGCCTCTGGGGCCGCCGCGATCGCTATCGAGCGTACAAGGCAGTGTGAACGGGGTCTTTCACGTGCTTCTGGTGATTGCTCGAGACTTTAGTCGCAGGGGTGCAGCTCGTGACCCAGAGCCTGATCTTGCGCAGTGGCCGCTGATGAGCGTGCAGAAAAAGTTAAAGAGCCGGATGCTGCTGGAAGTGGTGCGGCCGGGCAGCATTGAAGAACTGGATGAGCATCTGAAGGTGAGGGCAGGGCACGGGATGGTGTTTAATTTAGTGCACTTTGACCTTCACGGAAGGATCATGCGTGATGAGTATGGCAATCAAGTGCCCGGGCTTCTCTTTGCCAAAGGCTATCAGGCATCCAGCCCTCACAGGCATGCAGTGCCGCCAACGCATCTCGCTAGGGCAACAGATGTTGCCAAAGTGCTGGCGGAATGTCGTGTCGAGAACGTGGTCCTCAACGCGTGCCTCTCGGCCTACAACCGAACGGGGCCGACAACGAATCTGGCACACATCTTCCTCGAACATGGCATTCTCAACGTGTCAGCCATGTGGTTCTATGTGCACTGGAAAACGGTGACGACCTATCTCGGGGCGTTCTATAACGAGCTTCTCATCAAGGGCACTGACTTCCACCTGGCCGCGCAGCGAGGCCGAGACGCCATCCGGAAGAACCCCACATGCAGGACGGGAAAAGCGTATGAGGATTCCTTCCTGTGTGTCAATTACACCAGAAAGTTTAGCAGGCTTGGTGCAGTTCAACGAGAGTCAAGCCCGACGCCGTCCACGCACTCTGCAGATTCGTCGACGTCCACTACATCGATGAAGAGCTTCATGAGCGGAAAGTGGCGAGGCTCGCCCCGACTCAGCGACAGTTTTCTCGTTGCAGATGAGCCCATCATGCGATTGGAGCTCCATTTACTGGAGCTGGAGTACAAGCTCATGACGTCTCGGGTTGTGTACGCGAGCGACTTGCGCAAGGCCTCAGACTCGGACCTAAATGTGACCATTGAGAGGATGGTGAGCATGTGGCTGAACACAAACCTGATTGACGAAGTCTTCTATTACAAGGCCAAAGACTTTGCCAAGCCCAGGTTTCTCGCGGGCACGGTTTCGCACCGAGAGAAGCGCACACGGGCATTTAATGGAGGTTACTTGCAGCTGCTCTTCCCGCGGCCGGTACGGGCTCTCCGGCAGACGCTGCACATCATCCGGGATGTGGACCCGGTGGTGGATCCCGGCACGCAGGCCGATCCGCTGGAGAACCAGCGGAACGAAGACCGGCGCGTCCTGGTGGAAAGGGGGTTGCAGAGGTTCGCGGAGCGGCTGCATGAAGAGGGACACAGCTATATGCTGTTCATTGGCAGTCGGGATGCGCAGTGGTGGCGCGAGCACTTACAGCACCTGAGCGGCGAGTGGTGGTTGAACATGGCATGGAAATATACGGTGCATAGCCGATATGTGAGGGATGTGACACTGCTGGCGGGAAATCGAAGGGAGGTCCCGCGGACTCTGCAGTGATATTTCTGACTCAGCGGAAAAGGCGAGCTATCGGTCAGCCGAGGTAGGCTTTTGATCGAGGTTGTGTGGTTGATTCGGGAGGCCCGGCGAGAGCGGGCTTGGCTGACCACCATCCAACTAGGAGAGGCACCAAACCGAATAGTCCGGGAAGGTAAGGTGGCATGATTGTTGTTTTCTTCCAGAGATGATTTGTTGGGAGTGTGTAATTATTTCTTCATATCTTGTACATGGAGCGTTGCATAGGGCATGGACAAAGGAGTCAAAATCTCAAGGGTTCATAATTAGAGCATGGCATGGAGTATAAAGTCAGGTGTTATTTAGTTTTACATGGACTTGAATATAATGTTTAGCATTGTAAAGGCTACTGGCCCTTGCATCCATTACCTCTACTGCATGTTTTACCTTGGTATATTTAGAGCTGCTGCTGCTGCTGCTATTACTGATCAATATTTTCAAGCATAGTTGGAATCGAGATGTATAAGCTTAAATAAATTAATATAAATGGCAGTTAGTGCATTTGGGCCTAGCCAGTTACGTGTATGATAATTATGTAGACTATGTATACACTTCTAACAATCGGTATGTTTTCTGCATGAACACGCTATGGAGCCAATCCGAAGCGCGGATCGCTCTGATTGAATAAGCCATGCATGTCGTACATCACATACATTACATACATGATGCAGGCCAAGACAAGGATGCTTTTAATGGAGAATGGCAGATGCTACATAAAGGGAAAGGGTCTGCCAAAGTCGGGTAAGCATGACTTCATCCTCCGCTGATCTTATTCTCTTCTCCGGCTTTCCACTTTGCGGCTCGGATACTTGTGCTGTTGCGCCTTGCCGAGCTTGCAGACACCAGACGCTGCGACATGCCTCGGACGGTCGGAAGATCCGGCTGGGGATGCCGCTGGATAGGGGTGGTGGTGATGATTCAGCGTAAGGCTGAGGGGTGCGAGTAGCTGCTACTTGGCATGTCGCCGGGGCAGAGGTCGAGTCCGCGGCTCCGGGGGGGATATTCGGGACAGGAGAGCAGCATCCGAGTGGAATATTCTGGCAATCTGGCGAGTGGCTTTTGATAAATGCCCATTATCGAACCATCTTTGGCGACGGTTGGAGCTCGACCGTTTTATATCAAGCCACTCACTCTGCGTGGCTGCAGCTGTCAAAGCACTACAGGCACTATTCGCAAGTACCGGGTACGCAGCATCCTCGATTTCATCGGCGTCGGACGGTGGGGCGTTGCGCGTTAGCGAGGGGAGACAAGTGACGTACTGGTTACTTCGTTCTTTCGCCTTCCCAGCAAAAGGCCGTCTTCTGATTTATGCTTCATTCTAATTTCTCATTCTTCCCTCACACGAATTGATATCGGCTGTCATCGTATTCCTCCTCCCTTATTAGCGAGCGCCCTTTTTTTTTATTCATTCTTTTTTTATTTATTCAGCAAGCAGAAAGAAAAAAAAAAGACCGATACGGGAAAAGCGGACTCGCCGGCGCGGGCAAGCGATATAATTATATCCAAGGACCTCCTAATCTGTTTTACCCTGCGACCTACCTATTCGTATACCTTACCTCTATATCCACCCGCCTCCTGAACAGATTCATTCGACTGCCGCAGAGCAAGGCGAAGCAGAAGAGAAAAAAAAAAAAAGGAGGCTTTGATCTCAATTGCTATTTTTGGACCCAGCTTCTCTTGCTGGAGCCGGTGCATCGCGTGCATCCCGCATCTGTTCTATATCTGCAGTCTGCCTGCAACTAGTGCAACCCAGCGCCGGCCTATCAAGGATTTTGTTCTGCACAGCGAATGAGCACATCACAGCGACGCTACTCCGGCGCAACATGAGCTCGACAGACGTCGTGGCCAATGGCCACAGCCACGACTTCGAATACAGCTACAGCGAAGACCAGGTCTTGCGCCCGCGGCCGCGAAAGCCTCTGCATACGCAGGTGTCGCAGCTCTCGGCGGCGTCATCCACCGACGGCGACAGCCAGCACCTGAGCTTGCCGAGCGAGAATGGCGCGGGGAGTGCCACCACGAGGCGAGTCTTTTTTTTTTTTTTTTTTTGCAGATGAAATGTCTTACTTTGTGGCCAAAGCTAACAATTCTTATTTCTCAAAAACAGCGGCCGCTCAACCCCCGTCCCAGACAACGCTCCGCCATCGACAAAATCGCTTTCTTCTGCGCGCAAGCAGGTTCGCGCCGAGCACCACCGCCGCATCTTCCCTACCATCGAGTTCTCCTCGCGCGTCTCCCACTTCGACCCCGAGAGCGACTACCGCGATTTCCATGGCTTCTTCAATCTCTTCTGGATCGGCCTCGCCATCATGGGCATCACCACCATGCTGCGCAACATGAAGGATACGGGATATCCCATGCGCGTGCAGATCTGGGGCCTGTTTGCCGATAAGCTGTGGCACCTGGCCGTTGCCGACTTCCTCATGGTCGCCAGCACGGCCGTCAGCTTGCCGCTGCACCGCTGGGTCAGGACCATGCCCAGGGGAGGTGTCTGGGGCTGGAGCAGAGGCGGCATGGCCATCCAGAGCATCTACCAGGTCTTCTGGCTGGCGCTCTGGATCGGTGTGCCCTTTTGGCTGGAGTGGACGTGGACGGCGCAAGTCTGTCTCCTGCTGCACACCATGGTTCTGCTCATGAAGATGCACTCGTACGCCTTCTACAACGGCCACCTCTCCGAGACCGAAAAGCGCCTCCGCAGCCTCGACGAGCCAAACGCTTCCAGACAAGATCGCAGCCCTGCCTACGTCTATCCGAGCGCCGACCACCGCAAGGGCAGCGTGTCCGGAATCCCCATGCCTCGTCCCGCGGAGCCCACCATCTACCAGGAAGACAAGAAGGACAGGAAGGCGAAGAAGCAGCAGCAGCAGAACGGCGTAAACGGCACAAACGGCCACCTTCACGCGGATCACGAGCCCACCAGCGCCGACGAGATTGACGAGCTGCGCGAGGACCTCGCCCGTGAGCTTACGAGCCCCATTGGCAACGTCACGTACCCGCGCAACCTCACCTGGCCCAACTACATCGACTTCCTGTGCTGCCCGACGCTCTGCTACGAGATCGAGTACCCCCGCAACGCCACCATCAACTGGACCTCGCTCATCTCCAAGATCATCGCCACCTTTGGGTGCATCTTCCTCCTGACAATCACCTCCGAGGAGTACATCCTCCCCGTCCTCGTCGACGCCTCGCACCGCCTTGAAGCCGCCTCCGCCTCCTCCTCCGTCGTCCTCGAATCATGCCTCATCCTCGCCGAGACAATCTCCTGGCTGCTCTTCCCCTTCATGCTCACCTTCCTCCTCGTCTTCCTCGTCATCTTCGAGTACGTCCTCGGCGCCTTTGCCGAAATCACCCGCTTCGCCGACCACCACTTCTACGCCGACTGGTGGAACTCAACCGACTGGATGGAGTTTTCGCGCGAGTGGAACGTCCCCGTCTACTCCTTCTTACGCCGCCACGTCTACAGCGCCTCGCGCCCGCACACGGGCAAGGCCTTTGCCACATTCATCACCTTCCTCATCTCTGCCGTCGGGCACGAGATTGTCATGGCCTGCATCACAAAGAAGATTCGCGGCTATGGCTTCATTTGTCAGATGCTGCAGCTGCCTATTGTCATGCTGCAGCGCACCAAATGGGTCAGGGGCCGCAAGACGCTCAATAATGTCTGTTTTTGGTGCTCTATGATTTTGGGCCTTAGCTTGGTGAGTAAAAAACTACTTCTCCTCCTCTCTCTTCTCTCTCTCTATATATAACATATGTAAATGAATGTTTGTTGACTAACTGACATGAAATAGATTTGCGCGCTCTACGTTCTCGTATAAAAAACATAATACCCCTTGTGGGCGGACTCATCATCACACACACTCTTTAGCATGTTTCCTTGCATATCTTCATTTTTTTTTTCCGTTTAAAGTTACATAGCATACATCATCCAGACTGGCTTTGGACTTTTGTTTTGTTTCTTTTCTTTTTTTTTTTCCTTTGTATTAATCAAATCAATAAATGGGCAGGTTGACTTGTGTTTTTTTTTTTTGCGCTTGGATAAGTAGAAATATCTTATTGGCAACATGGTTTCCTGTTACTTATAGCATCAATATATCTACGTCTCACGATGGCTACTACTCCATATTTTGATATTGGCCATTTTGTTCAACCACAAAAGTCCACTGAATATAAATTGAATGAACTAAAAACCTTTTAATATACTACGTCTACGTCATCACAAAGTTGTAACACATCTACGTCACCGGCACAAGAGGCAAGATTATATGATTGCATTCCATTTATTCATTTCTCGTAGAGATGACTATATTACTCCGTCCCTCGCCTCTCTTGGAGGGGATATCAAGGGGATTATAGGGTAAACGCAACTCTGGGTCCGTTAAACCTAGGACCTCCTAAAGTAGTAGACAAAGGAAAATAAAATAAAAACCACGTCCAGACCATATTTGCTCTAAAACCATTCAACTCCATGATGATAAATCAAACTTTTTGTCCCTGTATCCCGAATTCTTGATCCATGACAAAAGGGTCGTTTAGTCGACCTCCTCCATGGCGCTGTCGCCGGTCTCGACGGCAGGGGTCTCCTCGGCGGGAGCGGCCTCAGCAGGGGCGGAGTCATCCTCCTCAATGTTCAGGCCGAGCTGGACAAGCTTGTGGATGCGCTCAGCGAAGCCGGCGGGCTCATCAATGGTGAAGCCAGAGACGAGCAGGGAGGTCTCGAACAGAAGCTGGACAATGGACTTGACGGTGCGGTCGTTCTCGCCGTCAGCCTCGACCTTCTTCTTGAGCTCCTGGATGATAGGAGACTTGGGAGAGATCTCAAAGGTCTTCTTGGAGGACATGTAGCTGGACATGGAGGTGTCACGGAGAGCCTGGGCCTTCATGATACGCTCCATGTTGGCAGACCAACCGAACTGGCCGGTACGGATGGCGCAAGGGGAGAGGCCGAGCTTGTCGCTGACAACAACCTTCTCGACCTTGTCGCCGAGGACGTTCTTGAGAGCCTTGGCAACGTTCTCGTACTCCTTCTCCTCCTGCTCACGGGCCTTCTTCTCCTCCTCGGTCTCCTCAAGCTCGAAGTCCTTGGTGATATCAACGAGCTTCTTGTCCTCGAACTCCTTGAGCTGAGTCATAGCGTACTCGTCAATGGGGTCAACGAGGAAGAGAACCTCGAAGCCCTTGGCCTTGAGGGCGTCAAGGAAGGGAGACTTCTGGACAGCCTTGAGGGACTCGCCAGTGATGTAGTAGATGTTCTTCTGGTGCTCGGGCATGCGAGTGACGTAGTCGGTGAGGGAGGTCAGCTCATCGCCAGACTTGGTGGAGTTGAAGCGGAGGAGCTTGGCCAGGATGCCACGGTTCTGAGAGTCCTCGTGGATACCCAGCTTGAGGTTCTTGGAGAAGGCGCTGTAGAACTTGTCGAACTGCTCCTTGTCCTCGGCAATCTCCTGGAAGAGCTCAAGAGCCTTCTTGACAATGTTCTTCTTGATGACCTTCATGATCTTGTTCTGCTGGAGAGTCTCACGAGACAGGTTGAGAGGGAGATCCTCAGAGTCGACAACACCCTTGATGAAGCCCAGCCACTCGGGAATGAGCTCGGTGGCGTCATCGGTGATGAAGACACGGCGGACGTACAGCTTGATGTTGTTCTTGGTCTTCTTGGTCTCGAACAGGTCGAAGGGAGCACGCTTGGGGACGAAGAGGATGGCACGGAACTCGAGCTGACCCTCAACGGAGAAGTGCTTGACACCAAGGTGGTCCTCCCAGTCGTTGGAGAGGGACTTGTAGAAGGAAGCATACTCCTCCTGGGTGATGTCCTGGGGGTTGCGAGTCCAGATGGGCTTCTGCTTGTTGAGCTCCTCCTCCTCGATGGTGGTCTCCTTGACCTTCTTGGTCTTGGGCTTCTTCTCCTTGTCCTCCTCCTCGTCATCAACCTCCTCAATCTTGGGCTTCTTGTCATCGCCCTCCTCCTCCTTGACCTCCTCAACCTCAGCATCCTCATCAGGGACCTCCTTCTCGGTCTCCTTGGTGACGTGGAGGTAGATGGGGTAGCTGATGAACTCGGAGTGCTTCTTGATGACCTCCTTGATGCGGCTCTCGTTCAGGTAGTCAGCCTGCTCGTCCTTGAGGTGGAGGACAATGGCGGTACCACGGCCGAGCTGCTCGCCCTCGGTGTCGGCGGTGATGTTGAAGGTACCACCGGCGCTGGACTCCCAGATGTACTGCTCGTCATCGTTGTGCTTGGAGATGACGCTGACACGGTCGGCGACCAGGTAGGCGGAGTAGAAACCAACACCGAACTGACCAATCATGGAAACATCGGCACCAGCGGTGAGGGCCTCCATGAACTGCTTGGTACCGGAGCGGGCAATAGTACCCAGGTTGTTGACAAGGTCCTAGCGTTGTATGTTAGCAAATATGTTGCGGTGCGTGTAATGAGATTTGGAGAATTCAAAACTTACAGCCTTGGTCATACCGATACCGGTATCACGGATAGTGAGGGTCTTGGCCTCCTTGTTGGGGATGATGTCAATGCGCAGGTCCTTGCCAGAGTCGAGCTGGCTGGGGTCGGACAGCGACTTGTAGCGGATCTTGTCCAAGGCATCGGAGGCGTTGGAGACAAGTTCTCGCAGGAAGATCTCCTTGTTGGAGTAGACGGTGTTGATGATGAGGGAGAGGAGCTGAGAGATCTCAGCCTGGAACTCGAAAGTCTCAGACATGATTGCGGCGGGTATCAACGGAAAACTTGAGAATCTGAATCGAGGATGGATGTTAGTTTACTGTTATCTGAGCAATTCCAAGTCTTTCTTGGAGGGGTTGCTGGTAGAAAAGATGACTGGGAAAGCGGAAAAGAGGCAGAGAAGGAGAAAACGAAACACGGTCCTAGATCAGCTTGATCTTGGATTTGCAAAATCCCAAAAGATTGAAATCTTCTCTCAATCAAGAATATGCAACACGCCCGATCAAGAATCCCAGGCAAGGCTGAAAGCTCTCGTTTTCTCCCAAAAATGGCGGGGTGATAAGGGGACAAAAAAAAAGCACGGGCTCGAAGGGGAAAGTGGGATGATAAGATTGCCGGCTACTACTAACCTTGATGGTTAAAAGAAAAAGACGGGCTCAGCTGAGAACAAACGGATCTCGAGCACTGGAAGGGGGGTATTGCGGAGAGAAAAAAGTTGTTTGTCAAACAGAAAAAAGAAGAGAATGGATGGAGAGGAAAGAGAGGAAGAGAAGGAGGAGGAGCAGCCGCAGTCCTAATAAAAAAGGCTGCCAGTTGCTCGCTCGCCTATCCAGAGATTCCATGAGATTCTATGGTCGGTGCCCGTCGCCTGCGGGGCGCTGATTGGCCACGCCGCCTGCTGGAGCCTTCTAGACAGCCCGAGCCGAGTCTCAGAAGGGACCAGAAAAAAAATTAATTGGGCTTTTCTTTCTTTGAGGCGGCACAAGGCAGCGACCCCTCCAGGCCCGTTTTGCGCTTAGTGAGGGGAGGGCGGCGGCGACTGCTGGAGCATGCTAGCACCGGCGCTGTGCTGCCATTGTGTTTTGGTTCTTTGCGATTCTGTCCACCAGGGTGTTTTGATGCATCTGCTTTGACTCTTTGTTTACTCTGTTACGCAGTTACTGGCTTATTCCCTCTATTCTCTTCTTTCATCAGGCGTAAATCACAAAGAACCGGGATTCCATGACGTTTTCGATACATTCCTACTGCCTGCTTCTCTCCACGCCCCATGTCTTGTCCACCTGCTCTGCTAGAAGCTTCCAATGTCCCGTCCGTCTCATCCCTTCACCTCCGACGAGGCTGACGATGAGGGGAAACAGCCCAGCCGCAGGGCCCCCCCATTCCCCCTCCAGGTGCAACTGGGCACCGCTGCAGCGACCCGACAGGGGCAACGACGGTCGCTCTGCGCCACTGAAAAAACTCAGCCCAGCCTATCTTATCGAGAAGTGCCACTGGCGGAGCTAAACATCCCACCTGCAGTAATCTAGCATGTGTCTGGCTTGCCGCTAGTCTGCCAGTGCCTTGCTGTCGCCTTGCCGTCGCCTCTGACTAGCCGAGTTGGAGGCAACTCGAAGGCAATAGAAGTGTGCTGAGGCGATTCTGATACCTAGCCTGAAGCCTGCAGCGATGCACCAGGCATGCTCCAGCTCAAGCAAGAAGCCAATAGACGCGATCGTCAGGGCCGCTGGGGGTTTTGCTTAGCGCCCATCCACTGTATCCGCCTAGCAGGCAGCTGTAACCCCCGCCATGGCTGCGTTCTGGAGACCCCTCCCTTGCACACATGTGAGTCGGCCCCTTGTGATACCTCTGAAAGACAAGACATGGATGCCATTCACGCATCCGATCCGACGCCTTGCATTTGTCTCGTTACATGTAATCTTACAGTCCATCTATCCGTTTCTATCCAATTCCTTTGTACTCGCTTTTCATGCAGCAAACCCCGGCCCTTTGTCTCGCGTCACCTTCAGCCCTCAGTCTTGCAAAATGACCCTCCCAACCTGGCGATACTTTCGATCCGCATATGACAGCCCAAATTTGTTCACATGGCTCCCGGATATCAGTTCCACGACCTCTCCCACGACAATGACATGATCCCTCACTCTCATTAGTCCCCTCGTCGGCTCGTCAGGTAATAGTCTACACCTGAGCGCGTACATGACTCCCTCTTCCTTTAGTAGAGGAGCTCCGTCTGTCTTGTCTGTGTCGTATTCTATCCCTTTAAACACGTCGTCCGTGTTTCCTTTTGTGAATCTATCCGCTACTTCCACGCCCAATTCGTCCCCTGACATGACGTGTATATTGAAATGACGACTCGCTATTATGGCGTCTAGTGTTCGACTTGGTGTGGCAATGTTGAAAGATATTAATGGAGTTGGAGAAAGAGTGAGGGAAGTGAATGATGACATGGTCATTGCCCTTGGCGTTTCTCCGTGTGTCGATGTACAGACAACGACGGAGTGCGGTAATAGTCGCATAACAGAGCGTATTTGTTCTGGGAGATCGGCTGGAGAGGTAGGGTCTGCGGTCGGAGGTATAGGAGGCGAAGTATGCCATGAATGAGGGCCATGGCTCGTGTGTTGGAAGCTCGCCTTATTTTCACCTGTTGCGGTTGTTGTTTAGCAGAGCGGAACGTCAGTATAATCAAGTTCCGGATTCTCACGTGTAGTAGTATCTTGTGCGGCTGGGCTCGACCTTTCAGCCGTTCGAGATGGCCGCACACCCGTCGCATATTCCCCTAGGGATATCGCATGGCCCACAACATCATGAACGCCTCTCATCAGCCGTAGAGCCCAGAATCCTCTTCTTTGCACGTTCCAGGCATCTCCCAAGCCGCGGCTCACATTCCGACTTGCGCCGCAGCATCCAAGCTGCGACAGCTGTCGCACCGCCCTAGCAGCCCTCATCGAATCCCATACGGTATTGAGGCTTATTCTTCCTTTATTCAGACGTACAAATAAACCTAATTGAAGAATAAATTTTCGAGGATAAAGGAAAATATGCAAAGCTAGTAGCAGTAGCTGGTCTCTCTTTCGCTTGACGTTCCGGCACTGCAAGACCAATTCCTTATCGATAAGCACCGTTCACTGTGCCGCCACTACGGCAAGCGGGCCGGAAATTTTGCGACACCAGCACCAGCAAGATCACCACATGCGACATTGATACCAAAAAAGCTCGCGAAAAAGCCCGAAACAGCAGCACCGCCAATTCTCCTCAATTGAACGACACTATACTCTAAATCAAACAAACAAAACACAAGCACAAAGAATCAAAACCGCCAAAATGGGGAAAATCCCCACCCCCGCCGCCGCCGGCCTCCTCTCCTCCTCTCCCCTCCGCCCATCGTCCACAACATCAAGCTTCTCAGCCCACAGCAGCTGCCTCCGCACGCAAACCCGACACGCGACCTTCATCCCCCGACCAAGAAGGCCCTACACCTTCACGCAGCTCATCCAGCTCTCCGACGGATCCACCTACACCGCCCGGACAACCTCCCCGCTGCCGCTGTACCGCGCCGCCAAGGACACGCGCAACACGCTCCTGTGGCAGCCCAGCGAGAAGAGCTTGCGAAACGTCGAGCTCGACGAGGCCGGTAAGCTGGCTGCCTTCAGAGAGAGATTCGGAAGGGCGTACGATGCTGCCGCGCAGGCTGTAGAGGGCGAGGCAAAGGGCGATGAGGCTGCTGCTGCTGCTGCGGCGGCGGCGAAGGAGCAGGCGGCGGCCAAAGCTGCCGAGGAGGATGCTGGATTGAACTTTGAGGATCTGCTGGCGGAATACTCGCCGCAGGATACGAGCGCATTGAAAGATTCAGGTCCGAAGAAGGCCCCCACGCGAAGAAAGTAATGAATGTGTTATGATATGAGGGGAAAGAAAGGAGAAAAGATGTATTATATATTTTGTACGAATGGCAGATGGAAAAGGCTAGGCGCAGACAACTTCACAAAAATGGAGAGATATGGAAAGGCAATAGACGGAGGAGAGAAACCGCATTGGATTAGAGAATCGACTCTGTTCAAATATGTACAGCACTTTGAGCCTGGCGGCCTGCAATGATATAACAAAAAAGGGATGCATCTCCGAATTTTGAAACGAATATGAATAGTAGCGCACTCCCGCTTCCTCCCTCCCGCTTTCTACCCCCCGCTTAATTTGACCATTTCTCTCATAATCGTAGTACACTCCTGGGGATAGACTATTACAATATCAAACTAGCTCTTAGTCCGAATCCTCATCTATAGTAGCCCGGGCACGATCAATGGCGGTGTTGCCGGGAGGCTTCGTCTGATAGACGGGTGGCCTGTAGAAAGCAGATTCATCATCTTGAGCATCTAGCTGCATTAGGAATGTCTCCCACTTCTCAATCAACTACACGCTTGTTAGCAAAATCTTGGAAAAAACACGTTGTAGAACAAATATCATTCACTTACTTCCTTCTGTGCTTCAACAGCGCCCTCGAGGAACGTCTCGACACCGCTCTTGAAATCCTCCACCTTCTCCTTCTCGAACCGATCCAGCTCAGCCCTCATGGAGCGGCCCATGTCCTCAAACAGCAGCCGCGCTTGATGAACCTTTCTCTCCGATTCCTGCACCTCGGCATTCATCTGGTTGAGTCGGTCTTGCTGGCTCTTACCCTGTCGAAGCAGCTTGTCTTGTGTAGTCTTCTTCTTCTGGAGCTCCGACTCAGCTGAATGCCAGGCGTAGAAGCCCTTTTGGCGCTGGCTGAATGCCTGCTTGATTGACCCGATGAGACGAATGTACTCATCAATGATGATTCCAAACGTTAGGACGTCCTGTTGGGCCTGGCGATCATACACATCGCGGATGGTAAGCTGGAGGTCAGAGAGGGCGTCCAGGGGACCAGAGAGTGAGGGCGAAAGCTCAACAGTAGACAGCGCATGGAGAGAGGCAGAAAAATCAGCCGCAGCCTCTGCCATCATCTTTCTCTGGCTAACCATGGCATCCATTGCCTTCAGCAGACCCTTTAGCTGATTCTCTAAGGCGTCAAGGTACACTTTGCGATCATGGAACCAATCGTCTTGCTCCACAAATTTGCTTCCTCCTCCGACGTTGATGCCCAAGGATCCCAATACTCCCTTACTCTCAGTGGGCAGTGGCTCTCGTCTTTCTTTGTGTTTAATGTCAACATTAAACGCCTCACTCTCCAAGAACAGCTTTAGATCAGCGTCATGCTGAAGAACAGGGTGCGCTGCAGTCTTGTTGAGCATCTTCTCCAGCGCAGCTCTTCTGCTTTCGACAAAGTTGCTGTCGAAACGGCCAACAGCCTGCTTCTCAGGAGGTGGCGGCACCACATATCCGGGGTTGTTTCCATGCAAGGTATTATAGAGCCATAAGAAGTCTCGGTATCGACGCTTGACTTCAAATTCGGGCTGCTTGTATGCTCTGGAAGTGGTCTGATAAAGAAGAGTTTATTTTAGCTGAGGCGATTCTTCGCCCGTTAAAGGAGAGACCAGGGATTACTGACCTTGGTTCTCACAGAGTACACAATATGAGAGCTCGTTAAATCTCCAATCTTCACTGGATCTCCAACCGTGATATAGAACGTTGGCTTCGATGCCTCCTCCACGCTCACGCTCGGCTGCGTGTTGCTCCGTATACTACTCGGTCTCGCAGCATCTACCGGAGGTGGTACTCTCGGGCCTCTCGGGCCGTCCAAGTCGTCATCGTCGTCAACATGGTGAGGGTCGGCAATCCTTCTCGCCGCCTGCTGTTGCTGAAGCGGCGCCATCGTCGTCCTGATCACCATCTGCTCCTTCTGAGGCGGCACCGGCGGGGCATCCAGCGCAGCGGCATCCTGGGCTGGTCCAGCGCTCAGAGGGCCGAGGGGATCGTCGACAGCTTCTAGCTTAGTAGGCTGGGCGACGATGCGGCGAGGAGCGCGCGAGGGTCGAGGCGCTGACGAGGTCGAGGCCTGTGATGTCGCTGGCGGGGAAGCAACGGGCTCGCTCTCGGCAGGCGGCTCAGGGGGGGTCTGGCTGGAATCAGCCCATGGCGATTCTTCGACGTCCATTGCGATGCGGGGATTTGTCACTACGGGTGCGACGGGCCAGGTTTTGGCGGAGCGAGTTGAGGAATTGGACGCTGGCGTGGAGCTGCGAAGAAGGACAGAGCAGCTTGCTCGACGCAGAGTGGCGTAGAGCGATTGGGGACTACCGGTGCCCGGCTAGCGCCTGTTCAACGTCAGCGGTTGCGTACCTGTACGAGGCTGCCACCAGCTGCCTGCTAGTGAGCTCCCCCACCAGCACTTCAGCAAAGGCCTCAGCCTCGAGGTATTCATTTGCTGCATTCAGCACCTACCCAGTATGTACTCTGCAACATCAGTCCCTATTTTGTGCCCTGGTGCCGCCGAATTGAAAAAGAGCTCACAGAGCAATATGAATGCTAATATATGGATATTATTATGCATGAGAAGGAAAGAAATAATAGATATTAGATTCTCATTCTATCGTTATTCCCTATAACAAACAAAACCAAGAAATTCAAACACCAATTCCAAGTCTGTCCTCATAGCACGCATTAAATCGCCCCTTCCAATAGTCCTATATCCATTTGTAAGTGCTTAGTTTCCGTGATACATTTTATTATTCCCCTAATCAGAGCTGTATGCTTGATTATCCATTTGCTGGCTATTTGCTTCACTCGTCGCGGTCAAATCGATGAAACCCCTAAACCCCTCGCGGATCTATCGGTCAGGGTCGTAGCATCCGCCAGCTATAACGAGATTCATTCGAGTGAATTTGACTTTGGTCACGGGCGTCTTCTTTGTTGGGAAAGCCGAGATTTGATCGGGAGTTATCATCACTTCCTTGCTCTTCTTCTTGGTGCCGGTGGTCGCACCTGTAGCAGCGGACTGACCCGAGGCTCCCGCGTTGATCCGTGATGCCTCACCGTTGGGACCGTTGATAGCTATATCTGTGCCCGCAGTTGCAGCCTCGAGACCGGCTTGTTGGGCTGCTTTATGAGGATCCGCCGGCGATTCGACGTCCCACAATCGAACAGTGCCATCTTGGCCGCCGGATGCGAGAACGTTGGATTCAACGCTAAAACTGAGCGACCAGATACCTCCTTTCCCGTGCCCACGAGAACGCTTGATGCGGGTTCCCTTGACCAGATCCCAGAAGAAAATGTTGCCGGCAATATCTGCACTGGCCAAGATCTTACCGTTGGGAGCACATTCTAGAGCGCTTATGTACTCTGTGTGGCCCGTGAATACTCTTACGCAGGCACCAGTAGTTACTGACCACATGCGGATTGACTTGTCCGTCTCATCTGAGGCTGAAAAGACGTACATACCGTTGGGGTGCCATACAATGGCCGAGATGGCGGTATCGTGGCCGACAAGAAGCCGCTGGGGTGACGCGTGATCCTGCATCCAAACTCGAACAACCTTGTCATAGCCACCGGTCAAGAAGTAATGTCCGTGAGGGCTCCATTGCGCCCTATAGACAGGCCCATCGTGTGACTTGTACACACATAAGCAGGTCCAGGATTCCAAGGACCAGAGCCGTATTTGTCCGTCTCCTGAACATGACAGCAGTAATTTTGGTCGCCCATCAATGGCTACATTTTGTCGACCTTCATCGCCAAAGAGTTTTTGAGGGGGTCCCGAGGCTGAGTCTGAAAACGAAATATCGTATACGGGCCCAAAGTGTCCAATAAGTTTTCGGCTGTTGAACTTAGTGCCCTTTTCGTGAGCATTTGAGCTGGGGAGGGCTTTGCCGTCGAGGGACCAAACGCGGATGTAGGATTCACTGGTACCAACAGCTGCTAGTTGTCCATCATCAGAAAATTCCATGCATGAAACGCTATCTCATGGTTAGTCTATGCGCCTTTCTTAGATGCTTGGAGAGCAAAGTTACTTACCTTCCAAAGGTGTTGTGGAACGTAAACATGCAAGCGCTTACGGGGACACCGACGCCGCCTGTTCGCCCTTCGATCTTGAATCTGTCCCTGTTCTCTCGCAGCTTTTGCATCTCAAGCATGATATCACGTGGTCGAGACGGCGGCAGAGGTAGGTCTGATCTGTTTGGAGCATCTGCACTCTCTTCCCTCTTAATCTTCCGATCAAGTTCTTCTATCAGGCTAGCCCCACCGGGGGGTGGCGGAACTCGCCGCTCCTCGTCTTCGATTTCAGCGCGGACGTCGTCGCGGAGATCTGCATCCATTGGTAGAGGGCCGAGGCTAAGGGGCGCTGCCGGATCCAAAATATCCTTGTTAGACAATCCGATGTTGACTCCAGGAATGCCTTCTCTGGCGTCGATCTCTTCGATTTCTAGACTCTTGGACTTTCTAAAAACCGCCTCAAAGCTGAAGGGGGTAATCGGTCCACGAGCAGTTGAATCGACTTGACAATACGAGACAAGAAGCTGTCGGATAACAGAGCCGCCGTGATCAGACTCTCGCTCAAGAAAGTTAAAAAGGTCGCCAGTCGCATGTTGATTCAAGGGAATGCGATACTTGTTTTCCTTGTACAATTTGGTAACAGGGTTCTCGTTTACATGCTGGGGGAGTGTAATTGTTGCGAATATTTTTAGATCATCAGCGTGTGATGCTTGAAAATGTTGGCCGATGTCTCTCAGAAATAGTTTACCCTCTTCCGTGTACCCATTTCCGACTAGCTCGATGAAGGAATATACGAATGTAGGCCAGAGAAGTTTGGATAGCTCAAACTGTATACAATGTTTTTAGTAGGTGGCAATGGGCCGCTGGTCGGGAGCATTACTGACTTTGTAGATTTCAAGATTATTTTCAACCCAATCCCTTAATAATCGGAACGCTCTGGAATACTTTTTGGGACCCAAGTTTGCTAGTTGTTGAACTGGTTTACCGTCATTGCCAAGATGTTTTGACTCTTGTCGGAAAACTTCTTCTGTCCTATTGAACCCCCTTTTGAGAAGGTAGTCCGTGACCTAGTAAGATATCGTTAGCCAAGATGTCTTGGACATTCCAGAAACACAAATAATAGGCCGAAGAAATAAAAGACGGAGATGAGGGGATGGGGGTTCAGGGGTAACGGAAAATGAACGCAACAGCCATCTTGGAAAGCTTGTGCTAGCCAGAAAGATTCTGACCAAGTCTTAGAGGACAGTGAGTGGTGTGCCATGATGTGGCATCATCATATAGCCAGAAGCGGTGAAGGTACTGGCGACAAATGGAGGGCTACAGGCACCTCAACACAAATAAGATGAACACTGATATTAGATGGAGAGTGAAGATATGTTCGTCTCGTGCCAAGATGGCCTTGAGACCTCGAAAAGAGCAAAGGCTTGACGCTTGATAAAGCACCACGTACAATCTGGTTAAGATTCTGATTTGACATTGCCCCTCCAGTCGTGCCGGTTGTGGTGGTTGCGGCAGGCGGGCCAGCTGGCGACGTTGCTGGTTGTCCTCCATACGAGTTGGCCGCACCAGCTCCCTGGGCTGGTACTTGAGCTGCCATCGTGAGAAGAGAGAGCAGACGCCGCTGTTATATAGACAGAAATGAAGACGGTTTGGTGTGCCTTCAGAAATACCCAGTCTCAAGGTGACAGTATCATATCAGATCCTTGAAAAGCGCGAGGTGGAGCGAAGCGCAAATTGTGGCAGCACGTCCAAGTGAGATGAGCTATGCCTGATTCTCACGTTCTTGATCGTGTGGCGGTATGTTGATTGGGGTTTCTCTGGACAGGCGCTCAATGAGACACGCTAAGATCGCGAATTTTGCCTGGTATGTCGTTTACGTGGATTTTGGTGATAAATTGGACTCTGCAGACGACCAAAAAGGCACTTTCTGTGATGATTAGATTGTTGGGCTTAATGTGAAAGCATTAGAGTTTAGGTGACGGGGAGAAATCGCGAATCGCTGGTGGGAGCGGGATAGCCGATGTTTAAGCGGCGCCTCTCTCAGATGCTGCTCAGCTGCAGCAAACGGAGGGCATGACCCATTTGTTTGCATAGAATTTCTCATGAATGTGATAGATATAGCATTATTTCGAATAATCCAAGGCATTATCGCCTTTGTTGCAAACGCAGGAGTTACAGTTTGTGGAAGGTTTGTGATATGGGTTACCAGACGATTCGCGACATCTTATCGGCGCGTTGGGCTGACCCACAGCGACTTAACAGCACTCTCTTTCAAAGCGCACCTCAAGCTTCATGTTCATACCACACTACCTTCTATGGTCTTCATCAAAGTTTGAACTTGCAACTACATAGAGCTCATTCCAATTCAAAATACCACCACATACGGCATTTTTACCCCCGAGGATCCTCGCAAGGGATCGCGCAGCTCTGCCCAATTTCATCCAACCGAGCCTGTTCGCTCAATCCCACAGCCATGGCTTCACCAGAGGATATCGTTATGGGGGATGAGAGAGAAGACGCCGCTCAGCCCCAAGCCCCCTTCACCTTGGAGGAAAATATCGCTCAGCTCAATGCTATCGACAAATCTATGGTACAGCTTATGAATCACACTGCCGCTGCGCTTGGCGCCCTCACAACACCAGACTCGTCCGACGACAGCGGCCCTTCGGCATCAGTAGACTCGGCAGCGCAAAAGGAGACATTTCGACAAGCAACAGACACTTTTCTGAGCACGCTCCACAGCATTGATGTGCGAATGAAGCGGCAGATTCTCGCACTGGAGGAAGCGGGCATCGTCAACCTTTCTTCCGGCGCACCTCGTCAAGGCCCCAACCCTGGCACCAAGCCGTCTCTGAAGCCTAATGGAGTTGGGGCCATCGGGAACCTCGATGTTGGATGGCTGAATAGCCGGGGCACCAAAGTAGAGCGAGATATGGAGCTAGAGCTGTGGAAAAGGACTCGGGAGATCCTTGAAAAAGATGAAGGCAATATCAAGAAGGAGTGACGAATGATACGACGCGCTTTAACGAATATACATTTAGAGTACTTGGGTATATACACCTTACGGCATGTCAATCCCATATGTCCACAGATGCGACACTACTAACACGATTTTGCAGGTGATAGCTAGTAGAGAACCACTGTTGGTAATACTCTTTACCTGATGCCGCAACGATTCACGCCTTCTCCTCAGATACCCGCTTCCTTATCACAGAGCCTGTTATAGGCATGTGTAATTTGATCAGGACCATCGCGTGGTCGTGGTATAATATTCTCGGGTTGGATGCTAATATTGGGCGTCAGTTTAAGGACGAACCCTAGCATTTATGGATAGCATTGGCACTTACAGGGCGTCAAAGAAGTGGCAGGAAAACCCACCTGAATTAGGCGTTGAGTCTTTAGCTGGAGGAGGAGAGTTAAATTTTGGAATGGCGAAATGAACAGAATTGATTTAAAAATCTTACCCTGGTATCCGGCAAAAGAAACACAGTTTTTCCTCGCGTTGCAGCTATACTGGCACCTATTCTCGGCCCATGGGACCCACGTGGTACCCAAGGTGAAACGCTGGGTATGTTAGATGATGGCATTTCCTTTAGAATCATGAATGAGGCGGCTCTTACATCGGTATCGCCCACGGTTTGATGGCGCGCTACCCAAGCTGGATCGAGAATCAATTGGCCCGGAAACTGGGATGAAGGCTTCACCTCGTGGTAGTGAATCGTCCACTGATCATACGTTTTGGGAGATCCGAAGACACAGGCTTTCATGCGTTGTTGACCACCCGCAATGACTTCTTGGTCATGAGTCCAGGGATTACTGGCAATGGCGCCACTCAATGAGGCAGCCAATAAGATCAAGACAAGGCGAAACGCGGCGGAAAGGCTCCATGGAGGAATCATGGTGGCCGAGATGAATTAGTGGAGGAGTCGTATGGCGGCGACAGAATTGTCTCGATCAACTGGGTGTAGGGCAAAACGACTTCAAATTTATTTTGAGACAAGCTGGATGAGTGCGGCTGTTTGATCCAGCATTTTTCTTTGGCAGCGATAGTTTGTCGTTTTGGTGATTAAGAGCTGCCCCTCTCAGGCATTCGCTCCCGTGTCATAGCGTCATCATAGGCTCGTTTTGCTCCCGCCTCTAAGCACAAGGAATAGGAAGCAGCTAAGAGAGCCACTGCCGCCTAGCGAATGCTTGATTTGGTGTCCAAGTTGAACGCTCTCTCCAGGTCGATTTGACGACGGCTTCCCGAATTAAAGGGACTGGATTTTGGCAAGGTGCACCGCCCATTCCGTGCTACATTCCGGCATCTCACTTTACAGCTGCTGGATGGCAATGGCAATCGAATAGGCTACCTCGGGGCTTGGCGTTCTAGCATGGCAAGCGTGGCTCTCCCCGTGCCCACGCCTCTACATTTATAGCATTTATTGGTCACTACCAAGCACTTATCGCGCTGCATTGGGCTCTTTCGATGGGTGGAGCGATAAATATTATCCATGTCGAACTATGGAGCGCACCGCTGGCTGACACCATGTGGAGGAAACCAGATTCCCTTACTTCGGCGGCACAGTTGTGATACGATCCCGACTCTAGAACTAAGATCTAGGAGCAGTATTTGTTCTAGCATAGTAGGTAGTAAATAGTAAGCAGTACCTATCTTGGACGTGAATACCATAATAGCCGCGCTTGGCACATAGGATTTGCCGCGTCTTTTGCTGCTGGTACTACATGCTGCATGCAGTATCTCTCATGCCTCGCCCAATGGAGCTGCGGCGATTCTTTTTGCGGGGACGCATCCCGGCCGCTGGGTCTCGCCTTGGCTCTGCCACCAGTTCGTAACGGAGGTACTTTGTTTTAGTGCGTGCGCAATAGTGCATTGCAAGTCTCTTGGTTCGTCCGGAACAACGTCGGTGCCAGGCCTCCCTGCGCGTCCCCATGAATTTGGTGGCTTTTCATCTCCGATCAAGCCGCTCGACCAAATGTTTCGATCTCTGGTAAACACCTGGCCGAGGTTTCTGGCGTCCACTCGCTGCGATTGCAAGGACGTCGAAGCATAGTGCAGTCGGACTGTAAGAGGTGAGAGAAGAGAATCGCTTTTTTCTTCTCTTTCTTTTCATCTTCTTTTGTTTATTCATATCAAGATGATGCAGCCATCACGGCCAGCGGCCATGGCCCTGCTGCTGTCGATCGCATCCTTCGGGGCGCTTGTGCATGCTCACGACCACCACGGCGGCGAAAGTCACATCCCCGAGGGAGAAGCGATATCATTTGATCCCATCGTGAGTTGCCCATGGACAATACCGGAAATACAAAATCCAAAGAGAACTTAGACGGAATTAACATCAAGTACAGGACAAAATCCTCTGGGTCCACATCCTAATCCAGATGCTCGCCTATGGCATCATTTTCCCAATCGGCATGGTCTTTGGTGTAAGACTTCACGACTCTGCTGCCAGCCACTTCTCTGGAAGCAAAGTGTTTGATCTGATCTGACATGTCCATAGATTACCAAGTCACGATGGCATGTTCCCACGCAAGTCCTCGGCTCTGTTCTCGCCGTTGTCGGTTTCTTTCTCGGTCATGCGCACAAGGGACGCGAGTTTGTCGAAAACAATGTGCACTCGATATTCGCAAACATCCTGCAGCTCCTGCTTGTCGGCCAGGTGGTTCTAGGCCTATATCTGAAGCTCCACTGGGAGAAGGGCGTCCTGGGCGTGATTCGCAAGTTTGTCCGACCCTTCCACTCCATTATTGGAAAAGCAATGCCTCTTCTGGCCTGGGTGCAGATGATTTTTGGAGGCATCACGACCCTCGGCTTCTGCCAGGGCGACCACGTCGGCCAATGCGCAGCTCATTTCATCATGGGTGGCGCATTTATCGCTTACGGCATCATTTTGACTATTATCCTCCTTGCCGGACAGGCTTGGGTTCGCCGCACAGGCCGATCTCAAGAGTTTTACGACAGCTCCATTATTGCCATCTGGGGCTGTATCAATACATTCACGGAGCATCGCTGGGGTACCGCCTGGGTCAAGAATGATTGGCAACACACTACAATGGGTGTCATCTGGTGGTGTGCCGGTTTGGCCGGTATCTGGCTGAGCCGAGATCGCGACGGCAACCCGAAGCGCAACTTTATCCCGGGATTCGTCATCTTCATTACCGGCTGGGGCATGTCCGCGCACCCCCAAGAGCTGATGGTCAGCGCCATGACACATACCATGTTTGGCTATACTTTGATGGCTGCCGGTCTTACACGCATCATTGAAATTGCGTTTGTTCTGAAGGATGCTCAGTCTCTGGCTGACGATGGCCGTTCGTGGAACAGCTTCCAGTTTATCCCTGTTTTTGTAAGTACATATTGCAGTTACCACACCATACGACGCCATTTCTAATCTCTCATAGCTCTTGTACGCCGCCGGTTTCCTCTTCCAAGGTGCAACTGAGCAACAGATGGCCCTCCTCGACGGCTCCAGCATGGATGTCATTTCTTATATCCTAATTCTATACTCTCTCGCATTTTTAATGTTTTTATTCGTCAACATGCTCATCCACCTACACGATCGCCTTTCCAACCCGCCGTTAAATACTAAAGGATTCGCCAATGGCCATACCCACTTAAACGGACGAGCGGTGGAAGACGGCCAAATCCGGGCGGCAGAGGAGTTCGAGCTTGAGGGCTTAACATCCGATGACGAGGACGATGAGAGACAGGGAATGCTAGCAGGGGAAGGGAGCCACATCCCGAAGCGATCCGCTGCAACTCAGTCATAAGCTTCATGTGATAGTTGAAACTAACGCCAAAGAGAAAAGCATATTTTGGAATAATTTGTTTACATAAGGTGTAAGTGTGTTTTGGAGTCTGCCTATGCATAACGTCTGTATACTACTGGGAGGTAAAGCAATGATTAAGGTCTGGGGCTATTGTTACGGCTAGAAAAGTAACCTCATGTAATGATATAATGGTATTGAGTGTAGCAAATTTACCAGTAGATTTTGTCCTCGGCTGCGAGCTAGATTTCGTGATCAACAATTCTGATCAGCGTATCGCATCCAGGGACGAAGTACTTTCGTACCTGTATATTCCAGGGTCCGGCCAAAAAAAGCTAGGCAGGTGGCTGTTTTTTCAGGTGGGGCACAACTTTTTTTCTTTGGTAGCACTTCCAAACCTCCAAGAACTTTCTACGAAACTACACAATAAACGAATACAACGTTTGTTTCGGCCATATATCAGCATAGCTCCACATTAAAATCACAATGCCTTCCGTCAAGAACCCCAATCGCCCCTCAAAGAACAGGCTCGCCGCCCGTGCTGCCAAAGCCAAGAAAGCGAACCAGAAGCGCGCCGACCCAGCCAACCGAAGCAAGATCACCAAGGCGGACAAGACGAGAGGCGCAAGACCTGGTCTGCTGCCGACAAGCGGACCGAGGGCTCAAGTTAGCGCCAAGAAGGCGAGGAAGCTGGAGAAGAAGATGGGTTATGCGCTCAAGAGACAGATGGAGGCCGAGGGAGAGGCAGAGATGAAAGGTACGTTTGGACATGACGATTTGAAGATTTAGCGCCATGAAATGATGGAATGGGGCGAGAAAAGAGGCTAATATGAGGATAGATGCTCCGGTTGTTGAGGAAAAGGCGGCGCAAGAGGGCGAGGATGTTGAGATTCAGTGATTTGTTTTACATGGAGATACGACATATTGCACGTAAGTTATCCAGACCCTCGGGAATAGGCTCGCGTGCTGACCTGATGATGGACGTAGATTCAAAAGTTAATGGCTACCTAGTTTGGTTTCTATGGTATAATGGGACACATACACATACATGGCGCAGGTTGGGTCTAGATTTTGAACTCAGTTTATTACACTAAATGCTAAATATGAGCATTGTCGAAGGGCTGTCTGGTACGCTACAGCTATCGAATATAACGTTTTTTGTTTACCATCACGGAATTAAAAAACTCAAAACATGGCGTGAAACAAACATGGCGTGAAACAAACATGGCGTGAAACAAACATGGCGTGATTGCTCAGGACCCTCCATTTCCCGGATATTGCATTGGCTCGTGACTTCTATATCCAAAGTCCTTTCCCGGCCTTCTCCCCTCTAGTGTGGCTTCAGAATCGCTTGATTGGTCTTCAAAGCGGAAGGAGCCTGTTTCCGCAAAAGAGTCTTCTGAAGAGAGCGAAGGTGGGTACGATGTTGATGAGCCTTCGCTTTGTTGCGCCGAGAGGAAATAGGAGCTAGAAGAGGAGGAGGAATCATTGTCGTCCTCATCCAAACAGATCTCGAAGCATGCCTCTAATGAGGATTCGAGGCNAAACATGGCGTGAAACAAACATGGCGTGAAACAAACATGGCGTGATTGCTCAGGACCCTCCATTTCCCGGATATTGCATTGGCTCGTGACTTCTATATCCAAAGTCCTTTCCCGGCCTTCTCCCCTCTAGTGTGGCTTCAGAATCGCTTGATTGGTCTTCAAAGCGGAAGGAGCCTGTTTCCGCAAAAGAGTCTTCTGAAGAGAGCGAAGGTGGGTACGATGTTGATGAGCCTTCGCTTTGTTGCGCCGAGAGGAAATAGGAGCTAGAAGAGGAGGAGGAATCATTGTCGTCCTCATCCAAACAGATCTCGAAGCATGCCTCTAATGAGGATTCGAGGCACGAGAGGAGGTGTTGATGATCCTGGTTGTGAAGCTGAGGATCAAAAGTGCCATAGTTTGGGGCACTGACAGAACTCGGATGAGGAGGAGGAGAAGGAGAAGCGATGTTGGATGTGTCTGTGCTAGCTTGGGAGTCTCCTCATGCGTCGCTAGCCGAACATGTTGTGCCGGAGAGCTGGGCTGTATCTTCACTGTTGGAAGGCATTTTGGAGTGAATTTGGAGTAAGGTGTAAATGTTGTATAGAGTTTGTATTGATTTGAAGGGGGAATCCAGTAGGAGTAGGGGTAGAGAGCCGACTTTATATTCACCACACGGAGTCTAATTTTGGACCTTTTCTTAACTTTTAGGAATATATTCTTCGGTAAACTATATATTTCATGGAAACAACGGTAAACTATATATATCATGGAAATTACATTTATTTGCATGGACAAGTGCTCATGATTTCGTGTACCTGCTGCATTAACTTTGCCTACATATCGCAGCTCTACGCCACCGATCACTCGATTACTTCGCAACGTAGCAATAGTCATCGCGAGTTTTAGAGTAGCTGATGATTGGGTTTTGCCACGTCTTGACGCCGAAGACTTTGCAGAGAACACAGGCGGCCAGGATCATCAACACCTCCTCTCGTGCCTCGAATCCTCATTAGAGGCATGCTTCGAGATCTGTTTGGATGAGGACGACAATGATTCCTCCTCCTCTTCTAGCTCCTATTTCCTCTCGGCGTTTCAGGACATGCGCTTGGGAGTAATTGGGCTGTTGGTACACTTCCGGATATTGTGAGCTGCTGGAGAAGTTAAAAGCGAGAGCATGGCTGAGGTAGGACCAAAGTGTATCTCTGGGTAAACAGGGGAAGGAAACCCAAAATTAATAATAGTAGAGGTGATAGAGGTAGTAGAGAAAGTAGAAGTAGCAGAGTGAATGTATCTCTGCAGCAAAGGTGAACCCGGAGCGAAGAATCTCTACATTGACCATACGAACCGTTGGCAATTGTCTACTTGCATACACAGCAGTTCTGCCAACTGACGACAAACTCTCCTCTTTTTATCATTTGGTGTTTTGCTTGCCATAAAGTTACTCTATGCTCTCACACTTTTGCCTTCCCGAGGCTCCCTTATTCTCATTATAATCTTTCAGGCGTTTCTAACTTTTCTCCATGGCAACCGACGCCTCCAGTGGAGGTGAGCTGAGCCTATATAATTTGCTCTTCCTCCCCTTTCTTTTCGTTATTTACTTGCTCTCAAATACACACGTGACCTTCATCATACACGCTCGCTATACACACTCGCTCGCTCACATCTTATATCACCACAAACATGAGCTCTCTTAAGACTTCCGCGCTGTTCGGGCGCAAGCGACCAAACCTGATTGCGTCCGATGTCGCCCAGTATATCCAACAACAGTCCAACGCTCGTTTGAAGAGGGCAGTTAAAGAGAGAGTCCCCCTGGATGATTTATACTTTGGAGATGATTGTTACCCAGCCTGGGTTGACATGTGCGATGGCAAAGCCGAAGAAAGCTACCATATTCAAATCCAAAAAAGGCTGCTCAATCTCGACGCCTCGCTTTTCGTCGACAGCTGCCTTCGAGAGAAGCTCAGAGACACATGCAATGCAAAGCTTGAAGAGGCACGACTACTAGGCCTTGGCCTCGCAGACATCAGGATAGGAGACGGGCTTTTACCCGAGTGGGATCAATCGGCCGTCGATATGGCAATTCCTCTCGAGGTTGAGCCTGTGAAGGATGACTGGGAGGATTCGGCTGAGCGAGACGCTCTTACTTTTGGAGCCGCTTTAGTACGCAACAAAGCCAAAGCCAAAGCCAAGTCGACAGCCCCGGAAGACAACACTGCCGCTCTGTTCAAGGACGATTCGTCAACCGCTTCATCAGACACCTGGGATAGTAGCTCCTTCTTTTACAGCGATGACAAGAACGAACATGGAGAAGCCGTTGACGAGCGCTATGCCATGTTCAGTGGGGGCGATCCTCAGCCTCTGCCCCATCGCTACTCGGAGAGCGATGATGAAGCCCCACACATTCTTTTCGATGTTGAGATGTTGGGTGGTCCTGATGGCACCTACAATGTTGATATGGAAGTTTACGAGGCTGAAAGCGATTCAGATGTGGATGAACTACCTGAAGCTGAGCTCGCAGTCGACGCTACCGCCTACGAGTTTTTCTTCCCTACCACAGACGCTGTGGACGCGAATCTCCCTGGCATGGACTTGGAGTGCTCACTCGAAGGCCCATTCACCGAGGCTGACTACCTTTCTCACGCAGCTGAATGGGGAGACGGAGGCTTTGACCTTGGCTCTACAGAGGAGGAGGAGGAGGAACAAGATGAGGAAGGGGAAGAAGCCATGATGATGGACGGAGAGAACGAACTTGATAAAGATGTCATGATGGAGTTCTAGGAGAGTCTCAAGAATGTCATGACTCGACTCTTCAGAACGATGCGGAGGAGCAGAGGGATATGCGGGAGCAGGCTGCTGGTATTGCGGTGACTGACGATGGAGTCACTTGGCAAATTGCAACGATCAAGCAGCCAAGCCAACACAATATGTCTTTCTACTCTTGGTGCTTTTCTCAGCTTTCTTTCTTACTCTTTTCTCTATTTTGGTTTCTTTCGTGCTTTCTTTTGGTTGCTTTATTGCTCTGTCTCTCTTTATTTCCTATTTCTTATAGACTATTATGGGCTTTGGTTAAAGGAGAAAAGGGAAAAAAAAACGGAGGTAGCAATTTGGAATTCTGGATATTGGAAGGTACATGCTTGGGTTAACACAAAGCGAACAAGGTAAAGCCTTGGTTCCTTTCGCTCCTTTGGCTTCTTTTGGGGAATATGGATATCTGGGCCCATGAGGACCAGCGTTTTAGTTAGTAATTGGAGTATTTGTTCAATCATTTTCTTTGGCCAACGTGAATGTCAACTGTTCTGAGCTGAGTCTCCTTGAAGTCCAGCTCCCTTCTCTTTGCCATGTGTGAATTATTCTTTTCGTGAAATCTTTTGTGCGTTCCAGACATTGGAGTGTACGATTGCTGACTAGTAGTCAAATTTGATGCATCGTGTTAGAACCTTGGATGAGGCAGGGACGAGGCGGCCGCTGACATTCTTGTTGTCCAAAGCTGGGTCATACGGAATAGAATCACATGGATGCTAACAAAGGTATTAGCTGATCAAAATTGCATTTCTCCGCTGTAAGCATCTCTTTTTCAAAACCGCATGGGAAGAAAATTTCTACATAAACTAGCGGAGTCTACTTCATACACGCAAACGTTTAGTTTCACATCTTGACATCTTATGAGCGCAATTCTCCTCTTCCATCCCCATGATACTTCATTATCAATATGCCGCCAAGATATAAGCATCTTGTAATCATTATCAATGGAGCTGGTTGGTAAGGATTTGAGGCATTAGTAGCAGATTGGCCGGATGTTTAGCGGAGCCCGATCGAAAGGAGGCAGCAATAATTTCATTATTATAACGAGGCAGCCAGCCTGCAACACAAGACAGAAGAAGATGATAGTAGCTGACATATCCAAAATATCGGGTTTGCCATGTGTCGGATATATCGATCCTCCGAAAAGGATGGAAAGCCGAAAGTGGATGCTCAGCGCCCATCGTAAACTCCGATGTGGATCATGAAGTTAGGATTGAACATAGGAGTGTTAGCAATAGGATTTGGAGTAATAGGCGGCTCTAACTAAGCTTTAATGTTGCAATATCGTGCAGCAAACAGGTATGGCATGCCATACATATATACGCATGAAGATTTTACGATGAGTCATTAGCTATTAAAAAGCTGCGAAATATGGAAATTGAAATGTACAACTGCCGTTATGCAAATTAAGATGGTGGTTGCTATCGTGAATTTGAATTGACCTGTTTCGATTCGCTTCTCTAGCTGCGGGCACATGTGAAGTGGTTAGATCCATGACTTATTGTGCAATGGTTATGGAGCTTGGGGTACATTTCTGGGATTAGCTGTAACAAACATTTCGGCATTGATGTACGGCATCTCAGTTCGTTCATTGAGTAAGCTCGCTTGCTTCGCGTGAACATACAACGCCGATGCCGGTGTACAGTTTCTTAGCGACTCTCGGAAAGAATAGCCATTGAGAAGGAAATCCAGAACTGGCTCTTTTCAAGGAAATTAGATAGTAATACTTGTGCCATTTTCGGACTTTGATACTTCCCAGTAAGAGGTGGATGCAATGGTCCCAAAGTAGTATGATGAGGTCTATATGCTTTGACGTAGTCAGGGCGAGTATGTGAAGCCAAATTGGTACAAATACCATCAATGACCTGTAGTAACAATGCTTCCGTTCGACATGATAGAGTTCATCATTCCTTGACTTTTCATACCAATATAACAACAATACCTCAAACGAACATCTTCGATATCACCCACCATGCCTTTTCTCACAGGTCCCAACGGCGAGCAAGTCGTTCCAATCCGAATCAATGGTGTCTCTGAGCCTCTAGATCCAACTCGTCTTATTCCAATTGAGTCTAATGGTCAAGACAAAATCGTCCACTACGCTCAAAGCGCAACTCCTGAGATAGCCATCAAAGCGGTCGATGCATCTCACAGAGCATATCTGAAGTGGAAGAACACTTCCTATGTTGAACGTCGGGATCTGCTCCTTCGGGTGGCTGATGTGATTGACTCTTGGGTGGAGCGTTTTGCTCAGCTGCAAGCAGAGGAGACATCTAGCACCATAGCTTGGGGCCGAGCAAACGCATTCATTTTGACTAGATTCATCCGGGAGATAGCAACTAGCATCTCAGATGCTACGACAGGAGAAATCCCGCCTTTGGAGCAGCCTGGAGCAATTGCATTGGTGTACAAAGAACCAGTTGGCGTTGTTCTCACAATCACACCATGGAATGCCAGCATGATCCTTTGTGGAAGTTCTTAGCTGCTCCCATTGCTGCTGGGTGCTCGGTTGTGCTAAAGGCTTCAGAAATGTGTCCACGAACACATCACACCATCGTCGAGGCATTTGAGGAGGCCGGTATGCCTAACGGCCTCATCAACGTAGTTCAAGCCTCGCGTGAAGATGGTCCAGCAACGACGGAAGCTTTGATTGCTCATCGAGCGATCCGCAAGGTTGCATTCACAGGCAGTGCTGCTGTGGGAAGAATCATTTGTCAGACGGCGTCCAGATATTTGAAGCCTGTCTTGATGGAACTCGGAGGGAAAGCCCCAGCTATCGTCCTCAAAGATGCTGACGTTGAGCTCGCGGCCGACAAGATCATTTATGGTGCGTTTTTACACCATGGGCAGATTTGCATGTCCACCGATCGCATTATAGTGGTTCAAGAGCTTGCAGATGAGCTCATTCAAGCGATGAAAATTGCTCTCAAGGCACGATTCCCCGACGGAGCAGGTTATGCTGGCAGCAAGAGGCTGGCTAAGAGGGCCCATGATCTCTTGCAAAAGGCTCACGCCGCAGGAGCTCATTTCGTCATTGGCGATGGAAGTCTCAATGCAGATGGATCTAACCTGACACCAACGATCGTCACAGATATAAAGCCCACGGATGAAATCTTCCACGAGGAGATATTCTCTCCTGCTGCAATTCTCACCATTGTCAAAGATGAGGCTGAGGCTGTCCTTTTTGCCAACGACACACTACATGGCCGCAACGCTTCTGTGCACAGCCGCGATATTCTCGCTGCGATCCGGGTCGCCAAGCAGATTGAGGCTGGGCAGGTTCACATTGGTAATCTGACAGAGTTTGACGAGCCGAATATTCCGTTTGGCGGAACCAAGGACAGTGGCTGGGGAAGAAACAATGGCAAATATGCTTTAAATGAGTTTTTGATTGACAAGACTATTACGATCCTTGATCCAGCCGCGGATGAGATTCGATTTGGAAAATAGCTGTCAGCATTGATGTTAGCACTAGCCAGTATTACTCAGGCCGCGAAACGCCGCAACATGTTGATTTACAATTTAGTTGAAACTTTATTCGATCATTGTATTACGCTGTGACAGGCCATTTGGCTTTGAATCCAGCAGACGAGATTAACATTATGTCGAAGTGCTAATCTAAATTACCGTGTCCGTATATGGGTCAACGTCAGTAATATGGGTATTACTGACGTTTTGTATTACCATCTGTCTGTGAAACAAAACTGCATGTAAGTGGCGTGTAATGCTTTAAAAATATAAGAAGGCGCTGTAGCTGCAGTGTAATTCTCGAGTGACGTCGATGAAAATAAACCTGTAAGAGTTACAAGTCAGTTTGAGAAGGTTTAACAAACTACCCTCTGGTTATCGCCATTATGCCTTACGTTCCAGAACCTTGGTCGTTTGACGATGTACTGAAGCTCACCAAGATCAGCCCAGCCTACTGGAGAGCAACTTTCAACGCTCCGCCGTTGAATCTCTTTACGCCGCGAACTTACAAGGCATTGCGCACGCTTGTCGAGTTGCTCGAAAATGACCAAGCTGTCAAGGTCATCGTTTTCGACAGCTCCGCCCCAGACTACTTCATGGCCCATTACGACTTGTTAGCTAGAGAAGGGAACGAAAACGCAGAGGGTGCAGAGGCCTCTCCAGAATCTGAGTGGCCCGGCTTTGTACTACGCTTTGCTCGCCTTTCCGCAGTTACAATTGCTGAAGTTCGTGGTCGCGCTCGTGGTCTTGGCAGTGAATTCATTCTCGCGTGCGATATTCGCTATGCCAGCCTCGAGAAGGCAATCATCTCCCAGCCAGAAGTCGGCGCTGGCATTACTTGCGGTGGCGGCGGTATCGAATGGCTCCCCATCGTGGTAGGTCGTTCGCGGGCTTTGGAGATTCTATTGGGTAGTGAAGACTTTGATGCTGCGACTGCTGCCCAGTACGGCTACATCAATCGTGCTATTAAAGATGCGGAATTGTCCGCTTTTGTAGACGGCTTTGCCCGTCGAGTAGCTGGGTTTGATAGAAAGCCGTTGTTGGAAACCAAGCAAGCCGTTAATGATCGTGCCGGGTTGCCTCGCCTGTCAGACCTCACAGCATCATTAAATACCTTTTCTAAGTCTTGTACCTGGCCCGAGTCCACAAAGCGAATTCAGACTCTCTTTGAGATGGGTTTGCAGCAGGATGGGCCTTTGGAGAGGGATATGGGTCAGCATCTTCCTAAAGTATCAGTCAAGTTGTATGGAAAGAAGGAAGATGCTTAATGGTTTGGAGCTTCAGTGAGTAGTCTTTAGACTTTTCGCAGGTTGCTCATGGATATCTATATAAGAATACCTAAGCTGCTGTTTATTATGCGATTACGCCAACTAAATGCATTTGAAACTTGAAGTCATGAGATGCCGTTATTTAGTAATCTAAAGGCGAGACTTCATCTTCTAAAAAAATCGTCCAGTATGCCATGCTGTCAGTTATCTGAAATTAACATAAAATTATACTGCTATACAATTTTATATACGAAGGTAGAAACTGAATAGTAAACAACAAAGAAAAGAACAAGGTCGCGAAAGGTACAGTCGAAGAAGCCAGAAGAGAAATACAAATTACATATATGTAGCAACGTGAAAACAATCAGGCATTAGAGTACCGTAATTAAACCAGATATTTTTCTGATTACTCCCTTTTAAACGCCTTATACAGTAAAAGCACGCTACTCTTTTTGAACTCCCGGCGCAGCAATGACATGACTGAATGGCTCTGTCAATCGTAGCATTCTCACCCATACGCAACAAATAACAACATCAGGCTGACTAAAGTTCATACTTTGTCACCGTCAGCTGGCTGGCAATGAAGGGAGCGTTTCACTCGTTTGAGGAAGATAAACGGAACTCGGATTTATGTATAGTAATCAACAATTTGATCTTACAAACACTCCCGGGCATCGGTCTTTTTAGCTCGGTTGATAAGTCCGCATATTCCCGCACCGCTTTTCTATAAGGCCGCGTATTCCTAACTTGTTACACTCTACAAAGTCCGCTGCCCTCGAAACCCCGCCATCAGCACGCTTCATCATGACCAACAAAGGCAACTTGGAGAGTTTGGCGCTGAAGTGGTCGTGCTCTGCATGCCGCCAGTCGAAACGCCGATGTGATAAGATGTACCCCGAGTGTACGCTATGTACACAGTCAGTCCACTTTATACATTTTCCGCAGTGTAGCAATTAGTGACTTGGGGGACATTGTATAGGAAAAATATTGCCTGTAACTACCCGGGCCGTCGGAAGAGAGGAAAAGCACTTCATTATGCCAAGGCATTATCGCCCTTAGAGAAACCCACCATCTCTCAGACTTTAGTTGTTGTGACTGAGAAAGGGAAAGAGAAGCCCTATCAGGCATCATTCAGTTGTTGCAATTCTAGCTTCATCGCTGAGCGCTTTCTAGATCCCGTTGTCTTCTCCCGTGCGCAGTTATCAGTAGGCAACATTGATGTGGCGGTAACAGATGAAATCGCTCAGCTGGTTGGGAGCGTATTAGACATTCAGGCTGTTTCCGATAGGTTCTTCAAATCGGTTCACATGTGGATGCCGATTATATCAAAGATTCGATTTTCCAGCACCCTGCTGAATCGATTAACTTACAAGAAGGCTGAATTATACTTACTGGTGCTGTGCATGAAACTCAGTTTCTCACGCAGGGCAACATCAAACGCCACTCTATACGAGACGGTGAAGTTGTTCCATTTTAAGCTGCAGACATCTGGGGTGCTATCTGTCCTAGTTCTGCAGGCCTCCGTCCTCATTGCACTCTACGAACTGGGACATGCAATCTACCCTGCGGCCTTTCTGTCTATCGGATCATGTGCTCGCTACGCAGTAGCGCTGGGGATTGATAAATCTATTCTCTCTTCAAGTACTGAAAAAAGTCAGTGGATTGAAGAAGAGGAATGTCGCAGAATTTGGTGGGCGATCTTGGTTCTTGATAGGTAGGCACACCGATGAGCCAGAGCACAAACTTCTTTCTCAGCTTCGCCTCCTTTTCTAATATTCATTGATTGCTCTTACATGAGGCAATGCTAATGTTGCTTCTAGGTACCTTAACTTATGTGATCCTCAACGGCATTTGATGACGCAGGACGCGAGCCTAGACAGTTATTTGCCCGTAAATGATGCGGCATGGGACAAGGGGGTAAGCTGTTTTCAGTATAATTTCAGTCTCCATCTTGTGGGGTGTCTCTAAATGGGCTATTATAGGAACCTGACCCTGATCATTTATACACTCTGGCAACAGCTAATAGCTACCACCTGGGACTGTTTGCGCGATTCGCTCAAGCAGCCCATCTGCTCAGCCAGGTTCTACGTCATGTATCTGAAAAACATTCGAGCGAAACTTCTCAGTTGCGGCGCACGATATTTGCGCTTGTACAAGTTTCCAATATTGAAGCATCAATGAGAAGGCTAGAGTACTGCAGCCAGTCAGCGGTATGCTACAGGTAAGGCTGTCGATATTTCTCTCGCTTTCAGTCAACCTGCTAACGACGCAGTGGCATTATCGCGCTTGACGATTCGTTCTGTGATAAACGACCACCGGGCTCCGGCGCACATCTTTCTAAAGAAAGCTCCCTTATTTCACAAGCAACTCTTCACATGGTCTCAATCTTCAAAACGGACGTTGCAGAGGAAGTCTGTGACGTCGCCAGCCCTTTTCTCGTGCATTTAGTGTACAAAGTGGCCTTAATGCACCTGAGAATCGCTCACGAGTCTCCAACAGCTGCTGCTTTGGAAGAGCTTCAGCTTTTAAAGCACACATTAAAGGTTGTTGGAGGTCGATGGCATTGCGCCCGTAAGTATCTGCCCAGGTAAAGATTCGTTTTGAGCTACGTTTATACTGAAATGTATGACATAGACGCCTATCTGTCGCTATTGGAGAAGCAAGAAATTCTTTTAGTTGTGCAGTAGCAGCGATGTTAACGATCATCCCATTATATATTCATGAGTTTATAATTGAAGCATGAGGATGGAAGCTACGATATATGCAATTATTTCCAGCTCATCAAATTTTAGTACCAGTAGTACAGAGCATATAAAATAGCGATTGTAAATTTTATTTCGAATTAATGAATAACTAAACTTGCTTATGCTGGTAGTGCTACTCTAACTGTGGCCGTCTATACGCAATAACATCCTCTTACACCATAATTTAATTCAATCTTGCGCAAAAGGGTCCAGTTTGCACTGTATATATATCCATCCTGCAATGTCTCATTCCTACCACATCCGTCTGCAAAGGCATTGTTGCCACATCCAGAGACAGCAGTAAACTTAGATAAAGCCTTAATTGCCAACTCGAGATATTCCGCAAGCAGCATCTGAAAACTCCCAAAACATACTGAAAGCGTACAATTGCACTCCATTTTTTTTTTCGTCAAAAAAATCTATCATTAATAGAAATATGCTGCATCTCACAAGCAAACGTCGGGAATTTCGTTCGCCAGAAGCGCCAGACAAACCGACAGCCTGAAGATTAATTAGACCCTAACAAACCATGACTATATCCGCACAGAGCAAAACTGACCCTGCAGATGGCAAGTTTAGCCATCTGCGAAGTGCTAAATCTAGCCACCGTTTGAACCAAATCGAAAAGATTAGGGCTCACGGTGTCGGAGATTTGGTAGCTTTGCCGCAGCTGGTCGTATGCGGAGACCAGTCGGCAGGGAAGAGCTCGGTCTTGGAGGGCATAACAGGCATACCGTTTCCACGACAGGAGGGACTTTGCACGAGGTTTCCTACCGAAATCACTCTTCGCCATACAGAGAGCGAGACAGTTACTATTACTGCCAGTATCAGACCTCATGGTTCACGGGCGCCAGAGGTTCAGCAGACACTTGCTGCTTACCGCAAAGAAGTCGCGGATATGTCAGAGCTCCCCGATATTATCCAAGAAGTCTCACGTTTAATGAACATTCGTGGGTACTCAGACAACAATGACGGATATGCTTTCGCACCAGACGCCCTTCGCATAGAGGTAGCCGGTTCTATTGGCTTACATCTCAGCGTGGTGGACTTGCCAGGACTGATATCCGTTGCAAACGAAGAACAAACCGAAGAAGACGTGGAAGCCGTTCATAGCATGGTTACTGGCTATCTTCAGAATTCAAGAACAATAATTCTTGCTGTTCTCCAAGCAGGTAACGATATGGCAAATCAACCCATTATCAAACTAGCTAGGAGCCATGATACTTTAGGCCAACGAACTGTTGGAATTATTACAAAACCTGATTTGATCAACCAAGGTACTGAAGCCAAACTTGCACTTGTGGCTAAAAATCAAGACAACATCAAACTCAAACTGGGATTTTTCCTATTGAAGAATCCTAGCCCTTCAGAGCTCAAAAACGGGTTGACGATGAGGGAGCGTTCTAGTCGTGAGCTGCGCTTCTTCTCAAGCGCTTCTTGGGTTGACCAAAATCTTGACATGAATAGAGTTGGGGCGGAAAAGCTTCGAATATTCCTCCAAGACCTACTCGATACACATATAGAGAGAGAGCTGCCTAAAGTACGAGAAGAAATCAAGAAGCTGTTAGTTGTGACGGAACTTGAGCTGAAATCCATGGGAGATGCTCGACCTACCATTGATCTAATCAGGACTTTCCTCACCAGCCTGAGCATGCGATTTTATGAACTTTTGCAAGCGGCCCTTGATGGCAACTATTATAGTATTGACGCAGCATTCTTCTTGGGGAGTGAAAGCTCCAGATTACGAGCCAGTATACAAAAAATGAACACGTCATTCGCAAATCATATGAGAAATTCCGGACAGAAGCGAAAGATGACAACCGATCTCGAACCTAACCGCTCGGTTCCCGAGGTAAAAGATCCAAAGAATCATGAACCGGCCTACGATATGTCCCAGATTTTAGTTAGTAGGAAGGGGATGATACAGTGGGTGAAGCAGGTGCGAATGGTTCTTAATTTTCTTTTCGTCTCTTTCGATATCCCCAGTCTAAAGATAGATATAGGTCTATTCACGTACCAGAGGAAAAGAGCTCCCTGGGAATTACAATTCCGCGCTTTTGGCTGAACTCTTTCGAGAACAGTCGAGTCGGTGGCCGGATATTGCTGAGACACATATTCACAGTATTCTAAAGACAGTGACTCAGTGGATCCAGCTTGCAGTGGAACGGTTGATTCCCGATGACAACATGCGCAGCCAAATTCACATCATTTTGCAAGAATGGCTTGAGCACACAGAAAGGGTCGCATTAGAAGAGTTGGAAAAACTTATTGCAGACGAACAACGCACCCCCCTAACTTACAACCATTATTATACAGACAACGTCCAGAAATATCGACTAGACACGCAAAAACAAGCTGTACAGAAAGCAGTTCAGGCAGAGCACGATCTCCATGGGAAGCTTCACATAAGTAATGTTTCTGTTGATATAGAGAAATTTATTGCTGCAATTGGGTCTCGTATCACGGTAGATATGGATGAGCAGGCGTGTAATAACGCCATCACAGAACTACAAGCATACTACAAGGTGAAAAAACGCCGCACATTGATTCGCAATCTGTTTTATATTGACAATAATTCTCAGGTGGCAATGAAGACATTCGTTGATAACGTGGCGCGACAAGTTATTGAACGACATATAATAGCACCACTCCCAGGTGCATTCTGTCCAAATTCCGTCTCTCAGCTTTCTGATGAAGACTTGCTCCGAATCGGCTCTGAGTCAGCGAAACAAATTGCTAGGCGAGAAAAGTTGGCTGCACAGGCTCAAGGCTTGAAGAAAAGTCTAAAAGATCTACAAAAGCCCGTATGACGTTATGACTGGCGGTCTTTGAGTGTATATTTATATCCTTTTTGCTCTAAATTCGCCGTGTTTTTCTTTGTTTATGTGATGATATGGGTTCTTTTATCTGCTTGATAGTGATTTTTTTTTGGAGTTGTCGGACTGTAATATCGATTCAGTTAGGTGCCTACTTCTCAGCTCTGGTTTTCCCATTGGGTTTTCCCAAAGCTTTAACGTGAATACGGAGGAGTTGTAATAGAATATTTTCAAGAAAATTCAAGACCAATTATATTTTCGGATAGTCAATACCGTTTATTGATTCTTTAAGATGCATATTGACAGGAGTATTATGACATATATGATCTACGAATTGCAAAGCGCCACAATATCCTCTGGCACATACGTTTGAAGAATGTCAATCAACTGGTTCAGCGGGATCCAATCCATGTTACCGTGAATACTGCGCAATGTGTGGCCCGAGTATAGCACACGAGCATAGTAAGCCCTCTTATGTTGAACAGTCGTCTCCCAAACTTCAATTGCAATGTTGGACGCCATTGCAGGCCACCTCAGCTGCTCGATTCCGAGAGCACCCAAAATGGGACCAATGTCTCCGTCGTGGATGAACGTGTGCGCGTAGACGTATTTCTGCGTCTTGCCCAATACAGCCTGCAGCCGACTAACAATCTCCCCGATGAAGAGGCCCTCAGTAACCTGAATATACTTGGTCACTAGGCTATTATTGCGCCAGTAGTGATTCCATTCCCAATCACCCGCACGGAAAACCTCTTCAGCTTGTTCTTGAGAAACACATTTGGACGCATCAGTAAAGCTGCATGGAAGCTCATATCCATTGCAGAGTCGAGCCTGAAAGTTATCGGAAAAGTGATCAAATGTGCTCTGCCAAGCGCTGCTGGTGGCACCGAGGATATCTCCCAGCGATTGCCTCAGCTCGGCTGTCACGCTAAGATGCTCATTCCAATCATCGGTAGACTGAATTGATGAGAGGATGGAGCCTCTAGCATTGCATGGATACCCGTTGTTGACGGTGTCGACGCCTGCTTGCTGGTGAAGAGGCACGGAGCCCGAGTAATGCGGCCAGAGACCGCGCAACACGCCTCCAGCACTCTGCTGGGTAAGAGAAGCAGAGCTAGAACGTAGCCATACTTTCTCGTTGGGAGATCTTGGTATGAGGCCAAGCTTCTCACCATACAGAGCCCAAAGATCTTTGCCGTGCTGAATACCATCAAGAAACCCACCAGTAGTCAACTGAGGGAAAAAGCAAGTCGAATTTACGTACGGCAGAGCATCCACGAAAGGGTTGCTCGGGTCAGTGTACACGCTCGCAAAGGCTTGAACGCCATTAGCACCGTGGGCTTGGCTGCCGTACAAGTAGCCCTCAAATGTTGAGCAATCAAATGGTTGATTCTAACGCTGGGTTGTCAGTTGAATTCACCCATGATGATACCATCTCAATATGTAGCAGCTAGACAGCCTCTTACCTCTCCGCCTGGGGCTAGGTTGTACATGGTACGTCTCTGATGCCTCTGCATATACTCCAGGTACACCAGCTTGGCATGACGATCGCCGGGCAGCTCATAGCCGTTCACCCGCGGGTGCGGCATGGAGCAATAGTCGTACACGCCATAGGGAGAGCCTTGAGAGGCCTTATTGGCTGGGGCCGTATAGATGCCTCCATATGTGCCCAATCCGCTGCTGGTAATGTACCCAGTGACATTGAGTCCAGGCGGGTAGAAAGTGTCGACGGGGGAGAGATTCGCCCCGGCAACCAAGACGCCCTGGGCTAAGACACCAGCTGCCACAGCACGAGTCAGCATGATGCGATTCCGGTGAGTCGAAGCCATTGTCGGTGATGCTCAACCAACCGTACCTTGAATCAACTGAGCCTGGGATACATCGGATGATATAGCCCCCAGGACGTGCTGCAACGCGACCACGTGGCTGTGTCCGACCTTCATCTCATGCAGGAACAGCACGGCTAAACGGTATCATCTGCTGTTGGCGTCAACTAGCGATCCATGGATTGATGCCAGTGATTGGCGGTGGTCGCAGCAGCAGCAGCTGTGTAAGCACCTAGTTTTAGGCAATGCAACTAACACTTATCAACGCTGTCTATAAGAGAAGCACCGGCGGGGCCCAAAGAGTCTTGCTGCTGCGCATTCCTTGGTTGATTGCGGTGACATGTCCCCGTGTAAATGCAAACAAGAGGCGCCAGTGACCTCCGCAAGCCACTTGTTGTAGATGCTGCATGCACGTGCCATCTGCTGGCGAAAATAAGTGGCGGGGAGAAGACACGGGAATAGCGCTGTTGCCCACTAAAAGTAGATCGCGGAATAGTCAAGGCGCTCGATATCTCTAGCTCTGATTACATGTAGAGAACTTTTGGAGCTCATTACCATATCACCTTGTATCATCTGGCGCCAATTATTGCTAATGGTATTGGATAAAACACGATCCGAGAACGGTCGGCTGAATGCGCTTAAATATGTTGGGAATGATGAGAAGAAATAGCCAATGCAAACCAGCCAGAGGATGCATCTAGGCCACAGTTTACGTTCAACTCATCTCTGGCAGAATTTTGCTTTGCAATTCAAAACTCGTGCTATTGAATTTCTTCCACATATACAGACTTTCTGTGATGCAGGACATCTAACTAGTTTCTTGAGGATGGTCTCAAAATATATAAGCCTCATACTAACGGGACTTACATCCTTGTCATTATTCTTTCTACTGCGTACTAGAAAACCAAGAACAATTTAACTTGTTTCTAGCAATACTGTAATTAAACCACATAGCGTTACATGTCGTGAAAGTTAGACGAACATGCAGAGTGCTAAGATTTCCTGTTACCATCAAAGATGATCATACCAGCGTGACCGTTGCCAATCACCCAGACAAGTATATCCATTGTTACCATAGTGCTTGCGGAGAGATGTGTGTTTTCATTTCAACTCGATCATCCATCGATAGTAGACACGAATAGCTGCACATATTACTTATTAATCTATGCTAACCCATGTTTGACGGCTTGGCTCCCGTTACTGAATCGTCGACGGCTCGTAGTCCCCGTCCAACCTTCGTCTTTTCATCTTAAGCCACTCGCTTTAATTATTTGAGACGGTGGCTGTCCCAAGTCCCGGGGTGAGCAAGATTTGAATTTACAACTGAGACATTTGAAGATCGCTGAAAGGTAAGACATGTTATTTCCAGACCTGGGGGCTAAAGTGATATGATTTGAGAGAATACGATTTGCAGGCTGGGCTCGCATGACCATCCTCCCTGAAGGTCCGGAGCGTGACATCGCGCAGTCGGTAATGACAAATAGCATGTCTAACAATACGAAGGGCTGAATGGTAGCTAAAGCAAAGTTGGGGGTCGTGTATGCAAGGACTATCTCTCCAAAGGAATGAAACATCTCGAAACTCATCATCTTGCCAGCTCTGATGTGTGCAATTTCTATACGTTGAAGTCAAACAGCCACGTCACCGTTGTGAACCGCTCCGATAGGATAGAATTTGGGTTTTATGAGGTTTATACAAGTCAAAATATGAAACTTGTGCCAACCTCTTGATGAAATGCTACTGCCCGTTCGCTTAGTTAGTGAGAGAGCTAGAGCTTCAGCTGCAAGGGGAGCAAGACCTCCACATCGGATCAAATCCTATACGTCGATCCTATCCACCTGCGAGGGGTTATTATATGTACCGAAATTGTGGAAAGCCAGGGATAACAAAAATATCCCAACCACCACCCACCAGCTAACCGCGTCATGTCTCTGCTGTTCCGCTCAGGGCAGCAGGTGATCGCTGATTGTGGGCAAAAGGCGGAACGAGGAGGCCTTATGTGGAGCCGCGGTTGGAGATGGGGATCGTCCAACGTACATTATTGCGGGCTAAAAGCTGAAGAGGCGAGTCTCCCAAGACATTGCTAGTATATTGGGTGGCAGTACGAGATGCTCTGTGCCATCGAGTTATTTGTCATGATGGTAAAATGTGTAGTGCATACTTCTGAGGGGCAGTTGTGTCTTTTCCTCAGACAAGTCAGCGATTGGATTATGATTTATGCATCTATCAGCCGTTTAAGGGAGCCGCTCTTAGACCAAGATCCAGCCGCTTATCCGCCCTTAGCGTTTTAAACCATACAATACTATTGGCTGGTACGTCTTCTTCACAAGATGGTTCTCATCAATTCTCCGGTTGTCGATAGCGATGATTGGTCTGGTGGAGTGTGTGCATAAATTGGATATATTGTGAAGTCTCTCCTTACTTACATGAGAATAAGCCAAATGAGGGCAAGCGCTGGGTTTTTGTTGGGTCTCTTCCCGAGATTGACGCTGATAGATGAGACTAGAGGTATTGATTCGCTACTAGATGGGATAACCAGAACAACTCTTACCGCTACTTTGACAAGCTACATCTTTAAGATCAAGAAACTATTTTTAGTTATTCACAGAACAAAGAGTGAGGGTTTCTCAAAGCATGACACTCCTCTCCATTACACTGTAACATCTTGTTTGCGGACTACTTGTATGCCCCTATATTCCACACCGAACATCTTTCCCACAATTCAAATCAGCAGTACATATACATATGCCAAATCTCGCCTTGTAAAAGCGGACTAAAGATCCAACTACGGCTCGCAGAATGACAAATTCATAGCCCCAGATATTCTGGTGGGTCGTTCAGATCGGAGAAAGATACATCGGCCCAACTACCAAGTACCAGACACAGACAGAGACAAGCCGTTTTTCAGGCCAAACGGGCGCTTGGATCGAGTGGATCGCGCTACTGCACCTCTAAACCCTTGAGATTTGAGATGTAGAGACTTAAAGAAAAGTAAATTGCGTCTTTTCATACGAGATGTCTCAGGAGGGAATCCCGAGTTTGCCGCGAGGTGCAAACTGACAGAGAGACACGGGATCACGGACACTAATTGTTTTTTTCTTCTTCTTTAATGACTGTTGGGTGAGAATGCTGCTTAGAGCTTTAAAAGGGCGAGCTCTCTCTCTCTCTCCCCAAATTTGCATTGTTCCTTTGCAGATCCTCATTAACTTCACTGGCTCTGGTCTCATATATATTTATTGCCCGTTAGATCGATATCAGTATTTGTTATGATGCTTTTCTTTGCCACTATCTCGTTTGCTGCCCTTGCTACGGCATTGCCTGCCAGTGTTCAAATCCAACCATGGATACCAGCTGGGATGTACGATTCTCGAGGGCCGTGCCCGATGCTAAACACTCTAGCAAACCACGGCTACTTGTAAGACTAGCCTTTTGCTCTATCTACGGTGATCTCTTCTTGAACGTTGGAACTAACAGACTGTCTCAAAGGCCTCACAACGGGCGCAACCTCACGGCTGCGTCAATCGAAAACGCTTTTACCAAGTTCCTAAACGTTGAGGCAGGATTTGCGGCAGCCGTCAAGGAATTTACTCACGCTTTCGGCAACAACGTGTTTAATCTCGATGATCTCAATGCGCCAGACATTCTACAGCACATCGCATCCCTCACCCGAGATGATTACACATCTCATGATCCACACATCAGGCCAAATTTGTATCGAATCGAGAGTCTCTTCGATGATAGCCCCTCAACGCATATCGATATCGACTCCATTGCAAAGTCTCGGCTGCGTGTTCAGGCGGAATCGCATCCCAACACCCTTTCCAAGGCTAGATTCGACGCAGCTCTCTTTGAAGCCGCAATGGTACTGGTGATGATGTTGGATCATGCTCCCGATGCTACCAGCAATCCTCCTCTGTCGGCGTACCGAGCTCCCAAAGACCGTTTACGAACGTGGTTTGAGCAAGAGAGGTTTCCTATCGAGCTCGGATGGCAGCCATCAAAGAGGCCAATCAAGTTGGCAGATCTGGATCCTGCAATCAAGGCAATCACCGAGTCAATGGAGCGACAGGAAAAAGAGCGTTCAAAGTCCCGCATCGCGTTGAAGGTAGATGTCGAATAATTTGGCGTATTTTAAATAGTGGTACTAGTTTTATTCTGTGTATATGGTATAATGGTAAATTTATGTAATTATATTAGTCTTATTAGATGATCTTGCTTATGAGACTCTACAAGCATTTATATGAACACCGTCTTGGGACAGTAAATATTTGACCCTAGTCGCTCGTGAAACATCAACTGCCTCTATGCTTTCCATGGGCTCCGTTCGTGCGCCTTTTGCCATTTACTCATCAACTCCTGGTCAAAAGTAACAAGAACCTCAAGATCACCGTTCGGAAGTCTGGGAAATACCACCGGATACCGCTTCGCTTTCAGCGATGACAGTCTTACAGCTTCACAATGCCCCATTTCAACGCCCCAATCGAGTTCGTAAACTCCCTCATCTGCCCAAGAGACAATTGAGACATCTGCAGCCTGTTCGCATAATTTGAGAGTTGTGACATCTGCCTGAGAAGCCAAATGGTTGACGACGCGGTTCATGCTTTGCCCATTAATAATGTTGATACTTTGCCGTACAGCTGCTGCAATATTTGCGATTTCTGACGTGAAGATTTTCTGTTCGGTTGAGCTTCCAATGGCGACAAGGTCGGCTTTCTTTGCGGCTACCAGGGTCACCCCAAAGGAAGCGCCGAGATATTCCCTGGGAAGTGGTGGTTCGTAGCGACTGCGGAAATTAACAGCCGTACGCATGAAATATTTACCATCTGCAGTAGTATTATCATCATCTAGAAATTCAGAATGGATAATAGAGCCCCAGAGGATCGCAGTCAGTATATCGCTTGTAGATACCCATGCGGTTCCATTAGGTAAATGGTTGTTCACTTCGGCTTTCAAACGCTTTAAATACTCTCCAGAGAATTTGAGATATTCAGTCTCCATCTTTGCAGGTTTTGATGGTTGGCCAGAAAGGACAGCCTCTTCTTTGTGAAGAAGCAGCGGCGAATCAGCAGGCGCATCATGAGAGCCTCTCACTATCGCCGTGCGATCTAACCAACTCTGGTCGAAATCAACGCCTTCAGAAGAGCCCGTCCTACAATGGCATGCCCATATCTTCAACAATGAGCCGTATGCTGTGATATCAGCCGTCGAGTGATGTAGGCTAACAGCAAGCAGACACCCTCCCTTCACCAGCGATAAGACTGCGCGAAAAACAGGGCTAGGGGATGTATTGGCCGGACTGAGATCGGCAGAAAACCAGCTCTGGTCATCAAAAACAGACGGTCGAAAAGCACCAGACTTCAAAGCATCGTAATCAACATCCGTGTAGGTGTTGACGCGGAATAAGTCATTCAGTGAGTCACACGGCGAGCTCAGAGCAACGGATCCCTTGGGATGAGCTCGAGCCACTATCCTGGAGGCGAGATATGGGACATCTTTTAATGTGCCCGCGAGACCATCTCGGAGGACTTCGGATATTCGAGGGTTCGACGATGGGAAGCAGAGGATTTGGCTGATGTAGGACCGTGGCATAATCCACTCCAGCGGAGATAGCTGGCTGGGTCCTTGAATAAGTGCCTGTTCCCCCATCGCTGGTGATAATAAACCAGTGACTTTTTAACGTCCAAAATGCTGTGTAATATTTGAGCGGTTAAAGGTTAAAGAATGCTACAAAGGCTGCATGGAGGACCGATTTGGGGGGGTTGTGAAATGTGATCGGCATTTACTGTTAGTGCCGGATGTAAGTAAACGTCAGCATCGTCTATCGCACTTGATACAACGCCGATCTAGAAGTAAAACTAGTAAAAATATGACCACATTGCTATACATATATTCTATGGCTTTAATGGAAAAGTTTGTACATGACCATACAAGCTTCTATTTACGGCCCGCAGCGGCGGCAGATGGCATTAATCAGAGCAGAAGAGCAAAGCCTTATGAAACAGTTAATGTCTGTGGCAGACTAGGTCGTGGATATGAACACAAAAATTAACACAACTTTGAGAGCCCTTACTTCGGAAGAGATAACGGCTATTAATAACTTATAGCTGCTTTCATTCACCAGCGTTCCAATAACATTTCAAGGGGGGCATAGTAGAGAGCAAAATAGTTCAATATAACGAAATAGCATAGAATTGACTTTAGTCTCATAGAGATCTCAAACCTAGCGCTTCACATCCAATTGACTGCTAGTTTTTCCATCATGGCGTTTGCGGTCCGCAATAGCCGCATGAAGCATCAGGCACCAGCAAGGCTGAAGGGAAAAAAAGGAAAAAAAAAACGGAAGCCGAAGCCAAAGACCGAGCGATAGGAGATTTTAATTGGCAATATTCCGGATTGTAAGTTGCTCAACCGGACTTTTTCTCAACCGGACTTTATAACTCGGCTTCGTTTCGACGGCAGTGTTTCCGATCTAGTCGTACCTATCTATATAACAGCCTTCGCCACGGTTCTGAAGAACCATTGCCAACCTCATTCTTCATTAAAAACAGCCATTCATCATGACAGCACCCAAATCCATCGCCGTTGTCATCTGCAGCACGCGCCCTCACCGCATCAACCCCTTTGTCGCCGGTTACGTCGCCTCTGTCACCCAGTCTGTACCTCAGACTACCGCAAAGGTAGAATTACTCGATTTGGCAACTCTCAATCTCCCACTGTATAACGAGCCCGTCGTGCCAAGCTACCTACCAGCTGATGATCCCACGCCGCATTATCAGTACGAATACACTCGTGCTTGGTCAGCTCTTGTCCGCAAATACGACGGCTTCATCTTTGTTACACCACAGTACAACTGGTCTGTTCCGTCGAGTTTGAAGAATGCGCTGGACTACCTATTCCATGAATGGAGTGGGAAGCCCGCCGCAATTGTCACATATGGAGCCAGAGGGGGGATTAAAGCCGAGAATCACTTGCGAGAAATCTTGAAGGGGCTTAGGATGAATGTGGTTGAATCAACTGTGGCGCTTAAAATCCCCAGAGGAGATGCCAAGGGGGTAGAGGCAGAGGCGTTGATGAAAGAAACTTGGGAAACTGACGGGGCAGATGAGAAAATCAAGGCGTTGTTTGCCAGCACATTGGAATTTTTTAGAATAGATGCATAGAATCAAGATATACGTTAATACTATTAGCTAGACCTTTTATACCATTTACTTTTTTTTTCCCCGAGGGCTAAGCAGTGGCATAATGTGTATTCAATCCTCTAGTAGAGCCTTCACTACTACTGCTAAAACTTAGAATTTCTCTTCTTATCCACCAAGTAGTTCACTTTCATTTTCACCATAACTCTTCTTTTTAGCAACATCTTTGAGCATAAATGTTTGCTATACAAATTTAAATCCAGCCACTCATGTTGCTGCCATGGATGCGGCGTTCCATTTTGTCCACCTTGTGATGCCCATAAGCCCACCCTGTATCAACTACGCACCAAATTCGGCAATGTCCAACAATTTCATTACTACCGTAATATCAACACCCATCTCAATATTCTCTTAGAATATCTCGTTTATAATCCATTGTTTAGCCCGCTTCTATGTTTCAATCTCGAAATCCGTCTTAAAATCGATATATATCCACCTTATAAAAAAGAAACAAACACAAATAAATCGCTCTCTCTGGTATCTCATACGCCCTCAAGACTCTCCCTCTTCCGTCCCTTCGCCATCATCATCGTCTCAATCACATCGCTCGGCACCAGCTGCGGCTGCGCCTCTCCATACCGCTGATGCTCCATCTCCTCCGCATCGATTTCCCCCTCTGCACTTCCTCGCCGGCCGTTTCCAGACGTTAAGCCATGCTGCTGCTGCTGCTGCTGCTGCTGCTGTCTTGAATCCGTCTCTGGTCGCTGCAGCGGTCGCAGCATAGACTTCTCCTCTGGCATTGCCGGCATCGAGGCCTTGGCGTGACGAGTCGCGTCTTCAAGGCGATGGCCGTCTCGGAAAGCAAAGACTCTGATAGAGTGGAATCGATCAAATAACTGGCGCAGCCACCTGTATTATTATTAGCGTCAGCTTTGCTGCAATCCCGAATTGCCATGCCGCCAGCCTCTTACACGGTATTGGTCATTATTATGTAGAAGCACTATCATAAATAGCAATCTGTAGGAAACAACCCGAGGCGCATCTGCATTATACTATATAACCATGAAGAGAATGGAAGCTGAAAAATCAATTCCCCCCCCCCCCCCCTCCCTGTTTTTTTGCGTCGTCGTCAAGGAAGGCTCGGCAAAGCTGGAAATGCTGGTGCCTAGCTGCCCGTTTCACGATTCGCCGTCAGTGGCGGGAACTTGCATACACTAACACAAAGTTCGCTGATCAGGCAGCAAGTAAGGGCCAGATGCCGGACATGCAATTAAAATATGATGTTTAATATGCAGATAATGCCTAATAAGCACTTTGGTTGGCCATCAACTCTGCGATACCTGCTGTAAACAGGAGTCACACACGCAATTAATCCATCCACCCATTCATACTCGTGCTCTTGTCACTACCAGTCATAGACAATCTTCCACTTCAAAACACACTTTTGTCACCAGTCATGCACAATCTTCAAGTCGTGCACAACACTCCAGCATCCCAGCAACTCACAAAGAAACCTCATTGTCCAACGCATCATACATCGTCTCTCCCGCCAACTCCCCCTGCCTGGGCCCAGCTCCTCTCGCCCCCAGACTCTGCCTCTGCAGCATCTGCCTCTCCGCCAACCTGCTCGGATCATCCTCACTCCCCGGCTCAGCCCTCAGAGCCCTCGCAAGCCCATCGTTCTTCTCATCAGTCTTGTCGCTCATCCCTTCCTTGACCTTCTTCCCATGATGGCCCTTTGCGCCAGTGCTGTGCTGGTCTGCCGCGGAACTGGGCGCCTCGCCCGCAACACCACCTTTTCCTTGTCGACCGCTGGCTTTCTGCTGACCACTGGCTTCTTTTCGACCACCAACTTCGCTCTGGCTGGACCCCGAGACGCCTTCGGGCTGGGCGTTGCGGTTCTCGGAAAATTCGCCTTCGTGTTCGTATGATTCAGCGGCGAGCGATTCCGATTCGACGAGCCCTGCGGCTTCCTGGCTGACTGGAGCCTTTTTACCCAAATCGACCTTTTGAGAGACATGTATTAGCGGGAATTCCTGCTCCGAGGTAGGAAGAGATGCGCATACCTTGGTGCCAGCACCGGGATTCTTGCGTTCTCGCAGAGTAGGCATGTTTGCTTTATTTATCACAGCTTTGCTTCGTTGGACAGGCTATTGATTGCGGATGTATGCGTTGAATTGAGATACCATTCCAAATAGCCATCTTCCAGCCGCTGTGGCTTAAATAACCATTCCGTTGATATACTCGAAGCGCGACCGCGGATGACATCACGACAGCGGCTTCGTTACACCCACGCAATAGCCACGTCAATCAAAGCTTGAGGGTCAATAGCATCTATGAGACAAAGCATAAAATCTCCACCAAAAAGGCGGCGCTTTGCTTCACATTACAGCATTGCATCATAGAAGCCACCCGTCTGGTCTGGTCCTCGCTGATCTCCATCCGGCAATATATGCAAACTCAAGACACGCACATTTCATCAGCTGAGGGAAAAAAGAGCGGCGCGCAAAATTCCATATCTGTGAGCCCAGAAACTTGTATAAAAAATGGCGCAAATTTCATCAACCAGCTTTTTCGTAAAATTCATGCCCTTTAACCATATATACCCTTCCTTATGATATCAATTCCTCACAAGACCCTTCGCAAGCCATTCCAAACACGCCGCCGAACCCTGGTATAAATGTAAAACTCCCTAAAGGGCAAATGCAAAAATGCCCACAAAAGCCAAAAATAACCCGTGTTTTCCACTGTATGAAACTAGTTTACAACCTTTGGACCCATGCTTTTCTTTCACGGCTCTCCCTTAATCTTTTTTGTTGCTTTTGCGGTGCCAATGTGTGTATTGTGTACCTTGACGATGATTAGTTAAACAGTCTAGATATGGAATAAATGATGAGTTCAACTCTTACCTTTGTAGCAAATCTTAAGCTAGTGAGAGTCTCCTTTAGATGAGTCTCTAGAGGTGATACCATGACGAACATGAGTGTCTTGCTGTTTCCACCAAGGCTGTACTGCAGCAGGTGTGTCAGCTTAGAGTTTCGATATGGAATATGGCCTGAGCCTCTTCCCAGTGCCTCAATTACGTCTCCAAGACAGCTCAAACTCTTGTTGATATTCTGCGTCTCCTTCATCCTGTCGCCCTCGACTTGCGAATGCTTTAAGCGCTCTGAACCAGCCAGATCGACCAAGTTGAGCGTGCCCTCGCACCGCTCGCCTGTCGCTGAGTTTTCACCAATGAGCTTCAAAATGAAGACACTATGAGACCGTGAAGATCGCTCATTGGCCTTGGTAGCCGCTACCGATCGATTCTTTTGTGCTTCTTCTAGCATCAACTCCACAGTATCGGCAGAGTTTAGTCGAACGGACTTGCAGTTCAAGATAGTAGTCTGCTTCCGGATTTCGTCATGTCGAATTTCTAATTTCCTTGATGATCGACCATTTGTGGTATGGTCATTGGGGGTCAAGAGATCGTTTAGATCTTCGTTGTAAACTTCGACAAAGGAGCCTTCCATGGTGTACTCCCACGACTTCTCTTTCAATTTCGTTACGGTATCGTAAATCATGTGCGTGGCTCGAGGGATCATGCCATCAGGAGACGACATTGTGTATGTCTTGCCTGATCCTGTCTGGCCGTAACAGAAAATGCACACGTTATAACCGTCCAAGGCGCTCTGCACCAGCTGGGAGATTTCGTCGAATATCTCATCGTTTCGTATCTCTGGCGTAAATACTCGATCAAATTCGAAAGGGTAATTCTTCCTCGAAACGACTCCAAAGCTAGACTTTTCCTCTGGCCCAGCCACCATGATCTCGGCAGAGGTCTTGTCATCTGGATAGGAGAGTTGGGCAACCTCGCCTTCGCCATCTCCAAGAGGCGGTCGCACTCGGCACATGACACGGATATTGCCCTTGAGCTCCTGGTATTTGTTGAAAAGAATGCGTCGCTCGGTTTCTTCCTTCATCAGCCTTTGTCGTGCCTCCTCAGCGACTCGCAGTGCGTCTTGAAGCCTAGACTCCATGGCAGAGAAAGCATCGGATTGTGCCTTGGTATCGGATTCGAGAAATTCGACCTGGGATCGTAGGGAGTTGATCTTCGCTTCGAGTGTTGTGTTTGAAGCTGAAAGCTCGGATATGCTCGTTTGTAGACTGCTGGTAAGCGCCTTCTCACGCTGGAGTTCTGACCTTGTGCCTTCTGCCTCTGTTCGCATCTCTCGCATCTCTCGATCTTTCCTTTGCAGAACAATCTCCATCTCCTGTTGGTCGTTTCCTACTTTGCTTCGTAAACTTTGGAGTTCTTGCTCTCTTTTTCGCTGCTCATCTTGTAGCTCTTCTTGGTGCTGCTTTGTCAACAGTTCGATCTTTTGCTGATGTTCGTTTGCCTCTTGTGTTTTTAAACGTTCTAGCTCCCGAGTCAAGTCATCCATTGCCGTACAATGCTGGCGTAAAAGATCTTCGAGTTCGGTCTTGTGTTTTCTGGTAAGGTCGTCGATTTGTCGAGAGTGGTCCCATTCCAATTTCTCTATCTCATGCTCAAGCTTTCGATTGACTTCCTTTGAAACATCAAGATCTGTCCTCAGTGAGTCGGCCTTGCCCTCTAATTTAGATTTTTCTCCTTCCAGCTCCGAAACTGAATTAAATATTAGCGCCGTTATAAAGCTATGAGAGATCACTGCGTTCGTACCTCGCTTCTTGGCTAATTCAAGAGCATCGTCCATGCCTTTTCTGTCGAGCAGCGTGGTATCCACCATTGCTTTTAGCTCTTTAAACTGCGACTCGATATCGCCGACTCGACCGTCCACATCAAAGGCTACAAATCCAGTCAAATTAGAATCCTTAGTCAGATAATTAGAGCGCATGGGTGATTTGGCAGGGGACTTGTTGGGAGAGTTGGCTTTGAAAAGAGCAATGCATCCTTGAAGCTTTTCAACCTGACGCTTCACCTGCTTGTCGCTTGGCGTCATCAAGGGGCCTCCCTAGGTTCCCTGTACAGCAGCCAAAGCGGATGATATTTGCTTGTTGCTTCTCTTCTCATTGCCGGGACGGTGAATAGTGATGTTGTTTAAAGCAGATGCAATATTCGGGGGCGAAGTTGTCACTTGACTTGTGCTGCGAAAAGAGTCTTTCTCCTCAATACAAAGATTGTTGAATCTCGTTGTCAGAGAGCTATCTCTTGAGGAAGACAAGGTCGATGTAGATTTTGTAGTTCTAATTTTGCGGTGGGAAATGGTGTCGAAAGTGAAACTGGTAAGTTGCTCGGATATGGCCGTACCATTATTGGGTTTCGCATCTTTGTCCTGTTCCTCCTCCTCTCGATGTCCGTATGCCGAACGAGGCCGAGCGACTTGGCTTGCTGATCTCGCATGGTTCGCACGTGTGTTCGGTCTGGGGACGGATGATTTATCTGCGGCGCTGTGCCCGATGCTCTTAGCAAAGCTGCTGATTGGTGTAGGGTTTGCGAGGGCTGAAGCTGGGCGTGGTCGCTTGAGCTATTGGAGATCAGCATTAGAATCACCCAGGATGATTGCTTTGATCTTGGTCTGGGAGTTCCTCACTTGTGATATGCTGGCCAAAGTCTGACCCTTGACTGTGGATCGCGGTATCTTTGGCGTGGCTATTAAAGAAGGCTTCGATGGGTATTCGAGCGCACGTTCGGAAAGAGGTCTGCGCTTCGGTTCGGGTTGAGTTGCTGGGAGGTGTTAGCATGCCGTAGCACTTTGGTGATGATCGTCTCTTTTTGTACCGGACTGGGGCAGCTCGCGCTTCAGGTTCTTCATCCCGGTGGGCGCTGGGATTGAAGATTGAGTGCGAGCATTTTGTTGTGACTCGCTCCATTCGGTCAAACTCCCAACGTTCGTCGTCGGTCCTGGCAAGCGACTAATCTTGGAGACCCGCGTGGTCTGTAGGGAGAGCAACAGTTAGCCTCTGCGATATTTTTCCCTACATTCATAGTGATCCGTGTTTATGCGGAATGGCGAACCTGGTTCTCTGTAGTATCCATCGTAACGATGCCAAAAAATGAAACCTTGGCGTATCAAATCGTCGCAAAAACAGTAGAGCCCGAAAAAGTCGGGAGTCGCGTCAAAGCAATGGGAGCATGCGCCCCAACGATCACAGTTCGCACCGCAGGGTAGGAATATTCAAACGCTGATGGAGGATAGGAGCTTGAAGGAGCGAAATGGTAGGTCTCAGTCTTGACTTTGCCGTTGACCCCCCCTGGCACGAATGTTGACCATGTAGATTATGTATTTGCATGGAGCCACTTCTCTGCGTTGGCTTTGTGTTAACGGTGTGGAGAAGGCTGTCAAAATACAATTGTTTACTGCAAGACGCGTGGGCCAGGCAACAGTGGCTGAGGCGCTGTGGCTTGCCTGTCCTAATTAGAGGCGTGTGGCGCAGGCGTCTTACATGTACAGACTCTCTTTAGCAGCCATCGCCAGCGTCATGCGACACTACTGCTACTATTCTACTGCTGGAATAATTACTGCGGTAGCTCACACTAGTGAATGCCCCGTTAGGCAATGATCGAAGCTTGCATCGTATTTCAGCGACGCCGAGTAGTATAATACCTGGTAATGGTATAAAAAGGTTCTCTAAGCAGGCTCACTTCACACCCGTGTATCGACCTGTCAATTTCAGGGGGGTCAAGCAAGAACGGAGAATTGGCTGAATAAAGCCGTTGACAGCTCACTAATTGACATTATATCCGCTGATTTCACATGCTAAAAGACAATGACGTCTCCGACTCGCCGACCTCAGAAGTAAAGACATGTACTGAATACAAGGTTCAGCTGGGTAGATGGTGCCAAGGCGGCTTAGTGCCAGCGCCGCTATAAAGAGATGCTACAGCAGTATATGAATACTATCACATGCCAGCTTGCCTCCCCCTTTCTATAGATTTATAATGTGCATATCCAAAGAAAGATATAGCCTATCAAAATCATTCAATATACTTTTTGTATTCAACAATTCGAGATATTATCATTTCTGGAGATAACATCCATAAATTGTACTGGCAAAGTATCAATCGTAGCGCATGTCAGCTGCCCTCACCAGACACCGTGTTCATAAGCTTGCACTACTACAGATAGATAGGTATTTGAATACGAAGTCC